TCTTTTTTGCCATTATGCCAGTAGTAGCACTGACGATGCCATTTTTGTTTGCTTTAAATGATTCTGTTAAAATGAAGTGTTTTCAAATTTGATCGAAAGCAAGCCCATCCGAAAATTGTAGACACAGGCTGCACACACAATACCTTTAAAGCATATTGGAAACACATTTCCATACATAGACACCCCAAGGAATTCTGGATACTGGAGTTTCTTAAGGGCTGCTGGGAGTTGTATCTCTGTGAGAGGTAAACTACAGCACCTAGAATTCTGTGAAGGAAAGAATATGCTTAAAAGGTAAAGGTCCAGTCATGGCCGATTCTCGGGTTGCGGCGCTCATCTTGCATTATTGGCCGAGGGAGCCGGCGTACAGCTTCCGGGTCATGTGGCCAGCATGATTAAGCCGCTTCTGGCGAACCAGAGCAGCACATGAAAACGCCGTTTACCTTCCCGCTGGAGCGGTACCTATTTATCTACTTGCACTTTGACGTGCTTTCGAACTGCTAGGTTGGTAGGAGCAGGGACCAAGCAACGGGAGCTCACCCCGTCGTGGGGATTCGAACCGCCAACCTTCTGATCAGCAAGTCCTAGGCTCTGTGGTTTAACCCACAGCACCACTCGCGTCCCTATGCTTAAAAGTTACACGTTACATTTTCAGAATAATTTCCCCCAAAACGCTTTGATTGCTCTAGTCCTACACACAGCTTCAAAACCACATAACAAGAACATGATAATGAAATACCCTCCAACATTTCTCCAATTAAAGTAGGAAGGTCCTGTTCCATAATTATAATTTAATTATTTATATCCTGCCCATCTGATTGGGTTGCCCCCAATCAGCCCCCAATGGCTATTCTGGGCAGCTTCCGACATACAGTGATACCTCTGGTTAAGTACTTAGTTCATTCCGGAGGTCCATTCTTGACCTGAAACTGTTCTTAACCTGAAGCACCACTTTAGCTAACGGGGCCTCCTGCTGCTGCTGCGCCACCGCCACATGATTTCTGTTCTCATCCTGAAGCAAAGTTCTTAACCCGAGGTACTATTTCTGGGTTAGCGGAGTCTGTAACCTGAAGCGTATGTAACCTGAAGTGTATGTAACCCGAGGTACCACTGTATATAAAAACATAATAAAAGGTTAAACATTTAAAAACTTCCCTATACAGGACTGCCTTCAGATGACTCAGGGGTTGTATAACTCCATAACCTCCAACATTTCTCCATTGAAAATAGGGACGTCCTAAGGAAAAGTGGGACATTCCAGGGACTGTCCCTGGAAAATAGGGACACTTGGAAGGACTGTAATGAAGGTCATCCCTAACCTTCACCCTCATTCCAAAATATAAAGCCCTAAGCTGAAAAATATGTTACATTACACACTTATTGTAAAAGATGCAAATGGCCTTTGTCTGGTGTGGAGGGAAGGCAGCCTATCCTGCTTAACCTTACCCTAAAGTCTGCTGTTACAAATTATTGTTTCCAACTTAGCACAATGTAGTTCATTCTGGAGCACTGTGGGGAAATTAGATGGTGGCTAGACCAGGCTGCCTACCATTGCTCAGAGCATTTGTGCCCACCATCACCACTTGATAAGCCCACTAACAGAGGAGAGACACCCCCCCAAGTGCACTGTCAAAGCTGGAGACCTTCCTAAACAGTTGCCAGAGACTGGCCTCTGTTCTCTGGGTCATGTCCTGCTTATGACCTTCATGTGCTGCTTATGATCTGGCACTCATCTAGCTAGGCTGCCAATGAAAAAAGAAAGCCACGTTTGGACTCGGCAAGAGAGGCTATTCGTATATTTTTGCTGGAGGATTAAGCATGCATTTATTCATTAATCATGAAAGCTGAGAATAGGATTTCCATGGAGAGATCCACTGTATTTCTAAACAACAGGTGGTAGGGATAAAAACCACAGGGGAAAAGCATCACCCATAGGCCCTTCCTGCAATTTTTCAGAAGCACCTGGCCACAGGCTACTGTTGCTCTAATCCAGCACAGAATCACAGAATTGTAGAGCTGGGAGGCACCCCAAGGGTCATCTAGTCCAACCCCCTGCAATAGCATGAATGACATGGCACATTCATGTATCAGCACCTGCATTATTGCTCCCTTTTAAATAGCAGACATGAAGCAATGGCAGCTACTGAAAAGGGACATGAGCTATAGCAAATGAAAATACACTGAGGGTGCCCAGGGTTGGCATGGTAGTGAAAAGAGAATATCCGAAAGACAAACACATATGGATACACATGGGAATAGGGAGTGGTACAAGGCTTAACTTGAGCCACAACTTGGTTCCAGAGCCTAGTGTGAATTCTAGAAAGATATTGTTCAGCACTTCTCATTCACTTCCCTCACAAGTACAGGACAAGGTTTTTCTATCTGTCCAACACACACAAACACAAACACAAACACGTATGTTCTGGAGCAGTTCTGCAACTGTTTTTAAAAATATTTATCATATTTTTGTAAGGCAAAGGAAGAGCAGAGAGCAAGATAAATGTACTAGAACTGTTATGTGCCTAAGCTGGCTGACACTTAAGGAAAAGGATAGGACTCACTTGCCAAGCCAATTTTTGATTTCCTGGTGTGCAGTGTGAACCTGGCTTTGCAGATGAAAGACCTCATGCAATTGCTCAAAATGCTGCAACTGGTACCTTCAACATTAAATTTGGGTGGGTGGGGAATCCCCAGCTTGTTGTTCTTTGATTCTTATGGAGAGTCAGTTAAGCAGTGAAATCAGTGGCTGGTACGTACGTTTTGCTTAGTTTCAGATGCTCCCTTTATTATTTTCTCTCTGAATTTTACTCTGTCCGAGATGGCATTACATATGCCACACTGTTGGTAACAGGTGGTTACTAGACATTTTTTATTGCAGTATGACCTTAAAGTTGCCTTATCTTTCAAGTCAACCAGCTGAACAAATATTCAAGAAAAAAACAAATGGGGTTTTAAGCAGTTAATCCTTTGGCAGCCCTGTTGCCTTTTGTCTCTTTTTGCTACTTGCCTGCAAGGACCACATTTGTCATCAGGCTTGTCAGCGAGCTTTGCCTGCTGCGCTAAATTAGATATTGACCGGATGTGCCAGCTTAATAGTATAAACTTGTTGTGAGAACAAAATGAACTCCTCTGCAAAGCAGGGCCATGAACTCGCCTTACCCCAGTTGCCTCACATGGGCCAAGTATAATTAAATAAATGGACATCCCCTCCCCCTCCCCCTTGCAGACGCCTAAGTTAACCTACACGGATAAGGGTTAAAGTGTTCTTATAAAGGGAGGAGGGCTCAGCTAACCAGTAAATGTGATAAGCAGGGCACTGGGTCAAAGAGGTCTCTTCTACGGCATCAGAATTCATAGTTTAAAAGGATTTTCATGGAGAGAAAAGATGTCTCCTGCTTTCTTAGCTAGGTGCCTTTAATACTTCTGTGCAGCTCAGAGCAGTGTCTGTTTGTATTGTTGCAGGGAAAGAGAGCAGTGGCTATAATCCTGGCAGTCACTTGACTTGAGGAACAGATTGGCCTGATCACTGCACAAATAACATTGGAGTTAATCGCAAACCCTCCAAATGTCCCTATTTTCCAGGGACAGTCCCATATTTACAGAAGCTGTCCCAGTTTCTGATTTGATCCCAGAATGTCCTGCTTCTCCTTAGGATGTCCCTATTTTCATCAGAGAAATGTTGGGGGGTAAGGAGTTATGGGACCCCCCAAGTCAAGGAGATAAGTAACTATACAACCTTTACAGGGCATCTGAAGGCAGCCCTGTATAGGGAAGTCTTCTAATGTTTAATGTTTCATTATGTTTTTATATATGTTGGCAGCTGCCCAGAGTGGCTGGGGCAACCCAGTAAGATGGACAGGGTATAAATAATTACATTATAATTATTATTATTATTGTTGTTGTTGTCGTCATCGTCGTCAGAGAAATGTTGGAGGGTATGTAATCATTTAGGATGCAGAACAAGAGTAGGCTGATTCCAACCACTGGCAGCTATCCTGAATAAAACGGAAAACACCTTGTCCCTGCACTCATTTCTCTCAGCCTAAGAGTTATGTGGTTTTAATATTGGGAGAACTGTTTACACCCACAAGCAGGCAAGCAGCTCCACCTTCAGTTAAAACCTGGACATGTTGGCTCCTAACATCAGGACCAGTTCCAGAGGGTGGCAGGCTGGGCACCTGCCAGGACTGCAAGACCAGCCAAGGGCCTACTTCTCAGCTGTTCTCTGTTTATACTGTACACATCAGGGGTGGGGAACCAGTGGCCCTCCAGATGTTTTTGAATTCCATCTTCCATCAGCCCAGGAAGCCCAGCTAATGGTCAGGTGTAGTCTGAGGTGTAGTCCTTCCACCTCTGGAGGGCCACAGGTTCCCCAGCTCTATTTTACCTGAAGCCTAGCCCAAGCGGTTCTGAGCCAAATTGAAAGAGAGTGCATGTACATGTTGCCTTTTCTTGGTTAGCAACCGCCTGGAGACTCATATGGTCAGTCTGCCCTCTGCAGGAAAAGGCTGCTCTGACTAGCCCTCCTATTCTGTATTCATCTGAAATTACAAAAAAAAAAAAAAAAAAGGAAGGAGGCAACTCAGCCAGAACAGAGTGAAGCATGATACTATGAATAATTATCTAAATAAATCTTAAATTGAATGTCAAATATGTCATTGATCACCGATTTAATGGATTTTAACCAATACATGGATTCATTAAATTGGTTCTTGCATTGGCAAAATGCCCAACACAATGTAATAAACAAAAGCTGCCATTCACCATTACACCACCATCTTTAATACTTTTATCACTCCCTATTACAGTAACAGACCAGAACCAAAATAACTTCAAAACGAACATGCTGCTAACGTTTAACCCTGTTGATTAAAATGTGCACTCGCCAGTCAGTCAACTAAAGCTTTAATTAACTAATACAATATATTCCTGGTTCCCCAGCGATTATCCATGATTTTTAAGTACCTATCCATAGTAATGTACTCCACACAAAATTTTGTCTTTCTATTGCCTTTAGGACAGAAGCTGTTTTTTTTAATTAAAACTAAAAACACTAGTGAGAGTTTTTACACTTGACATTCTTCATATTTCAGTCCCAGAGTCTGTAATTTAAAATCTGAAGGGGTTATGCATCTTGACAATAGACATGCACATTAAGAAGAAATGTGTACTCTTTGCTTTTTCTATTCTATTTTCTCATAACTGCATATCAGTATATGAAATGCTGCCAAATTACAGCATGTGATTTTAAGCTGACGATGTTCTTTTTTAAAAATTGGCCTTTTTTATCCCCCAACAACTTGATTTACTTAGATTGTGAGGCCCTTTTGCACAGAACAATTTACATTTAGGAAAGAAAACTGCTATAAGCTACTTTGAGCCCATGGGATAGAGTCAGAAATAAATCAAATTGCATCAAATTGTGAAATTAAAATTTCCTTGGCGCTATGGACAGTATATTAAGCCCACAGGGCTGAACAACATACAACAGAAGAGATCTTGTGCAGATCTTATGACTTCTTCAACAGGAAGTATCTACAGAGAGAGAGAGAGAGAGAGAGAGAGAGAGAGAGAGAGAGAGAGAGATTTGGACTGAGGCTGTGGCACTGTTAAACCTTTCACTTCCACCATTTCCGCAATTCCTCCCCGAAGTTGCTATTTACCATGGAGGTAAAAAGACTGCTACGATATGGAATCCTTTCTCTGTCCTCTCCTCGCATCTTTTGCCCCAGTAGCTAGTACCAGTTCTGAGAGAAGGAGATTTACAGTTAGGAAAATAATGGGCAGGGGGTGGGGGAGGAATTAGAATCCATCAACCGGTGCTGTAACCTCAATCCAAACTAGAAACTGGAGGTGTAGCTGCTTCTGAGTGACAAATCTCCCTTGTCATGGCTAGTTTGGCTCTCAGAAACCAGCTCAGGACTGACCATTGCAGAACAGGCAGAGAAGAGGGTTCAAGCCACATTTCTTGGTGAGAGAACATGGGTGTTACACAAGAGAGAAACCATCTGAAATGCTGGACTGCATGTTATAATCTACTGATTAAATTTACAACCCTAATTTTCAGAAAGAATTGATGAACCGACAATCTATAGCTTGATTCCAACATGAAATTAAAACAGCTCTAAACCCTGAGGCAGCTTTGTTGCCCCACAGTGTGTCAGGTGACATACTACTGTCAAAGCACAGAAAACGGCTTTATTTCTTTGCAAGGACAATTTCACTTGCCCATAAAATTCACCCGCCTTTTATCAGTGCCATCCGCAAAGATATTGTGGCATCTGTAAGATATCCCCATCTCCAATGTGCATCGTCTTGCAGTCTCCAGAGCCAACAAACTGTCAAATTAGAACCGGCTCCTGACAGCTTTATGACACATAATCTTGTTCACAAAGAAAATGGCCCGAGACCTCCTGCCTGTTACAGCTGCCAGAATGGAAATGTTTTTCATGTCTCTGTGATAAGTTTATCTCCACAAAGGAGACAATACATCTGCCGTTGCCTTGAACCAATCACAATGCAAAATTTGATATCAAATATAAACCAGCTTTCCTCCTTTGTAAGATACCTATTTTATCAGTCCAGCAACTGATGACTATTTCACAGAATCACCTTGAACTCCGAGGAGGAAAGATGGAATAAAAATAGAATGGGTGGGGTGGGGGAGCTCAGTTAGTTCTAGGTTGATTGGGATCCACTGAAAGATCTCTGGTGATCTGCAGGAAATCAGCAAGGGTTTCTGAAGCCCAGTTGTTTAAACAATACAAAACAGCTTTCTTTTGACCTAAACAAGGCTGTTGAAATCAAGAAAGCCAACCAGCAATGGAGTTACATGTGAAAGGACTAATAAACAACCGTACTTTTCCATGCATAAGACGAGGTGTTTTCACTACAAAAGAATATGTAAGTCAACAACTTTTGGAAATCCTCCCCAAAAAAAGCTCAACAACTCTCGGCCATTGGCCCCATTTGTGTTTTTTTTTGAGTCCCCCAAAATAGGGGGCCTCTTATACATGGAGGCCCCTTATACAGGAGGAAATACGGTATGTTCAGTACTGCTCCAGGCAGGGGGGTTGGAATCCTAGACTCAGAATATGCTCAAGGGTACTTCATTAATTCTACCTGTAAGTTTTTTGCACCTGAAGTAGGTAGATCTTTAGGTTCTAGCAAATCTGACAAGCCTGAAACCCCTGCTCTTAAACATTCTGAAGCGTTATATAAATTATTACTCTTTTACATCATAATTCATTCTCTCTTCTATTCTTCACGCAAATTGTACCAGCATGCTAGGAAGAATGCCATTGTAACTCCCCCAGTTCTGCTTTTAGCAGTGAGGGGCTCCCAAAGGACGACAGCTCAGGACAGATACTTTTCCCAGAGCTGCATGTTGTTTTTTTGGAGGTGTGTGGCTCCCTCTACTGGGCGGCATAGGTAGCAAGAAGTAAACTTGAAAGAATTTGAGGAAGTTCATTTTTTTAATAGCTATCAATGGGAATGTTCTTTATAAAGGAAGAAAGGAAGTTATTGTACCCATACATTTTTCAGGAAGTCACCTTATCTGTACCCAAATGTTTAAAACAACACATTGCTGTTTAATTTTTTGTAATATGTCCAGGGGAGTTAACTGATGAATAGGCACAAAACCCTATATTTACTTACTGAATTAAAATAAGTGGGGGATGTCCTTGTGACTGTCTAAATCAGGGTTTCCCAAACGTGGGTCTCCAGCTCTTTTTGGACTACAGTTCTCATCATCCCTGACCACTGGTCCAGCTAGCTAGGGATGATGGGAGTTGTAGTCAGTCCAAAAACAGCTGGAGACCTAAGTTTGGGAAACACTGATCTAAATAATATAAATCATGTATGGGGAACCTTTGGCCCTCCAGATGTTGCTAAACAACAACTCCCATGATTGCTGGGGCTGATGGCAACATCTGGAGGGCCAAAGGTTCCTGACACATGATAAAAAAAAATATAAAATTCAGTTAACAGTGAACTAAATTCTCAAAGGGTACTGGACCTTATATAGCAAAGCAATACTATCCGTGCACAGTAGGCTTGGGAGAATCCGAGTAGCACAAAACAAATGGGGAGAGGGAAGAACAAAACAACAACAGCAGCGGAATGAGAATTTAACATGCTCAGTGGGCAAATAATACTGACTGACAGTTCAGGAAAATGAAGAGAAAAGCGAAAAAAGCAGGACAGTTTTACAGTAAATTCAGACATTGTCATTGCTAAGCAATTGTAACCAGTGCTTTCTTCCAGGGGGTACCCAAGGTACATACTACCGGCATCTCTTTTTTGTTGTTGTTAAAAAGTGTGGCACTTACTGTAACAACTTCACAGTGAGTACTAACCGGAACCTATTTCTCAAGGAAAAAAGCACTGACCCTAACCCTATTCCATACTCCTTTTTTCAGACCTCAAGTGTAGTGATTTCCCCTCACTTAAATCACTATTGCCACCCAGCCCAGGGGCATTGGGCCTTTAATTAGAAGCCGCCTCCTTCTATTTAAAATGGCCATAACAATATGGATAAATTGCCCCTCAATTGGCCTTTAATTAGTTCCTGTTCTCAGTTTTCACAGGTGCAAATTGGCAATTTAGTATCATGCATTAACACAACCATATTTCCACTGCATACCTAAAGTTTAAAGCCAGTTTAATCTGCCATGGTTTATCTGTCCCCCTGCCCACTAAGATATCCCTTGAATTGCAGATCTGTGAAAGGACTGGATATTGTTATTGCATTTCTTGTAACGTGCAATACAGTTGTACAATATAGTAGTACAGCCCCATTTTTAAATCATCATATACCGCATTTACTCAAATTTAATGCTCACCTTTGTTGGCCAAAGCACATTGCAAAAAATAAGGTGTACATTAGATTTGATGGCACATTATACTTGAGTAACTATAGTAAGGATTTAGGCTGCAATCCTAAACTGTGTCTACTCACCAGTAAATTCTAATATCTGGTCAATTTTATTTTGTGAACAGTAAAAATATTTTGGCAACTCCTGGTCTTTTTATAATCCATGTTGTTCTAGGAAAGTGGGGCGGGGGAACTACTTTGGGGGTATTATTCTCTGCATGTTCCTTTTATTTTTCCTGTTTGTACTTTTCCATGTTTCTCGAAAATCAATAAAATATATTATTTAAAGAGGAGGAAATTCTACTGACTTCACTGGGACTTATTTCCAGGTAAGGGGGGGTTAGGATTGCAGTCTATGTTGTGACCCTAATTAAAAGCATAAGGGATTACATATTTTAAGAAACAGCATCCTTATTAGTTGCTCCTCCATTCCTGTGGTTCATCCATTCAATCCACCATCCCTGTGGTTATTTCGCCACCAATAACTCTTGACTTTAGGCCATCAGAATGGCACCATGAAACATTTCTCCGTGTATAACCTTGCCCTTAAATTAAGGACTTAAGTTTTCTTTTTATGCAATCAAATCAACTACGCTGAACTTTGCATTAGTATGTTTAAATGGTTTTGCAAATTTTCCCGTATGCTGCTTCCAATCACAAATCACCACATTTTGGCTTAACAGAATTTAGAGAGGTTTTTCAAGCAGTGATGAGTCACTACCTGGACACATACTGAAGCATTCTCCAGACTGGTTTGTTACTCCCCAATCTCTTAGGAAAGATACATTATCTTACTTCCTCAACGGGGGTGGAATCACCTGGTTTTAGTTCTTACGTTTCTAATCCTGTGAATGATAGGAACATTGGTAACTTTCTGCAATCACTTCCAAAATTATGGGTTTGGAAAGAAAGATTGTCCTGCAGCGGGAAAATGACAACTGCATCTGTCAGTGACAAAATTCTGGAAACGGATTGCCTTGTGGTACTTTAGTGTATCTTGCCTTGCATTACAAGAACTCTCCGATGAGGAGAGAGAGTGCCAGATGAAGAACGAACAAGGGGTGGCAAAGTCAGGGCAACATCCAGCACTGACATTATGTTCCTCTTCAGTAAATCTAGTTTGATGGGCAGAACCCAAGAGATGCTAACAAGGGCCAACTGTAGCAAAGGCAATGGTGCCTCACCTGCTCTGAGCCATGCTTGGCTGACAATCAGCAAAGCACAAGAGAGGTGTGGACTCATGCCCTGTACTGTTAGGTTGTTGTGCTTGATGTCCCTAAAAGTGATCTCAGCTACAGCTGATCAACCTGCAATGCAGAGGGTTTGGCTCACAATCTGCCATTAAGCACCAACAAAACACTCTATAAATTCTAATGCAACCCAAAGTCAGCATGCCAAGATAATGGAACAGACATCTAACCAAAAATAACTGCCTTTGATAATTCATTTGAAATTGTTAGCTGCCTTAGACTCATAATGAAACACAGGACATGAATTTATTACAGGACATGAATAAAACAACTTGAAACAAGCTCTTGGAAGCTCAATAGGCCCAGATGAACTTTTCACTGAAATACACTTCAATTTAAACTCTTATCGGTAAACATATTTGTAACACATAAGTCCCTTCCCTATGTAAAGTGATTTAACAATGTTTTGGATACTTACGGATGTAACCATTCTCAGGGTCTTTCTCCACACTTAACGTACAAGAGACTTCAGTTGTATTCTTGATGGGCTTGACAGTTAGCAAGTACCGGCCTTGTTCTCCATATAAAGCTCTCCAACTGAACGAAAATGCATAAGAACAAATCAGAAAGAATAAATGGGGAGCAACTGTTATTCAGAGGCATACACTGCTTTTAATGGTGGAGGTTGAACATAGCCATGATGGCTAGAGGCCATGGATGGATAGCCTTTTTCCTAAACTAAAAAGGCCCAAATCTTGAAGCATTTCCATAAAGGAGAGTTGCTCCAGCACCTTTTTTTGGTTGCCCCCTTCTGCACCTTTTCCAGCTTTACAATATCATTTGTGAGGTGTAGGCCTCAACAGTTGATATCCCAGATAATATCTGGGAAATACAATTTGATGAGGGCCCACTGTAACACACCTTATTGAAACTGTATTCACAAAGGGACAAATTGTAGCCTTAAAACATATACATATATACAATTTAAAATATTTTGAAACCAATGACATTTCAGTGATACATCTGCTGGCTCTTTTACTTCTTACATATTTCTCCTGAAAAACCAGAAACACAATACTGTGGAAACAGGACACACAAATGTATATTTTCTTATCTTAAACTATTTTTGCAGGCTTAACTTCAAGCATCAAAGAGCTCCATCAGATGTACCCCAAGTACATTTCTGTTGGCTTAAAAAAATAATTAAATGCATGTATAAAGAGAGAGAAGATTCAAATCTACCTTACAGATTAGTGAAAATAGAATGGTGTGCAGCAAAGAGAGAAGAAAGCCAAAGACAAATGGATCAAAATTAATATAATTCACTAAAATATGAGAATAGCAGAAAGGACAGGTGTCAGGGGTTCAGGAGCAGAGGCAAGGGCAAGGGAGGAAACAGAGAGCGAGGGGGAGGAGGCAGAAGAAAAGATGAGTGATGACGACGACCCGAGATCTCCGAGTCTTTCCAGTGAATCAGAAGATTCACAGAAAGGAGCACCAGTGGCCAGGGCAAGGGGGAGCCTAGGGGACACCCCAGGAAGATAGAGCCAGAGGGGACTCAGAGGGGAGCAGTTGGAAATCGGGACCAGCGTCACCGCCAGAGAGCAGGGAAGAGGAAGGGCGCCAGGGATCAAGCGCTGGCAACTCACAACAGGGGGGAGGGCACGAGTCAGGAGTGGCCACACCTCCATCGGGGAGCGAAGAAACGGTCAGACGGAAGGTGGAAGGTTGGGCGCGCGCGCTAAGTTCAAATGCACAGGAAGGTGGCGCAGTAGGCAGCCCGGAAAGGGAGCCAGGTCCTAAAGCCCGCCGAAAGGAGGGAGAAGAGTCAGGGGGGTCAGCGTCAGCGTCAGAGGAATCCCGGAAGGAAGAGACCCCGGGGGGGCAGAGGGACCCAGAGAAGAACAGTCAGGCGGAAAAGGTGGAGCAGGGCTAGGATATTAAGTTGGTGTACAAGGGGCGGAGACTCAGACGGAGCTTCGCCGGTCTAAGCATGAGACGTAGAGTTGCACGCAGCAGCTTGAGAATGGAAACTGTAACTCAATAAAGACTTTTGTTTAATGATCGCTGGCTAGCGTGATCCTCTGTGAGCTAGGATCTGGAAGCAGCTCTGACAACAGGAAATGCATTTTCTTGCTTATCAAGGGGGAAGTCAAGTACATGAAAGGACAAACTTGAGGGAACATAAAAAATCTGACAGCGACGCAAATTTGGAGCTGATGTCAGGCAGCACATTTTAAATTAGGAACCATCTGCCAGCCGCTACACTCACAGCACTGAAGTTCAACCAAAGAACAGCCAAAGGGTACGGGGAGGGCAGTGGTTTTCAGATGAGGGTGAGGGAGATTCAGCTTCTCCCTTGGTACTACTGTCCCATTTTAAGACAGCATCAGTAAATCATCCCAGTTCATTCAAGCAAGGGGGGGGGGGGAGGAAGAAGGTGGAGGGATAAAAGTCCTATTATGCAATGCCAGAGGTCACGATACCAATATCAATCTTCATTTTTCACACCAGGGTCAGCTTCAATTTTTCATTCCATCCTTTGACACTGGACTGACCCCCTGATACTGCTGACTATAGTACTGATTATAGAAGACCATGATAGTTATTGGGACTCTGCCATATTCAAGCAGAAAGGGGCAACCAGACTGAACCCCAAATCCTATGGCTTTAGCCCCAGAATTTATTCTTCAGATTGTAGCCAAAGTTGGTTCCATTTACAGTAGGCCCAGTGAAAGGAGGTGTTGGGGAAGGAGGCTGCAACTAAATCCTCTCAATCCCTGTTCACAGATTTTGCTTAGCTCTAAGGAGAACCAAGTCCTTGATGCTGCAAAATCTTCCAGAGAGATAGCTATGTTAGTCTTGTAGCACTTTTAAAAGGCTAACCAATTTATTATTTGTTATTGCAAAAGTATTATACTGCAGACACTCTACCCTAGTTGTCTTTCATTTCTCAATCTAAATTTGGCCCGACTGATTACTATGAAAAGATATACCGTATTTTTCCATGTATAAGACACCCCCATGTATAAGACGGCCTCAAACGTATTTTTTTGAGCCCCAAATTAAGAAATAATTAATTGCAACATTCCATGTATAAGACAACCCTCAATTTTCAACTTTAAAAAAAAATATTGGGGGGGGGGAATATAGTCTTATACACGGAAAAATACAGTATATGGTAATGCGATCAGTTCTGACAGGACTTTTGCTTTAAAATTGTTCCCTGGGCTGAGGAAAGGATTTTACCATTGATTTTGGAGATGATATGTTGCTCTTAAATTCACGTGATCCCTGGAAAGAAAAAGCTAATGCTTCTACAGACCATTTCAAAATTACCTTCTTGAGCAAGGTTTTGAACCATGAAGCCCAAATTCATTCTCTTGAGCAGAGAGTGAACTCCAAGACATCAACACACTTGTTTTGGAACTTTGGCACTGAGCCTTGCAAATGTTTTAGCCTTTGTATTTCTGTTTGTCTATATTGTGTATAAGCAGATTTCTGATCTCTCTCTCTCTCTCTCTCTCTCTCTCCCTCTCTCTCTGATATATTAATTAAAACACTAGCATGTCAGGAGTGGTGTTAGTTGTATAAGTGTTAAGGCAGGGTTAGAGGTTGCAAGTAGGAAAATAAAGGTAATGTACTGTTAAATATTTCTTTTTGTTGGGGGTCTGTCTGGATGAGTTCCTTCCAGGCCTGTGATTCTGCATCCAGTGGAATTTAGCATCTAGCAGATGATGCCCCCTAAACCAATCAGCCAGTTTATTTGTAGGGTAATAGCCTTATCTGGCCAGTTAAGTACTGTTGACCTCCTGCTGCCATAAAGACAAATGGGTGAGCCTTTTCTCACCTCATCTGGCTGGATGCAACATTATCCTAGAATGGGGAACAATAGGCCAAGGAGGATTGGGAGGATGTGAGAGACTATTGCAATGCAAAAAGGCCAAGTTCATGCAACCAACTGCTTATCTCTAAGTCACAGACAAAAAAACTAAGAGAAACTACAAGAATCTGAAGGGAGTGTCCAATCACCTCTGGTTTGTAGATATGGCCACTAAACACCCAATCTGTTTCCAAGTTGTACCCCCAGTAGTATTTGATTTCCAGACTTTGGATAAGCAAATTTCAAAAGTTCTCCCAGACCTCTGGCCTGCCTTAGGAACAAATAAAACACCCTTCTCTGTATACTCAGCAGCAGAGAGTATACTGTATTTTTCCGTGTATAAGATGCCCCCTATTTTTAGGGACTCCAATTTAAGAAATCCCCACCATTCACTATCCATGTATAAGACAACCCTCCGTTTTTCACATAATTTTTAAGTAAAAAAAAACCTAGTCATATACAGGGGAAAGTACAGTAATCCTCTCAGGAAGACTCACAGAAGCCCATAAACAACTTCTCCCCAATATGCTATCATTCTGGGTGTAAGGTTTTTGCCATGAATTATCATTTTGAATAACAATGAAATTATACAGTACAGGAAAGTTTTCGCCTCATGATTCCCCTGTGTGTGAAGCGGAAAATAAAGGTAAAGTACTGTTAAAGATTTTGGTGGGTTTTTTTGAGGGGGGGTCTGTCTGGATGAGTTCCTTCCAGGCCTGTGATTCTGCATCCAGTTGAATTTAGAATCTAGCAGAAGATGCCCCCTGAATCAATCAGCCAGTTTATTTGTAGGGTAATACGGTGGTACCTTGGGATGCGAACGGGATCCGTTCCGGAGCCCCATTCGTATCCCGAACAGAGCGTAAGACGCAGCAGCGCATCTGTGCATGCACGGGTCACGTTTTGCCACTTCTGTGCATGCACGTGATGTCATTTTGACCGTCTATGCTTCACGAGCAGTGAAACCCAGAAGTAACGTGCTCCATTACTTCCGGGTCGCCGCGGAGCGCAACCCGAATGCGTTCAACCTGAAGCATATTTATCCCGAGGTATGACTGTAGCCTTATCTGGCCAGTTAAGTACTGTTCACCTCCTGTTGCCATAAAGACAAATAGGTGAGCCTTTTATCACCTCATCTGGCTGGATGCCACATTATCCTAGAATGGGGAACAATAGGCCAAGGGGGATTGGGGGTATGTGAGAGACTTTTGCAATGCAAAAAGGCCCAGTTCATGCAACCAACTGCTTATCTCTAAGTCACAGACAAAAAAAGAGGCCTGCAACTCAGACAAACTACAAGAATCTGAAGGGAGTGTCCAATCACCTCTGGATTGTAGATATGACAACTAAACACCCAATCTGTTTCCAAGTTGTACCCCCAGTAGAATTTGATTTCCAGACTTTGGATAAGCAAATTTCAAAAATTCTCTCAGACCTCTGGCCTGCCTTAGGAACAAATAAAACACCCTTCTCTGTATACTCAGCAGCAGAGAATATGCTATATTTTTCCATGTATAAGATGCCCCCTATTTTTAGGGACTCCAATTTAAGAAATCCCCACCATTCACTATCCATGAATAAGACAACCCCCAGTTTTTCACATAATTTTTAAGTAAAAAAAACCTAGTCATATACAAGGAAAAGTACACTAATCCTCTCAGGGAGACTCACAGAAGCCCATAAGCAACTTCTCCCCGATATTATATCATTCTGGGTGTAAGGTTTTTGCCATGAAGTATCATATTGAGTAACACTGAAATTATACAGTACAGGAAAGGTTTCGCCTTATAGCTCCCCTGAGTGTGTGAAGCGGCCTTTAGTTCCCACCATTTTCTCTCAGAACCGCCCCCCTGAAATGCATCTGTGCACGATTTACCTGCAAACAGGGGCAACTGCATCTGCTTCTGCAAACATTGTGACTGTGAGAGAAAAGCGGGAACTAACCGCCACGCTTGTGTTTGAAGGAGCTCCCATGGAAGCCGGTGAAACCGTGAGGAGAGGCTGAGGCAGACACTAAAGAAACAAGGGAATAAACAGACACGTCTTTTATGATTTAAGACCCCGATGGGGATAGTAATCTAGCTGAGGGGAAGCAGGCTGTGCTGATGGGATATTAATCTGAATGCCAGCAAACTATCTAGAATAGAGTGGATCTGAGGAACTCTATTTTATTATCAAAACAAGGAGGCCAACTGTTGCAATGTATCCACAGGCCTTAACAGGCCTAACAGGTGTTCAGGGCTCCAGCTAGCTTGGCACAATAAGATAGAGACATTTGTCTTTCCCAACATTCCTGAAACAGAAAGAGAGAGAGAGTCAGAGAGAGAGTCAGAGAGAGAGAGACAGAGAGAGAGAGAGAGAGAGAGAGAGAATATAAACGGAAGGGCTTTATTTCAGGGATGTCAGCCAGGCCTAAACTGGATAACTTAATTGCAACCAGTTCTGGGTGAGAAAAAGAAAAATGTGGTCTCCTTCCTCTCTCCTGAGGTCTTCCTGCCTAAAACAGGGAGATTTTTGTGGCTGTTTAACCTTTTAACCTTTTTAACCCTAATATCCTCCTCCTTCCAGTAGACTAATTTCCTCTCTCTCCTCCATTTTTCTATTGAAAAAAGGGTGCTGGAACTCCCTTGTTCTCTTATAATGGCAATGGAGTCCACCTGAGCTGTGCCAGAAGTGAGTTCCAGAAAGTTCACAGCTGAAAAATAAGCCCTGCTACTATCATTTTTATTAATTTATGAATTGCCTTTTATATATGTTTATTCAAGTTTCAAGGCAATTTGCGAGCAGACGTGTGTGAATCTGATCTTATGCTATGGTTTATCTCTGTAGATCATTGGCATAACTTTAAAATGATATGAGATTTTCCATCATGATAAATCTTGCATGACTTTAGTATAAGCCTGATACTGGCCTCATCTCAGATTCAGACTGTGTAAAGATCAACGCATGCAAATCCAGTTTCTAGTAGTCTATTCAAACTGCTGAATGGATGGCTTCAAGCTATTGCTGGTACAGGAGACAGACAAAAAGATTGCCAGGTTCAGTTAACCCACATTAGAAGTGGAAAGAGGAGGGAGGAAAATATATCCGTTTGTCCTTAATGCGTAGCAGAAGTGTGCTGACTTTTGGGGGCGCTGGGTAAATTCTGGAGCTAGAACAACTAACTGCCTACTGGGAATCTGTTGTTTTTTTAAATAAAAAATATTATTTCTTGTAAGGAAGGGAGAGGCTTTGGAATGAACAAGTCCTGCCCCTTTCTCACTTTTCCCACCCTCCTGAGACATTGGCTAAATGACTAAATGTTAGCTTATCACCTTGCATGTGTTTTGCTTAACAAAAGAGTGAAAAATGGTATGCTAATGAGCTATTAACTGAATCCAGGAAGGTCTTTATTATGTTCTTATACTATCTGGTGAGGAGTTGAGAAATCCCATATTGATTTGAAATAACTAGCCTGATCTGTGGGCTGCAAGCCTGTGGTTATTTGTAGTGCTTCACAGAAACACTAGATGCTCTGTGATCAAGCAGATAACAAATTCTGCAATACCACAAACCCTCACCCCCCTAAACTCAGCTGATTCCTCACACATTATTACAGATAGCACAGCCCTTATTTTCTCAGCAATGCCCTTTTTTTACTTACTTTGTAGCAAGCTTCAGAGACATAGAAAGCAGCAATTCGTTCAGGAAGGTAATTGTTGACAGAGAGCAGGGCCTGGTCAAGCTTCAGTTCATTATCTAATTGCACACAAGGAAAATGTTTTCTGAGCAACACATGCCATGCTAGAAACCACCAGCAAAATATTGCTTTCTGCCACAGTATTGCAGCTGTCAACTAGCAGAAAAATACAAAAAGAGCTTTGCATTTGACAATGCACTATTATGTAGCATCTCCTATGCTCTTGGACATTTGCACACACATTTAGTGTTGTGTACAAAATTTGGCATCATCTCTGCCGAAGTGCAGGTTCAATTTTCTCTATATGTAAGCCCTCCCCTCACCAGCTTATGCTTTATATTGTTAAAGAGCTAAACATGTACATGGGGGCTGGGAGAGAGATGTACATTGAATGTCCCAAATATTGTTGAAATAAATGCTCCATTAATAATGAGGGGCAATTCCCTGCCTTAACTGATTCATTTTTTTTTTAAAAAAAACTTGCTAAGAGACTCCGTGCAAAACTCCCTGACATACAGAACTGAACAGCAGGTGAATTCATCTAGCAATCATGCTGTTATGATTTTAATACATTTTAACATATATTTGCAACACAGGCAGGAATGTTTGGATTGTAATGTGTTTGCCCATTGTAAACAGAACCAATTACAATCCATAAAACCAAACAGCCAAAAAAAAAGTAAGCTACCTATTTGAAAAACACTAGGCTTCCATGTTCTCTTACCTGAATTGCTGTTTTGCACAAAGCTCATTCCTAAGAAAAGCAAAAAGACAGTCTTTGCATTTGTCGTCATTTTCTTAAGCAAATCTGTTTACCAGCGAACCTGTATGCGCTTCATTGCATAAGGATCAGAGGTCACAAGGATCAGAGGTCCTTAATTGCTTAATTACTTTCATATGTGTATATGAGATAAACAAAGGAATTTGAAGTCTAGGTCTCAGCTGGTAACTCAGCAAATGCAAATTACACATATGGAGTCTGCTCCCTTATTTATTTATTTATTTATTTATTTATTTATTTATTTTATTGTTAGAGAAGTAGGACATACTATGCCTAACAGGTCACCACAAACTCTGCCACTTCTGTAACATACTGTACACACAACTCACCCTCAAATGGCTGCCATTGATAGGGAAACATCATAGTGACATCAAGAAACTATCATAGTGACATCAAGAAACTATCAGTGTGACATCAAGAAACTAAGGTAGCTGTACTACATATGTGGTGGGGAGAAAACCTGGTTCAACGGTTGTCCATTCAGAATAGTTGCTGTTAGCATCCGTCTGTCTCAAGAGACCACAGAGTTCGCCTCTGGAAGTGAAGTCAAACCACTGGAGAATCATAGTGCCTGCCTGTGGCTGCAGAGACTGGTAACTCAGGGGTCAGCAAACTTTTTCAGCAGGGGGCCAGTCCACTGTCCCTCAGACCTTGTGGGAGGCCGGACTATTTTTTGGAGGGGTGTGTGTGGAATGAACGAATTCCTATGCACCACAAATAACCCAGAGATGAATTTTAAATAAAAGGACACATTCTAATCGAGTAAAAACATGCTGCTTCCCAGACCGTCTGTGGGCAGGATTTAGAAGATGATTGGGCCGGCTCTGGCCCCTGGGCCTTAGTTTGCCTACCCATGCTCTAACTACTGCCTCCTGCATTGTTTTTGCTGCGTTAGCAGCACCTAAGTGAATTCTCCAGGGCACAAGCCTGGGCAGCATGTATGGAGGTCCTGGCTGCCTCTCAGCCTCACTAATGTGGCCCAAAGGAAAGCAGAGCAATACGTTTGGCAACAACTTGGCTGCAGTTGCCGGAAGGAGGTATACAAGGCATCATCAAACTACCTTAGGAACTCCATTCAGATTTGTGTAGCCTTTTTTTTCTCCCGATGATGTCCTGCAAGGCAGTGGGTAACTCACGAATAGACTCATTGAATTAATGACCATGACTAACTTAAATTCATTAATTTTAAAGGGTCTCTTCCAAACAGGGCTTGGGTGCCGCTGTGGTCTAAACCACATAGCCTAGGGCTTGCCAATCAGAAGGTCAGTGGTTTGAATCCCCGCGACGGGGTGAGCGCCCGTTGCTCGGTCCCTGCTCCTGCCAACCTAGCAGTTCAAAAGCACGTCAAGTGCAAGTAGATAAATAGGTACCGTTCTGGCGGGAAGGTAAACGGCATTTGCATGCGATGCTCTGGTTTGCCAGAAGCGGCAACATGACCCGGAGGCTGTCTGCGGCCAAAATGCTGGCTCCCTCAGCCTACAGAGCGAGATGAGCACTGCAACCCCAGAGTCGTCCGCGACCGGACCTAAAAGTCAGGGGTACCTTTACCTTTAAATACAACCCTTGACACTGAGCTAGCATTTTTGGTGGCAGTCCTGTGTTGATATTTTTTGTATTTGATAAGTTGTATTTGTGAATGTGATTTTTATGTATGTAAGCTGCCTTGAGTAAGGTACAAGCCTCAGAAAGAAAGGATAACAATTTTATAAATAAAACACAACACATAGTTTCACCCTCAGAAATGAGATCAGTGTAGGATTTGTCAAGATTCAAGCAGGTCAAATGATGCCCCATCAGTTATCAATTATTCTGTTTTGGCAATGATCAATTAATTGCATAAATAAGGAGCAGTCTACTCTCCACAGATGAAATGTAGTCAGAAGGTGCACTACAAATTTTGCTGGATCTAAGTTCAGCTACTTGGCAGAAAGATTTGCTTTCACGTTTCTTAGGAAGCATGGCTTTTCCTAGAGAAATGCACAATATTTCAATGTGTAAGAAATAACTCATGAACAGATACAACTTGGGCTGCCCATTTTTTTATCTCATTCAAACATTAGTATTAAAACCATGTACAACTGCATGATCCATTTTTTTACTAACAGCAAACAACATTTGCTGTAAATGTTTGTAAACATTGTTAGTAAAACATTTTTTACTAACAGCAAACATGAATCCCATCCAAATAATCACATGTAAAATACTTCAATGAATGATCAGAGACCACAAAGTGTGTGACACTTTCACTTCTTCCTGAAGCATACTGCGGGGTAAACACCATAAACCATAATTTACATCTGATGCTGATGTTTTCAAATGACATTGTCATTGTTTTTTCTCCTCCAAGGCAAGTTCATTGGAGTCCAGAACCTTATTAACAGTATATTTGGGTCTTGCTCTTAACTGGGCACTCCAGGGTAAAATGTCTTCTCGCTTCCTTCAGGTGGCTGCTGAAAACTCACTTCTCCCTTTCAGCAGATCCTCTCAGGCTTGATTTCTGCCGCTTTTTCTCCCTTTGTCCAATAATGCGAAAGAGCTTCTTCTTTGCTTCTTTCTGCCTCTTTATTTTCTCTTCCTCCTCTTTCTGCCTCCCTTTGAGACGTTCTTTAAGCTGCTGCCGATGTTTCACCTTGGCTTTCTTCAGCTTGTAACTGTGTACCGTACCCAAAGCAGACAGAAGTGCTGCAATCTTAACAAAAACAATGAACAACATGTGTTATGTACATATTGAACTTCAGGGCTGACAAATGGGAGCAAGAACTGGCAAATTACAGGGCTGATTTCCCAGGATTTAATTGCTGTTAGAAAGGGAGATCCAACACTAAAACGCTACTCATTAGCACTGAGCTGCAGCCATGCAAATCAGCACATGCACTTCTGGAAGGAAGATCAAAATCTTAGCAATGACATAAGCAGGAACTTCCCCCTCTCCTATCAAACAGATTCTTATATCAAACAGATCTGTTGGTTGTGTTCCATTTATCACACCCATCTCCCTCTAGGATAATTAACACAATTTGTATCTTGATAACTGTATCCACTGTTTCTTGGATCAAACACACTACACCAGTGGTTCTCAAAGGGCGTGGCAGGAGAGGATGGCAAGTTCGGTGGGAAGATTCCAGGACAGCCAATATTATATTGTGGGAATGATTCATGTTCTCATGTAGCTGTAGCTGCATTGTTTTGTACTTTGTGAATGTCCCATGATCAGCTTAGAAAGTAGCTGTGTTCTATGTTATAAATCAAGGAATTGTTTCATTTTGTTTCTCAGTGTATTTCCTATCAATAACAAAAATTGGTGTGGTGCGAGCCGCAAATTTTTATTCTGGAAGTGTGGCCCAGAGAAAAAAAGTTTGAGAACCACTGTGCTACATAAAGCAGGCCTTTAAGATTCATGGCAGTCATACTGTGCTACATAAAGCAGGCCTTTAAGATTCATGGCAGTCATATACCAGTTGGTACATTTTTATTTGTTAACTATCCTGAAAGCTACAAGTCAAGTTGCCTTACGTTGGAGGACTACAACAAATTGGAAGTCCCTTTACTCCCTTGGCCATAGAAATGGATGCAAGACAACCACAGCTGCCCATTTGCCTGAGAAATTTTGGATGGATGGATTTTTCTTAAAAGACAACTTACATGGCCATTCCACCTGCTCCATTTTATCCTGAGGTAGGTTAGGATGAGGGACAGGACAAAGTCATTCAGCGGGCTGCATGACTGAGTGTGGGGTTGAAATCTGGTCTCCCAGATCCTAGTCCAGTATTTCTCAAACTTAGGTCTCCAGCTGTTGTTGTACTACAACTCCTATCATCCCAAGCTAGCAGGATCAGTGGTCAGGCATGATGGGAGTTCTAGTCCAACAACAGCTGCGAACCCAAGTTTGAGAAACACTGTCCTAGTCCAAGTTTACGATGCAATCCACATCTCAGGGAAATTCCTGACAAATCTGTTGATTTTTATGGGAAGGAATCATTGACGTTTAAGAGAAATCTGTGTTACAGGTTGTGAATAACTTGTAACCCTTGTAAATTACAGCAAAAATAATGAGGACTAAAAACACCAATATTGGTCAGCAGTCAGAAAGAACTTGCTATTTTTAAGTGGTTCTTGCACCCAATAAAGGATTATTACAAAACCTGAAACAACTTACCTTCTTTTCATGAGGCTCCCTGATAACAGCTGGTCTCCACTTGTCCTTTGTGACTTTTCCTTTTCCTTCCTGAAGCTTAGGTTTGCTTTTAAATGGCAAAGCCTTCTGAAGCGCTTTTGGAATATGCAGCTTATTGAAATGTTTCTTTTCTCGCATTATAGGCTAAAATAAAAAAGAGTGAATGTAAATTGAACAGCAACATTCATTTTGCTTTCTAACTTGCCCATTACATTCTGCATTATAATAAGTATGAGGAAAATAGGCAAATAAAATCTCTTGGCTTATGTTCACAGCTCCTTCCCAACCGAAATGTAATATCTGAATCCTTCGCCATGTAGGAGTTCATGTTGTCATTTTTCCCTGTGATGACATCTAGCTTTTACTGACAAGAGCAAGAGTCACTGGGTGAGCTCTATTTATGTTATCTGAGCAATGCAGGAGGGAACTGCCTTGCTGTGGCTCCCTTAGCATAAACGTAATTCAAAAACAGGGTCTCGTTAACAGACTTCATCATCATTTTACAGATCAAATGATGTCACAACTGTTGCAGACAGACAGAATCCTGTTCTATGTACTGCCGCATATCTAGCAAGGGGGCTGAAGGCAATTTTATAAATTGAAAGCTGGAATACTTTACTAATCGGAAGTGGGGAGATTGTGCCTTCCACTTCAACATGTTGGGACTCCAGCTCTCATCCGACCCAGCCAGCAGGGCTAATGGCTGGGGCTGGTGGGAGCTGTAGTTCAACCTCATCTGGAATAAGGGGCACATGTTGCCCAACCCTGCTTTACATAGGCCTGTGAAATCACAGAAGGTCCTCCCCCAGGGTTATCCTGAATCTCAGGCACAAAATCACCAGGTGGATAACTCAGCTGGTTAGAGCATGGTGCTGAGAATGCCAAGGTTGCAGGTTCGATCCCCATAAGGGACAGCTGCATATTCCGGCATTGCAGGGGCTGGACTAATGACCCTCAGGGTCCCTTTCAACGCTGATTCTATGAGAATCACCGACTCTGCAAACATAGCACCAAACTCATGAATCAGGAGTAAGTTAAAGTACTAAGGAAAGAGGCACACAATAGGGCTTTTCCTCCCCACTCTGAGATGAGAAAGCAGAGTTGTCCTATTTAGTCTTTCAATGAAAGAGTGAGAAGATGACAGAGGTGGAAAAAAGAAGGTGGACTGGGGAAGCTTTCAAGGTCAGGACTATGCTTAATTTCCTGTGCCACTGCACATTCGGTATGTTTTCAGAGCCTCCACTATTTCACTAATAGTGCTGCTATTGAGTGTTGCTGACCAAAGGCAATTCAAGATAAAATCTATGCATATTTTGACACGAAACAACATACACCCCCTACCTTGTAAAGAGAATCTTTATTTTGTTTCAGTCTGATGCCCTTCTCATGCCTTAGCTGGCCTGTTGTCTTCATTCCTGCCCAGGAGTCTTTTTCACCCACAGCCTTTAGCAAGGAAGTCACTGGGTTATAGAAGGCTGGGGTGGAAACAGGATACCAAGTCCGCAAGAAAACAATATCTAGAAAGGGAAGAAACTGGTTAAGCTTTTAAAACTGTTTTAAGCAGGCAAGCTTTGCAGAGTTGCAGGTGAACCCCCATGCCCATATATCTGGATGACAGCTTTGCATCTCAAGGGGTTCCCCTCCTAGACCTGCAAGCAGAGTGAGGCAACGGAGCCCTGAGATGAGAAGAGTGGCAGGAGAATGTCATTTCTGAATCTACCTTATGTGAAAGTAGAACACAATACAAAACCAGCGCATCAGGTTCTGGCTCAACCTTTGCCCTGTACCACTAGTTTTCTACTGACACAGAGGTTTTCCCAGCAGAAGGTGGCATAGCCCATTCTACCACCTCACTCTGCTGTTATGTGTAAGACCCCGGTTCTGCTGTCACACAGTAAAATACAAAACTGTAGCCCTGTACAGAAGCTGAACACACCAACTGCCACCACAGGAATATCTGAGACGGTCATGAAGACGACAGCAATCCAGAGCACAAAGCAGAAACATAACTTTATTGAGTTTGCCTCTTACTATAAATGTAAAAATCAGAACGATATTGTTGCAACTATTGCAGTTAGGGAACACATGTAGCATTTCTGAAACTGACCCCTTGCTACCAAGACTTTTTTATAGGGGCACTGAAACTATGATCAGAAACACCAGCCTGATCACCACTAGAGGGCAGAGCTTTTTTACATTAAAGGAGGCATAGCAGAGTTTGAGAAACCTGCCCTCTCAGAAATGACTGTGCAATTCATTCCACAGATATGACAGGAGTGCACCCTCACATTTGGCAATTCCTGAAAGGAAAGGCTCCTGAAAGAATCATCCTGTAAAGCAACTGGAAGGTGCCACTTACCGCTCATTAGCAACTTATCTTCAAAGGTGGCTCGGAAGGCACCCTCGGGTGTCCGCAGGGCTTTTTTAATCTGACCTCGGATGCCGCTCACAGAACGAATGGCTGCGCCTTCAAACTTGGCCACTTCCAGTACAGAGTTAAACATCCCCTATGTTGACGTGAAACAAAGTAGGAATGAAAAACTTCATACTGAGCTTGATATTGCAATATCACCAAAAGCACCCTTCTATACCAAAGCTGTGTAGGCTTCTGTGAGGCCTTGGGGAACAGAGGAGGACAGCCAGATGACTGCCCTGTATGCTTTACTGATTTATTAACAGAATTATTTTTATACCACCATATCATATTGGGGCAGTGTGCAACATTAAAACGTGAAGCACCATTCAGAACAAAACTTTCCAAACTGTGTGTTGTGACATGTTAGTGTGTCAGCTGCAGTGTGAATACTTCCCATGGTCCTTCTGGGGCTGGAAAGGGGTTAGTTTAACCTCTGGTTTAATAGTAAGACTGAATTACCATGTCATGAAATGATGCACGTCTAAAGTGTGTCACTAACACGAAAAGTTTGCAAAGCTTTGATTTAGAACCATACAATCATTAGTGACTGGCTTATCACAAAAATTCAACAGCTGCAAAGGCCTGCTTGAAAGAGACGCTTGAAAATCAAAGGTGAGGATGCCTGCCAGATCTCTGCTGGGACTGTGCTCCACTCCACATAGGACAAGCAGTGAGCTCAACACAGCAAGGCCTCTGTAAGACAAGCCACAACTTACAGCGCTCACCCAGTGACTGAGCAGAGATAAAAGGGCTCATGCAGGCCTTAAGAGATCCTGCACCCAAGGTGTTCAGGGCTTTCTATACTGATGCAAGAGCCTTGGACCTGATATGGGGAGCAAGTGGGCAGCCAATGCAGATGGTTAAACAGAGGTACAGTATGTTGCCCCCATCATCTGCTGCGTTCTGTGCCAGCTGGAGCTTCGGCATGAGGAGCAGCCCTACGGAGAGTGCACTGCAGTAATCCAGCCTTGATGTTACAAAGGCATGGGCTACAGTGCCCAAGTTATCCCAGTCCAGATATGGTCATAGCTGGCACAAAGGTTGTAAAAGCCTGCAGGGGAAGTGCTTTGCCAGCAGGAGTTCCTGGGTTCAATCCCCAACATCTCCAGGTAGGGCTGGGAGAAAGTCCATGTCTAAAACTCCAGAGAGCTGCTGCCAATCACTGTGGACCATACTGAACAATATGGGCCAATGGACGTGTTATAAGGCAGCTTCCTATGTCCCAAAGAAATTCCTAGCCACATATGTCATTTGTGCCTCTAACGACAAATATGTATGCAGGAGTACCCCCACGCTATGGATCTACTCCAGGCACCCCCAACCTTCGGCCCTCCAGATGTTTTGGACTACAATTCCCATCATCCCTGATCACTGGTCCTGTTAGCTGGGGATCATGGGAGTTGTAGGCCAAAACATCTGGAGGGCCGCAGGTTGGGGATGCCTGATCTACTCCTTTGGAGGGCATGCAACCCTGTCCAGAACAGGCTGCTGGTCTATCCTCTTGGCGCAGGAGCAATGTTCAAAATTAGCCAGGCGCCAGGTGTGTTTTGCAACTGGTGCAGGTCCAATTGCAATCACATGGAGATCTCTGGACACCAGGTTGGCAACTGGGGTGGGGGGGGGGGGACAAAATATCACTTAGAGGAGGATCTGAAATATTTCCCTTGAAACCTGAATTAGTTTTATTCCGGTTTGTTTGAATGTGTTGTAAACCGCTTTGAGATTTCGTCTTTAAAATATAAAACGATATAGTAATGGAATGGGTAATAATATTAATAAAATCCCATCGGGGAGGGTGGGGGATGGCACCTAGACATTCCATTGTGGCAACCATAGTCTAGGTTTAAGAAGCCATTTGGTGATTAGATTATATATCTGAGTTTCTAACACTCTGCAGGAGCCACTTACCTACGGAGGCTCCATTTCATCAGAGTTCAAACCCAGTTTATTGGCCCTAACTGATTTTGAAGCTCACACGGGAGGGTCATTCCATATCAAAATACTAAGAAAATTGGAAGATGTGGTGTAAAAAAAATGGAATTACTTGATGTGGAAGGACTACCTGCACTGCAAAACAACCATACTAGACTTCTTGTCTGTCTTCAAAAAACATACTGAAAAGAGACGCTTGCATCACAAAAGGGAGCTAGGTGAAGACTTTGAATTTCAAAAAGGAAAGATACTGTCTTTGTGGGAGGTGCCTGTTCCAAACTGTCTCCTAAGAGAGATAACAGCAAAGAATGGAGCCACTGAGTGAGTCATAGCACCCAGGAATCACCCATCTGACTTCCAAGATAGGGTCTGAAGTTCAAAATGGAGCATGACAGATAAAAAAAGCTCCTTCCCAAAGGAGTTTAAAACACAAAGAAGTTTTAAAAAGGTGGGGGGTGGGGGAGCAACTTCAAAATGTTCCTGGAAAACACATTTTATAATGACCAACACATTTCAATAAGGTCCTTATCGGAGGCACAAGGAGGCAACACAGGAGATGTTGCCTTAATAGGAAAATTGCGTAAGGCTTTTGGAAACATGCATTGGGCGTTTAAAATATCCATTACGCATTCAAGATCATTGGGTGTCACCCGGCATATGAAGCTTTTGCTATTCTTTCAACGGAGTTGAGGGCTGTAGGGAAAGGTTAGGGACAAAGATTCAGGATCCTGGCTACCATTTTTGGTAGGTACAGCTTTGCTGGATCAGGCCAAGGATCCATAACACCCTGTGCACAACAGAAGCCAGCCAGATGTTTTAGGGGCAGCTGAAACAGGGCCATAGTTCATCACCATTGCTGGCAGCCTAGGTAATAATAAGAATAATTTATTATTTATACCCCGCCCATCTGGCTGAGTTTCCCCAGCCACTCTGGGCGGCTCCCAATCAAGTTTTAAAAACAATACAGCGTTAAATATTAAAAACTTCCCTGAACAGGCATTAAGAGGTATGCTGCCTCTGGAAATAATAATAACAGCAGTAATTAAATGTACTCTCCACCCTTCACTAGCAACTCCCAGGGTGGGTTATAATTAAATATTTAAAAACAGCTACAACAAATTAAAGCTGCAGGAATAGGGCAAGTCCTGAGAACACGCATCTCAGGTGTCAACAAGCAAAGGTTGACATCTTCTGCATTTGCCAAAAGCTGCATATTGGTCGTGCCAGATGCACTTCTATAGGTAGGGAATTCCACAACTCAAGGGCTGCCACAGAAAATGCAGCTTTTTGGTGGTGGTGGGACCCAAAATTCTGAAGGCGGCGTAACTACTACTCTGCTGACCCCCAAGAGGGTCCTCAACATTCCTACTGCTCAAACACGTACCTTGATAAATGCTGTATTCTTGAAAATTTTGAATGGGAAACCGGTTAACTTTAATTTCTTCACAACTCTTATGGACTTATCTAAGTCAAGCACAACTCCAGTGGCAGCTATCCGAAAATCAGGCTGAAATATAAAGCACAGAAACTTGCTTGTATTTGTTATAAGCTATCCACGTGCGCCCATGTACGAACACACATGCGGGCAGACAGGGTGGGGCGTGCACACGCACTGGAAAGTGCAGGTTTCAGGGTGCTTATCTCCATTTCTCATTTATTTTGCTCATGGGTCTATAAATTTTGGTTTGGCTTACTGTATGTGTATGCATACCAGAGAAGCTGGGGGAGAAGAGGGCCTCTCACATCGCACTTGGCTTCACACAACATACAGATACAATGAGACTCACACATTGCTTCTGCTTGGTCCAAAACTCAGCAATGCAACAGGAGAAACTCCTCCCTTCCTCCCCCTCTCTTGACTAATGGAAACATTTCACCAAGGAACTTGCCCTAGCAAGCAGAAGCCGAGTACTGTATCTTATTTCCTACATTACTTATCTATCCATATGGCCGTCCTGCACACTTCACAAATAAATCCACCAACAGAATCATAGAATTGGACAGGATCCCGAGGGTCATCTAGTCCAACCCCCTGCAATGCACCCTAGGCCAACTATAAACCGTCCATGGTAAATACTTACTGTTGCTCCGCTCACTGACTGGATTGCCAGACATCCTGCTCCTTGTGGCGTGATAGGACCTAACAAACAAGATTGACCCAAACCTTCAGTGTATGGTTCAATGTGCATATCTTCTCTTAAAAACGTAGTGAGAGAAGTAAAACCCAGGGCGAACTAGGGAGTTAAAAGCAAATACAAAATGCTTCCTTTCAAAACTGAGGTAATGTTCTTAATACAGTCATACCTTGGGTTACAGCTGTGTTTTTTCAGGTTGCAGACCGCCAAAACCCGGAAGTACCAGAACGGGTTACTTTGGGTTTCGGCGGTTGTGCATGCGCAGAAGCGCTAAATCGCACTTTGCACATGCACAGAAGCGCTGAATTGCAACCTGCACGTGCGCAGACACGGGTTGCGAACGTGCATCCTGCACAGATCACGTTCGTGACCCGAGCGTCCACTGTATATCAACCCCCTGGCACAAGTAATAATCAAGGGAGCATGATTTAAGGTAAAGAAATATGAAGCTTTCTTGGACCTGGCTCTTAACACGGTGGCCAGGTTCACATGTAGCACTAAACCTCAACTTTGGGTTTGCATATAATGTTGGAATCCTGGCTCCCATCAGCCCAGATCATTGGCCATGCTGGCTGCAGATTATGTGAATTACAACCCAACAATACATAGGGATCCAGGACAGGAAAAAACCATGCTAAGCCATGGCTTAGCCTTATTATTATGAACTAAATTTGTTTTTGGCTCAAAGCTTGACTCACACGCTCCCCCTTCCTCCCCCTGCATGGCTGCCAGTATCTACTTATCTCAGTTTTCATCAAGTTTCCCTTATCTTGGCTTACCATTGTGTGAACCAGGGATGATTTCTTATCCTACACCCTGGCTAGGTAAACAAGACATAATCCATGCCTTGAAATAGCAAACCCTTTTTCTTGACTGTGGCTCAGTCAATCTCCTTCCAGCCCTGTAAATTTGATAAACGAGGCAGAGGTGCAGGTTTTGAATTTTCCCCTCTAATTTCACCACTGCTCTTACATAAAGCTTCAAACAATTCCTCATCATCATTAGGTGGCTTTACCAGTGCTGTTCCTGAGGCTGGGAAGTTGCAGAGTTTGCTTTAGAGAGTTTGCTCTTACCCCAAAAAGTTGTGCCACAGTGCATATGCTGTGGTGTATACTTGAGCAGCCTGTGACGGCCATTATGGTCTTCAATGTAGTACATAGGGATCGTCTGAAACCTCCTCCAGCCCAATGAGAAAATGAGAGGATCGCGAGTCTTAAGTATTTTCTTATACCAACGATGCTTCTTCAAGCGCATCTGAGGAAAACCAAGGATGTTTCATCAAAAGCAAACTCCTACATTTATGCCAGTAATTATTTCAGCAGTCCCTTATCCTGTCTTAGTACTGAGGCCATCTTGCACTATATAAAATGCAGTGAGTGGTTCGGTGCCTGATGTTTTGAGAAGTTGGAAACAGAAAATGATAACAGGGATCAAGGAAACACATAGAATATTTTGCAACTTTCATCCTCAAAGAGACTGATACAAAGGACCGTCGAATGGAATGAAAGTTCCGCGAAGTCTTGCCTAAGAACTAGCTGTGAGCTGAGTATAATCTCTCATGAATATCTTTATCATGAGGTGTAAGATAGCCCTTCTGTGAGCAGAAGAGACATTCCACACAAGGGCTGGCAGCCTTGGCAGTACAATTATGTTCTAGAACCAGCTTTGACAAGGGTCTGCAGAAAGGAGATGCAGGCAAGGAATCTGGAGGCACACTGAAAGTCATTTAGGATGGCAAAAAATGAAGGATTTTTATGTAGCAGCAAATTGGAATGCCATTCATGTGAAGAAACGGCTGGATATGATTCCATGGAGATAAGAAGAGCAGCATTGCTCAAAGAATCTCTTTATGGAGCTTCTTCCACACTCAGTTCAATTGCTCTGGCACTGAATAAGCAAGTAAGAAAAGATCAGCCCAGCCCCAAATGGGGATAAATGCTTTGTTCTGGACCAGATGGGTGAATCTCCCTCCTCTAACTTCCCTCCACCCACTTTCCCTTGCAAATATTGCCTTTTTAGTTGGTAAGCCTGATACCATGGCATCCCTCTCTCCCTGAGGAAAGCTGCATTGCAGGACAATAATTATCTGAAAAGTGGGATAAGCAAGTGCTGCAACCCTAACCCAGAAGTATAGGAGTGGGAAAATGTGGTCACACAGGAGGTGATGAACTGAGACACAAAAGAATTCTGCACCATAAAGGAGAACATAGTGTTGCGACTGCGTACCTGCACATAGCCCACATTTCCTTCGGTGTTTCCCAGGCCACCCAGAATAATTGGATAGTGTGGGTCAAAATGCAGCACCAGTTCACATGGGACATTCTCCAGTTCTATCCGTACATACATTCCAGGCCGGAATCCCTCATACTGAACTCTGGTCTCGTCGTCTTGATCTTCAAATTCAGTCCGGTTAAGCTGTGCAACAGAAGCAGTTTGGAGATCCGTTAAACTGACAGAAAAAATACTTGTAAACCAATAATGACAATAATGAACATTTGCATTATGAGCCTCCTGGTACAGGTTAATGAACTAGAAGGAAAATGTACACATTCTTTTCAACATTGCCATTAAACTGTATAATACTTAGTGCCTTACAGCTGGAGAGCGCTTGTTAGAGAGTTCAAACCATTTCACATATATTGTGTTATTATCCTTATGATAAGTAAGGATTGAAGCTGACATGCAGGGGTTACCTAGAATTGTGGAAAAAGGGGAAAATTCAAACCAGAGATATCCCGAACCATATTTCAACCTTTTAACCATGTCTACTCAGAAGTAAGCCCGATCTAATTCAGTCTTGCAGTTCTAGCCACTAAGCTACAAAAGTTCCCTATCAGGTATGAAATTTATACCTGTGCCTGTTTCTGCAACTCCCCTTTCAGGTCATCAAAGTAGGTGGCATCTCCTTCGTCATACACAGCATCAAACATCCTCTTCAGCTTGCGTTTCTTATCCATGCGCTTCTTCTTTTCCTCTTCCTCTTCACCAGATTTGTCCTGTTTCCCATTATTATTCTCTTTCTCTTCTTCGCTTGATGCCTAATGGGGAAGGCGGGGGGAAGAGGGCTTTATTCTGTGTGTTTGTTTTGTCCTCAGGAACAAAATTACAAGTCATTTTAATACTGCAGCTTTTTGTTTTCAACTTAGACCTAAGGCCTAAGAAAGATCAAAATTTATGACTTGCCCATTCAAGTAATTAACTAGTGATCATCAGTAACAAGGAGTCAAAACGGCAAAAAAATGTTCAAACTCAATCTGTGCATCATTAACAGATAAACATTACTGGGTTTATAGTGTCTGTGAAACCTTAAAAAAATTGCCACTGTAATCCACCTGACAAGTGTCTTATGTGAGAATTTAAGCAGTTCTGAAAAGAGCTGAAGATGAACTACATAGTAAATGGCTGCTGATATCCTACAAAGTAAGGGAAAAGTTGTAGGGGAAAAGTTGTGGGCTTTGAACAGTTCAAAGGTAATTATGAGTCCCACACAGAAGAGATGCAATGACACTCATAAACTGCAAACAAAGAACAAATACATATCTGCTAACACTGAGAAAAAATATGCTGAATATTTTCAAATTCCCATGATCTGCATCATGTATTTGCTGAAGAATTTGGGTCTCTCTTGACAAGAGAATCTGTAACTTCCTAGCTTTGAACACCTGTTCAACAAATGAATCACAGTTAATTCTCTCAAACCTACTTCATCTCCTTGATCAGCTGCTTTGCCTTTGTGTACAATTCCTGTCTCAAGATCTTCAAAGTCGCCATATAATTCTTCTATAAAAGGTAAACATCAGCAAAATCATTAATATTTTCTGCCTTAGTTTCTCCTATACAGTAAATCTTTCAGCTTGTTCATCGTTGATAAATTTTCTGCATGCATCTGAATGTGTTTTCATTCAAACACACACACAACCCCACCAAGCCCCCATGGTCCCTTCATTTGTGATATTTTCATAATACATGAAAAACTGGCAGGTGGGAGGTGGTATATATGTGTGGACGTTTTTGTGCTCTGTCTTCTGTGTGCATACATTCAGTGGCCATACGAAGTCTTCCACTAAAACAAGGAGATGAGTGTACTGGCACTCAGATCTTCCAATAAAGGAAATCAGCCATTTCCAGAGCCCATTCCTGCCCACAGGTCTCCCAAACAATCTCCCAGATACTGTTTTTCTACACACATAAAAGTGTCCCTCCCAAACCCTCCTTACAGTTTTCAGCATTGTCTCCACATGCAGAACTGCCCTCCCTGCTGAAACCCATATTTTCATCAGCCCTTACCCACTAAAGCTGGCCCTGAAGCAGGTCCACCCATAGCTGCTCAGACTTTTCCTTCCAACTATTAAGAGAACCATACAAAAAGGCTCCAACTTACCATCCTCCTTCAACAGTTTTGCAGCATCTTTATCAGCTTCCCAGTTTCCAGTCACAAAACAGTCTCTGATACTGTCCATAACCTGCAGGCAGAGTAGCAAGCTTGTTTTCTGCTGCAAACACATGCTAATTCTAGAACTGACCCACTGCAGCGGCAATTATTTTACCAGTTGCAACAATCTGAGCCGCCCATACAAAAACATTCGTTAATATTTCTAATCTATTGTTTTTTCTGAACACGGTCAACGCACACATTTGTCAAGGAAGCCATGAAAGTAAGATCTGGCCACTGTGTTTTCAAGAATGAAGGGCTATCAGGTACAGCAAAACTGGATACTCAACATGTAAGTGAGGCATCAAATAATCTAAAATATTGTGCCTCAAAGTGGCTTTCTTAGTCTATGCACCCTTCCACACAGAAAAGACTACCTGCCCTAAAAATTACCCTTCCATATGACCAGCATAGACAAACATAAACAAAACAAAACAAAATGCCTGCACAATTCAAATACTGCCACTCCTTCCTTAACCACCCTTCCCAAACATTGCCAGTTTAGTTCCCTACTGATCTCCACCCTACTGCTTGTTGCTTCTTTTCCTTTCCAAACACCAGCTCCTCTCTTTTTGCAAGTCTAATCCACAATTCTCAAAGATCCTCAAATCTGTGGGAGTGGTAAATTATGTTTCTACCATCATCACCACTTCTGCTCCTCCCAACCTCCACCGATACCAGCAAGTGAGCATATACCATATGCACTGTCTTATTATGAATACAGTATCTGGGATATAAATCTAGCAAATAAGTCCTCCCAGTGCATCTGCCACCTAGAAGCTGCTTCTCTTAATTCTCCCTCTATTAAATTTCTTGAACAGCTCGGACTGTGTGAAGTGCACACCAACCGACCATCCCTCCAGCATACCTCTCTAAGAATACAGTAAGCACTGAATCTACAGTAAGAATACAGAATCTACAGTAAGCACCTCGTCTAAGTCCCAATCTTGTGGGGTTTCCACAGGGAATTTGGAGCAGTCAAGGGCATCGGCTTTTCGCTTTGATTCTTCGTTGGGACGGCTGATGCGGAACAACCCTCCAAGCTCATTGTTTTCTTCATCTTCCTCCCCCTCATCCTCAGCCACTGAATAAAAACAGAAGTGCTTCACGGTTATACTTTGAAAGGAAGCCCTGGGAATGTTGCATCTTGTAATATTTCATTACTAGAGTGCAAGCTTAAGGAGTCGGGAGCAAGCACCCGCAAATCCATTCCCCAGGACTGAATGGGTCTTGTCTTCTGGTGAGAAGAATGCTCACTGACATACGTTCCCTCCCTCCACCCACTCACTTGTCCAGTGGTTTAGGATGCACAGTGAAAATGTCTGCACAACTGAGAAACAGCCCCATCGCTCTTCCAGTCCTCTGCATATGCCAGAGAGCTTGAGAGAAAGGCATTTTGTTTTTGTGCAGTGAAAAATAAAGACAGTGGTACCTCAGGTTAAGTACTTAATTCGTTCCGGAGGTCCGTTCTTAACCTGAAGCACCACTTTAGCTAATGGGGCCTCCTGCTGCTGCCGCACCGCCAGAGCACAATTTCTGTTCTCATCCTGAAGCAAAGTTCTTAATCCAAGGTACTATTTCTGGGTTAGCGGAGTCTGTAACCTGAAGCGTATGTAACCCGAGGTACCACTGTATCCTCTATTACAAAATGTATGACAAAGATCTTGACTCTTATTCTTTGAATTCCAAGTCTCTTCTCCTCTAAACATAGCAATATTATATCATAATCAACACTTAATAATGTCATCTTAGTTGCTCTTCTTGCTTTTATTATTAAGTTGATCCACCTAAGTTGATCTACCTCACTGGAATATCTTCTGTCTTTTCCAGCTATAGCTTGTCAAGTACTTCATAATTTCAATCTGTGTTACTGTTTGCTGAAGAAGTAACTTGCCCTTAATCATCAGCGTGGTCGATATGCCACAAAATAGCCAATAACCCTTTTAGAACTTGAAAGTTGATTCCAACAATCTGATTTTGGGCTGAGCCAACTGCTAGGAAGCTGGTCAACTGTGTTGAAGGACACAGATTAAAACCCAAAAGCCTATCAGGGACCACACTTGGTTGCCTGGTTGCAAATAAATATTATGGGACCAACCAGAGCAGCTTTCATAAGATGGGAAAGAGTTGGACCTTTTCTTCTTTCATGCAGCCAATGTACCACAAATGATTAACATGTTTTTTCCCCCTCTCCTTCCACCACCCATTCTGTTAGTCCCTTTTCTTAAATTGTATAAGGGAATGCACTGTATTTATTATACCTGTTCCATAAATAAGTTTGCGAAGATTGGGAGCCGATTGTTGTTGCCTCAGAAATGCTTCAGCTGCCTTTTGAGTAATGCCTTCTTTCCACTTAAGCGCACCTGGGGGGAAACAACATGGTTTCTTTAACTGAGCAGATTCAATGCTTGCTCAGATTCGCAACTGTCCATTCTACCACTAATATAAATGGTCCCTGCTGTCATTAATCTCCAAAAGATTATTTACTTTCTCCAGTTCCTATGTGAGTTCACTTTTTCTTAATTCCCTCTCATATGCATGGGGCTGGATCCAAACTGAGACTTCAGTCCTAACTACACTTAGCAGGGAGTGAGCCTTGTTGAATTCAATAGGACTTAAGACTAAGTAGGTATGCAAATTAGTTGTCCACAGTTCACATTGTGATCATTGAGACTAATAGCACAAACCCAACCATGTCTACACAGAAGTAAGACCTACTTAATTCAATGGGACTTGCTCCCAAGTAAATGGGATTAGGATTGCAGCCTAAATTAAGTCATGACTAACTTTTCAAATTGATTTCAGTGGGACCTAAGGGCAAGTAACTTGGTCTGGATCCAACCCATGGTTCACAAGGTAATCTTATACATATCTACTCAGCTCAGTGGGACTTATTCTCGGGCACACAGACCTACAGTTTTATCCTCCTCCACTAGAAAACAGCAAGGTAATATGAAAACAAAAATACAAAAGAGCAATTAAACTGAACTACATTTATGCTACAGAAATGATTGGCAGACCTCATAATTCCTAAGTAGCACAGCTCCTTTTACTAAGTAGCACAGCTCCTTTTACTAGCAAATGAACAACACCATAGAAGGTGGGCAATCTCAATTGAATGTCATGCCAAACTTGCCAAGAGAGCAGTGTGTACATACCAACTGTATCTAGAGAAAAGTCAGAGGCTTCTTTATACTCCTCTTCCTCTTTCAACAGACCTTCAACATCATCCTCGCTTTTGTCAAACTTTGATTCCTGTGTTTTAACTCCAGCACACTGTGGCTGGGAATCTTCCCCGTCTGATTCTTCCGTATCAGAATCTTCCATTGATTCTCCTTTGTCCTCCGCAGATGATTCTTCCATCTCAGATGCTGATGCTTCTTCTGCTGTCCCATTTCCAGAATCTGTAGTGGCAGCCACCTTTTTACGCATATTTCTACTATTTCTCTCCTCTTTGTCCATTTCACCACATGCAGACCTATTCAATAAATCTGTGTTTCCGGCTGTAGATTCAGAATCAGCAACTCTCTCCTCCTCGCTTTCTTGTCCATCTCCTTCTCCATCTTCCCCGTCCACATCAAGGCCCATTTCTTCTTCCTCACCTGAACTTATCTCAAGATTGTCATCGCTATCAGCAAATGCTGGAAGTTCTGTTAGGGTTCCTTGTTTAGGTTCTTTTTTAAAACGCTTGGAAGATCTCAGGGCCAGCTCCGGATCTGGGAAATCTTCATCACTTTGTTGCCCATCCTCATCATCACCATCACTACCACTCTCAGACATTTCTTCATCTTCCTCCTCATCACTTCCACCATCTTCTTTTTCCTCGTCTTCAAATAGTGCCTTCCGACGTACCCTCCCAGTATGTGGGTCAGTTTCCTTCTCTTCTTTAGGCATCTCAAACAGACTTCCAAAAGAAGCAAAAATGAAGTATCACGAACCATTCGAAAACAAAGATACTGCAGAGAATATTTGGGGAGCTTCCAGGCCATAGGTCAAATTTGGTTTGTGAGGCTGTTTTTGGAAAGCCACACTCACCCGCTCTGTCGGGGGTGGCACAGGTAAAGATTGTTCAAAGGAACAATTGGGAGCTTAACATAAGTTCCTGATTGTTTCTCTGCTGGAGCCCCAATCACCCATCAACTGGTGGGCAGTAAAAATGTGGCTTGCACAAGGAAGGGAAACCCTTTCTTCCTCCGAATGCTGCTCTTTGAAAACTCCCCAAATGACATTTCTCCACCTCCAACATTGGGGTGGAAAGGAGAAATAGGGGGAGACTTCCAAAACAAAGGGCTGTCAATACCCTTGTGCTGTAGTTCTTAAGCATGGGGACCCCATGCAAAGGATTTTGATATTGATTCCGGAGCCATAAACGGTCTCTGCCTCCCCCCAAAAACTTTTTGGGATCAAAATCTGCTTGCTAGGCTGACTAAAACTGCAAACATTAAAAAGTAAAATATTCTCTCAACTGCCCCCTTGGTAATCAAGGGTTATCAACTTACCCTTGGTTGTCAATGTCAGTCTCTAGCGGTTGGGAATCCATGAAGAGAGACACTTTGCTTGACGCCATTTTGGCATCAATAGTGGAGTGCGTAGAGATGAGGCTCTGGACTAGTTCATGGTTTGGTCTTGTTTCCTCCTGACAAACCAAAATTCTGTTAGCAACTATTTTCTAAATATACTTATTTTGCTGTTTGCGTAAATTAGCTGAGACCATAGTGGTACTTATGCCAAGAGATTACATCTCAATAAGCAGGCTGGGAAGAGAAGTCTGTCAGGGGTACATACAACTGGTTTCAGTACTGTACAAGAATTAACACTGCATTACCAACTGCTAAAGAATTAACCCTCACCTCTTCTTCTTTATGTGTGTGACTTCCTCCAAGGTCGATATAAACTGCATCTTTATCATAAACTAAGCCCCCAACACCTGACAGTGGTGCATAAATAAGCTTCTCCTTCTCATTTAAGGAACGCTTCTTCTGGTGTTCAGGGAGCGCACAGGGATCTGGCAGGAAACTGACATCACTCACTGTGAAATCCCCAACGCCTGGATGAGAAGAAGCACAGAAAATCAAAATGGGGTCCAAGTAGGAATTGCTAAAAATTAGCCACGCATGCAGCGAAATGACCACAGTGATTTCACTGTGTTAGTGATCTTATGTCGATGAAGTACTGTATCGATGAGACCTCCTACCACATTTTTTTATTTCTTGTTAAGGTACAGGAATCTCATGAAGAGAGACTGGCAAAATGAGCCCAGCTGGCAAATGCCTATATGAACAAACCCCAAGTTTTAATTATATATCTCCCATATTTGTTTTTTACTTTTCTGTATTTTCTATATTTACTTAAATAGCAGGTTACAATACAACTTTAAAAGCAATATAGAATATTAATTAAAGTAACAGGCTACTCAGTAAAAAAATTAAACAACTGCATAGGCCTGTAAGCATAAAAAAAGTCTCAAGAAACACCTAAAAGTCAAAAGCAAGGGTGCCTGCCAAATCTCTTGTGGAGAAGAGTTTCACAGCAATGGACTGGCAAAACTAAACGCCTGACTTCCAGTTCAACAGGTATTCCCAGCAAAGTGTGTATAGGATTACAGCCTCAGCCTTCCAATCTGCAATATGGGGGCAATGTTTAAACCCTAAAATATTGCTGATTGGAAGATTGCTGTTTGCAGGAACATAGTCTTTTAAAAAGGGCTCCATGTACACTTCATTGGAACAATGTATGTGCAAACTGTATTTTTCTTAATACAAGGCTGTCCTTTGTTAACAAGACACAGTGCTGCAAGAAATAAAAAATAAGAACTAAGTGGTGGTATCCAACCTGGCATATGTATTTGACTTTTGTTTTTCAAGTGCGTTCCTCTTAAGTAACCATAAAGTGAAACCTTCCTGTCACACTTTGGATTAACTCTGATATCTTCAGGGTTTGTCAAGTCTTCCATCCTACAGAATATAAGGAAAGATCCACAGTACTTTCACATAAATAAATAAAAAGTCATCTAACAACATTGCAGAGTGCTGGGAGGGAAACAGGGGAAATGAGAGGTGTGTGGTATGGAATTACCTGTCTGCTAGTACGTAAGGATGAGACGTCTGCCACGTAAGGGGACGGAATTTCATTACGGAAATAAAGCGCCCCAGGTTGTGGATTTCCTGTTTTTGATATTCTCCATGTACCATCCCAGAGAGATAGAACAATTTGGCACCCTGAATTGACAAATTAAGAGAATAATTCACTGAACAACTGAAGCAAGACACTACACTTTACTGTTTCTCTAGCATAAGCGTGATTTCCTCTGAAAATAAACACAGTTGTGTACATGATGCAATTTTGCACAATAAGAAGAAAAAGCACCTCAAGTATATTGATGGGGGAATTCAGCTTCCTGAGAATTTCAGGGAGAGCTATGCATTGGCCACAGTTTGTCATGCCAGATGACCAAATGAACAATGGCTAACTAAAGCAAAAAAATGCACCTCTGAATTCCCCCCAGGAGGAGAAAGAGAAGCCCAACTGCATATCAAGCATGTTATGCTAACCTATGGCCATTATAAACAGCAGGGTTGCCACCAGGACTGCATCCCCAAGCTGAATTACAATCTCCTTCCCCCTAATGTTTCTGGATATCACATTGTGTGTTTCCCCACCTGTGATCCATACACTTGGCCTGCACTCTCTGGAAAGCACAATTTATACAAACTGCAGCAAACGTTATCTTGCCATGTTTTTCAGTGCACTGCAGTCCTGCATCAAGATTACTGGTAAGACTAAAATGCTATACAAAGAGCGCACCTACAGCAAAGTCATACAAGTACCAAAATCTGTACTGGGTTTGAAAACTCATTTGAACTGTGGAAAGTTCATTACACAAAACTGTAGATAATTATCTTCCAGATTAAAATCCAAATCCAAATTTGTGACTTTAACCATGAATGGATATGGAACTATATAAAGGACAAATTTTCAGGAAGGATCCAAAGGAAATTGTAACAGAAACACACTGAAGAGGTACAATGCAGCCTTCTAGCTTCACTGCCTACAACTCTAAATGTTTTACATTCAACTCACAGGGTGAGCCACTGATGCAATATCATACCTGATAAACCTCTGTCCAGAATCTGTGCTTCAATCTCTTTTTAGTCTTCTTGAGCTGTTTGTTATTCTTGAAGGTATCCAAGTGCGTAAGAACACCCATAATTTTGGGGAAGCCATGTACCTGGCAAATGTTTAAAAATTCAAATGTTTCCATTTCAAATCCGAAGCTGGCATCAATGAGCATTAAAACCTGAGAAATGGAAAGAAAACTGTCAGGGGGAAAACATGCAGATCAACAATGAGCTGGAAAAAGTTAATGCTCAGTATAAATTAAATTCTCAATTTACTTTTTTCAGAACATTACTAGCATATATTGAGAATTTAATAAAGAAAAGAATTTGTATAATGATCCAACTATCAACAATGGGTCACCTGAATCAAATAAAGTGCATGTTGCATAGTAAACAACATTTTCCTTCTTTCAAAGAAAATATGCTTAATCCAGTATATCAGTTCAATTTATTCACTGAATAGGTCTTTTTTCTAAGCACACACACAGAATTGCAGTGTATAACTACTACTTATAGAGCTCAGCTCTAGAGAAATATACAGCTTGACTTGTATCCATCTTGTAATTAGTGTATGATGTTTTCCCAAGTTTATAATTAGCATATGTTGTTTTATAGCAAGAAAAGCTCGTCATATACTGATACAACTCACCAGATCGGCAACTTTAGCTAGATCAATCATTGTATTAATATCACATCCACATTCAATTATGGTAAGCCTACGCTTTTTACCTGTAAACAAAGGTGAAGAGCAAAACATGAAAGATTTTAGTACTACCATTAAAAGTGTGACAATACTTTTCAGCTCATTGATTGAGAACATCAGATCACACTACCCTGTGATAACTTGTTTCCTGTCAAAATCAGATAGGCCAGCAGGGAAATTAAAGTGATTTTGGCTGATTTTAGTTTATTCAAATTTTCTTATAGCACATATGATTATGTACAGCATACTTCACTCCTCTAATTATGTTCTTGCTTTTCAGACAAATATGGACCACCTGTCTATTCATGATCATTGGATGCCCTGGCTCCAAGTACTTCTTCCCATCCAAAATGCAGCAGGAGGCAAACGGCCAATGGGCCTTCTCTGTGGTGGCACCCCATTTGTGGACACTCCCCAAGAACACTCAACTAGTCTAACTTTCAGGCACTAGATAAAAGCTGTACCATTCTCCCAAGCTTTTAAGTATAGATTTTTTTTATGTAGGGCATGGTCCAGTCAAAGTAATGTACTTTAAAGCCACAATTATTTCAAAACAGCAGAACTCAGTAAGCACTTCCATTTTCTTCCATGAAAATCAACAGTACTTAAAAACATCCAACTGTTAGTAGGTCTGAACTGAGGATTGTTTTAAACATAAACCAAACACACACATGTACATAAGCTTTTGTTAATGTGGGTCAGTTCTTACCTGACACAATTGTTACAGGACCCCGGATTTCAACTAACTTCTGCCTGGTGAAATTCTTAATAAGACATTTTATCAAGGTGCTCTTTCCAACTTTCGGAGGGCCAACCACAACCACAACCACAGGAGGAGGATCTAACGGAGTGCGGTCGACCACTGGAATGTGATGTTTTTTCGTCTTCAAATCCTGGGTCCTGTTTTTAACAATAATGTTTACTGTAAGCTACAAAGTAGACAGGACAAGTGCCCTGCCACACAGAAAAACAAGAATAACACCAGTTGTTCAGACCAAAGATTCACCCATCCTCAAATTCCTCCCCCCACCCTGCATGTACCACAACAGCCTAGAATCCAAGGAAATTATCTCATGCCATCTAATTACATCCATTCACATCAGGATTGCATTGAGTCCCATAAAATTACATGGAAATGATTTGGGAGTCCTATACAGCACTATGAGAACTAAAAGATTGGCTGCAACTCGTGGACCTAGATGTGGACAGTCATCAGCTAGTTACTCAGCGTAATCGTTCTCATAAGATTATTGTGAGGCTAAAAAGCTGGTTTCCCCAAAGAACAGGATATAGATTAAGAAAAAATACATCATACCAAAATGGAGAGAGATCTATCATGTGAATATATATGAAGACAGCTCAGAGTGTTATACAGTTACAAATTCTAAGCTGAAGAACACAACCTGCAGCTGAAAATGCTAAATGTAAGAATAAAGCATTCTAACAGGGAGGAGCAAACCAGTATGCTAACGAAGTCTAGCAGTTCCACACCTGTGGAAAGTTCTGGCCATCTTGACTGCAGATTGGACCGCAAAGGCCTTTGGGTTTCTTTTCCGGGCATCCTCCTCATCTTCAAGCCCTAAGTCTTTCAAATGACGCTTCCTTTTCTTGCCAGCCTTTGGCCCACTATGTCTCTTGCGGTGATGTTTCTTATCGTTTTCCTCCATCGCTTTTCTTGGTGTTCTATCACTCAGGGCAAAATACCTGTTTTTACCAATGTAATGTTAAGATAAACAAACAAATGTACTATGTATAATATGCATCATTCATTGGGTGAGAAGTGAAGGTGCTTCAACAACTGTCTAAAACAAAGATGATAAAATAAAATGACCTAATTCCCAACTTTCAGTAGGTGGCAACTGACTGTTTTCCCTTTGTATATCCACTTGGGTGGAACAAAAGTGGAGGAGAATGTTTGCTCACTTTAGCTAGTAAAATACTAGCTTCCACACAAAGTGTGGTCTGAACACCACCACCCATGTTTACTTGGAATTAAATCCCACTGCACTCATCAGGGGAGGTTAGCTCCAAACCCATGTTTAAGGTCTTGCTATTGCCATATAAAACCCTAAATAACTTGAAACAAGTAGTCTGCTTCCCCTTATATTGCCTCCCCTTCTGTGCTTCCAACCAATCATTAAGTTCTTCAGGAGGCAGCATTGCTAGCTGTACAGTGGTACCTTGGTTTAAGAACTTAATTTGTTCTGGAGGTCCATTGTTAACCTGAAACTGTTCTTAACCTGAGGTACCACTTTAGCTAATGGGGCCTGCCGCTGCCGCGTGATTTCTGTTCTCATCTTGAAGCAAAGTTCTTAACCCAAGGTACTATTTCTGGGTTGGCGGAATCTGTAACCTGAAGCGTCTGTAACCCAAGGTACCACTGTACTACAATCAGTGGACTGCCACTTTATAATATCTAGGAAGCCTTCTGGGTGAGGGCAGCCTCCCTCTGGAACACCTTCCCAAATGCAATTAGGGAGTAGAAAACAGGACTTAAGACACCTCTGGAAACTGTACCTTTTTATGCAAGGGTCCCCAAGATTATCAAGTTTTACTACAATGTTTTGTTTTTAATTTTTTTAAAAAGAAATATTGGAATAGTACTTGTATCTTGGTTAAAGCATCTCATGTAAACCAGGGATTGTGTGTATTAAATAGCATAATAAATAATCGCAGGTAAACAGAACCCTAGGTGCTCAAGCAACATTCCTCACTAACAGCTATTCTTTTGCCAGCTGGAAGGCGGAGATGAAACCTGAAGAAGGGCAAACCGAGTAGCACCACGCAGGTCCGATTTCTAGCCAGCATCGATTCAGCACCTCTTCCCGGAAGACAAAATAGGGGCAGCACTTTATTAATGAACCGTGCGGGGAAGCGAGAGGCCAGAAACTCGCAAGCCTTGGAAGAGGTGCTTCGTTCGGGAGCAGCATTGATTCTCTTAGCCTTACACGTGGATGAGCGCTTTGCTCGCCATCCCGGATATGATCCGCGTTTTTAAATACTCTGCCTTAGTATTTCTCCTACCATTCCTAGAAGCGCTTTTCTTAGGGCTTGTGGTTCGGAGAAATCGCTTCTACCGCGGGGGGAGGGTCAGGATTTCTCGGACAACAGCAATAACTCCCGGGACAGAAACCAGCGAGCTCGGCTTACCAGACGACTCCTTCCTCCTCATGGGCAGCCCAGACGGAAGAAGCGTGTGGTTGCCGCTGCTCACGTCTCCTGGCTCCTCCCGGAAACAACGGCGCGCGACCATTTGTTCCGGGGGGACCGGGAGCTGGGGGAGAGAGGAAAGGAAGGCAATGCCGGAGGCACCGGAGGGAGGTGGGCGGAAACCATAGCAGCCGGGATCGGCGGTTGGCGCCCAGGTCACCCCGAGGAGTGTTTTGCACAGGGGATTTTGGGGTGTTATGAGTCCAAAGCAGCCTCAGCCCTTCCCTTCCCTGAGCAATAGAAAGCATTTCAGACGCAGCTATAGGGTGACTCAGTGCCGGATTTACGTTTAAGCTAAACAAGCTATAGCTTAGGGCTCCACTCTCTTGCGGACCCCCCAAAAAAATTAAAGGGGAAAAACTGGTTGTACATTTCCAAAATATAAGATAAAAAACAAATAAAATAAAAATAAACTTACATACAGCAACAGTGTTTTGTGTTGTGTAAGTAATGGGCCCCGCCTGCTAGCCTGCTCCCTAAAATACGTATCACTGGTTTGCTCATTTCTATATATAGGGTCCTACATATATATATATATATATATATATATATATATATATATGACAAACCTAGACAGCATCTTAAAAAGCAGAGACATCACCTTGCCAACAAAGGTCCGTATAGTTAAAGCCATGGTTTTCCCAGTAGTGATGTATGGAAGTGAGAGCTGGACCATAAAGAAGGTTGATCGCCGAAGAATTGATGCTTTTGAATTATGGTGCTGGAGGAGACTCTTGAGAGTCCCATGGACTGCAAGAAGATCAAACCTCTCCATTCTTAAGGAAATCAACCCTGAGTGCTCACTGAAAGGACAGATCGTGAAGCTGAGGCTCCAATACTTTGGCCACCTCATGAGAAGAGAAGACTCCCTGGAAAAGACCCTGATGTTGGGAAAGATTGAGGGCACAAGGAGAAGGGGACGACAGAGGACAAGATGGTTGGATAGTGTTCTCGAAGCTACCAGCATGAGTTTGACCAATATGCGGGAGGCAGTGGAAGACAGGAGTGCCTGGCGTGCTTTGGTCCATGGGGTCACGAAGAGTCGGACACAACTAAATGACTAAACAACAACAGCAGCAATATATAGGATGCCTACATTCTGCATATTCTGTTATGTTCAAATGACTTTAGATTCTTATTAGGTCCATAAATTACCATATAGCATATATTCAACACAAAAAGGGCGACAGTTTGTTATTGACAAAGGACAGCTGGACATATAAAGGGCCCCATTACCTTCAGTAGCTTAGGGCCTCATCAAACCTAAATCCGGCCCCATGGGTGACACCCCTTCCAGCACCACTTTCCCCTGTCAGAACAGGGACAAGACTATATTGTTGTTTTTGTTATTCATCACTTATTAATTTTGTCAGCCCAAAGCCATAAAACGCAGTAGAGAAAATCAAGGCGGAATAAAATACATTACAAGGATAAAATAATCATTGAAACCAGACGTTCGGTCAGACGGAGAGTTTGCTTCCCTGGAGAATGTAACTTGCCGTCTCCACAGTCATTTCTCCTCAAAGTTGCTGCTCTTTGGCAAAACAGGCCAATTTTTCAGAGGTGTCTGGGAGGGCTGTCCCGTAATAAAAAGGTGATGGAATACCCAATCGATCTTCTCGTTGGGAGTTTTAAATAATTGAATAAGGCTGCTGGAGTCCTTGAATAGATTGGGCAAACCAGCAAGGAATGAGGCGGGGTCAGCCCAAGACATCTTGGCACCTGAGGCAGACCCCAAAATGGCACCTCCCCCCCCCCCGGGAAGATTTACATCAGGAATAGGGGGGTGAATCCTGTCGCCTGGCAGTCACCTTACCTCATGGGTGAGCCGGCACTGTAGAGGGATAAACCCTCAGACACACCACATCCCCATGAGCAAGCTCTCTGCTCATAGGGGATCCTGCAACAGCGTCCTTCAACTATGGCAAAGTGCATTGACTGGAGCCGCAGGGCAGTGAAGCCTTAAAAACTAGGAACTGACACTTGTGGGAATATAAATGCAATAAATAATAATAGTTATTTCAAAGAGTGGAGGGTAAAAGTGCACCCTGCCACCCTGTACTCCTGTGCACTCCAAAGACCACTGTGTGGTTCCTAATTAAGGCTCACTGGAGCCCTGAACAGGAGCACCACAACTTTCTGTTGGCAGTCACTACTCGTCTCAGGCTTTCCCAAGCTGGTGCCCTCCAGATGTTTTGGACTGAAGCTCATATCAGCTCCAGCCAGCAAACCTGTTGTAGTCCATCTGAAGGGCACCAGCTTGGGAGAAGGCCAACATCTACTGTTGCAATTATAAGAAGTTGGTTTTTGTTTTAAAATCTGATGTACAAGCTTTTCCAAAATGTAAAGTTATCACTTTTTAACCTTGACAAGTTGTGGGCACACCAAGGAGTCACATCAGGAGGCTGATTACGACCAGGTTATGATTATGAAGATTCTGATTTAATGCATTTGAGCAAAAATACCTTTCTGTAATCCTTAAACAACCCTGTAAGATAGATCAGCATTATCTCAGCTGCAAAGGTCGGGGGGGCAGGGGGTCTTGCTCAAGGCCACCTACAGCTTACATCCCAGACTTATCTTTGGCTGTGTACACATTACCATTTACTGTGGCTCCAGAGCGTGTACGCATGACACTTCCCACAATCCATATCTATTTCAAAGTTTATTGAGAAATGCTGCTGTTTAATACATTTGCCCTGAAACCAGTTTCCCACCATGTCAAAAACATAATCCACATTCACTTTTCAGTTAAGCTGAGGTGTGTGCATTTGAGACGGTTGTTGCACTTGAGCAGATGACAGCTTTGTGGATAAGAGTTGCAGGCAAGGGGAAATCAACAGGTAATTCACATCAGATGAAGACATCAGACCTAAACCCTTTATCTGGTATGTACAGCAATGTGCTAAAATGATGTGAAACACAGCAGGGGAGCATGACCTCAATGTGTTTTAATCCACTAATGTCTACATAGCCTGTGTCTTATGGGGTTTACTCTGAGAGCAGTGTGTGCATAGGATTCTGACATTAGTGAGCTTTTAGCAGATGTTAGAATTGAACCATGGACTTCCTGAGTCATAGCTGTTTTAAATAAGAAACAAAGGTAATCATTGATTAATGGTCATAACACCATGATATTCTTCACAGCAATTTTCTTTTCAAAGTAGGTCTGCCAAAATAATGCCGGTATTATAGAATCGTAGAAATTGGAAGGTACCATGAGGGTCATCTCTTCCAAGCCCCTACAATGCTAGAATCCTATTGTTTTTCTACAAACAACAAATGGGTAGTTTAAAAAGACCCTACCATCAGAAACCATTTCCTCCATTAAATGCATAGTTTGGAAAACTATGACGACACACTCATTGAAGACTGTTGGGACGCAACAAGAATAATAAACCAAACAAACAACGAACTCTGTAATATTATTTCCTTGTGGTCTCAAAATATGAGCAACCCATAAAAATCATGAACAGGTGACAACCCTATCATTAAAATTTACAGTGTAATCCTTATGATTATGATTATTATTAACTATTAAACAATCAACATTTCTTACATAACAGCACATAACAATATAAGATTTACACCACACACTACATCCTTACAATCTACAACTACTTTTCAAAGAAAGAGGAAAAAGGAAAATAAAGAAAAAGGTAAAGATAAAAAATTAAAGTAATTAAAATATAATTCCGATTATTCTCATTGTACTATTTCTCATTTTGTTATTTATCACACAGTGCCTTATTGTTGTTCTGTTTTCCAAAATCTTATCAAAGAAGTTCTATTGTTTTTCACCTTTATATTACAAGAGTCACTCAAGATCTGCCAGGAGGTTTTTGTTATCACAATAGTTTTTTTAATATTCTTTAAATACTATCCATTCCTTATTGATCTTCTGCATCGGGTATCCTCTAACTCTCACTGTCATCCTTGCCAGTTATAAGTATTGTATCATTTTAACCTGCCATTCAGTTTTTGTATGGGGTCTTTTCACTTTTCCAATTCTTTGCCACCAGGATCCTGGCTGCTGTTGTTGTGTACATGAAGAGTGGTCTGCTATTTTTTTAAATTTCTGTTGACATTATTCCTAAAAAGAAGGCTTCTGGTCTGGTCTCTTTGCAAATGGGAATTTTAGCATCTTTTTTAATTCATTACTGTATATATGATGTCCCAAAACTCTCTTATACTCTTACATTCCCACGACATATGCATATATGAACTTTTACCCTTTTTGCATCTCCAGCACACCTCTGATCTATTTTAATACAATTTGGTCGGGGTAAGGTGCCATCTGTACATCATTTTCATGATGTTCTCTCTAAGATTATAGCACGCTGTAAACTTCATGTCCACCTTCCATAATTTCTCCCACTGGTTCATGTGAATATTATATCCAGGTTCTTGGGCCCAACGCACCATCACCCCTTTCTTTTACCTTTTCTTTTACCTCCCACTCAAGATATGTTGTTGTTGTTGTTTAGTCGTTTAGTCGTGTCCGACTCTTCGTGACCCCATGGACCAAAGCACGCCAGGCACTCAAGATATAGATTGTACATTTTGAAATATATTTTCCTTTGGATTGGATTAGTTCTTTTTCCAAATCTGATGTCTTATTTTTAAATCCTTTTTTTAATCTATACTTAATCTTTCATTTAATTGAAAATATTGTAACTAATCCGTCAGGTACAACCTAATTTCTTCAAACTTCTTCAGCGTCAATTTGTTATTGTTTTCTTCTAATATTCTATACATTGGCCAGTCTCCTTTCATATTTTTCTTTTTTACTGCCATGGCTTCTGTCGGTGAGGTCCACCAGGGGGTCTTAGGTTCTAGTATTTCTTTATATTTTCTCCCATATTCTATAAGGGGATTTTCTCACTACATGGTTTTTAAAAAAACTGTGTACTGTCAGCTTCTCATAGACTAAATATGTGTGCCACAAAAATAAAATCCACTGAATTAAATGGGATTTACTCCATAGTGTGTTTAGGATCGTAGTCTTAATTTAAAAAATGAAATTAAAAAAAAGCTTTCCTTGCACTTGTGGCTGTGAATGCCTATTTTATTCAGTTGTATTTTATCCTTTTCAGATACTCCCCAAACAGCTCTGAGACTTTGGTAATCATCCAGTTTTGGTTAACCTGTTCAGAGGAGAGGATTGATCACATCAGGTCAATTACCTACTTAGTTCAATCTGTTATAAAACAAGAGTGACCTCAGAACTGAAAGCCTCTCTTCTATCTGAGATGCATTGGTGACACTTTCCTATCACAGGCCTTGGGAGGCAGGCTGTACTTTATTTCAGACAGCCCATTACCCTAAAAATACCTCTTCATGAGTAACAGGCCATATAGCAGATATGTGGACCAGAGGGACCAGACGCTGTGGCAGAGCCAGATACCAACTCTATTCCCATATCTAGTTTAACATAATTATTACAGGAGCTAAGAATGTCAATAGAACCTGAGGGGCTAATTCACCTGCTCATCTTCCAAAGTAATATATGCCATCATTTGCCAAGAATGACCTTCTAGCTGATCTATGCAAAAGAATGAATGAGCACAAATCTGAAATGGCTGTATAGAAAAGCCAAAGAGGGAACATTTCAGCTTCTCAGGATGCTCTGTCACTGACCTTAAGGTGTTCATTATTGAATGAAGTGGCCTCAAACCATGAGACCATTGTATTACAATGCACCAGTGCTATTATTTGCAGGTGGAATCAATACAATAGGTGCTGGGTTTACGTTTTTTAAAACCACACTGGATGTGCTAAAAACTGACTTACCAGTGCAAGGATGTCTGTGTTATCAACTACTGTTTTTGGTGCATCATTGCAGTTTAAAAGGTCATTGTCCTCAACTGTATAATTCAGCATTTAGTTTCCCTCTGATCTCTTTTTACAAGCTCCCTACCAATTGTGTCCCTGCAACTCAGGATAATACTTTATGCATCCAATGAAGTGAATTATATTGTGTGTGTCATAATAATTTTTTTAATCTTTCAGGTGCTACAAGACTCTTCTGTTGGTTTTGCAGAATTGAAAAGATTCGCCCTGCACCAATTTTACAATGATTGCTTACGGATTGAAATGGTGATCTGAAAAAGCCATTGTGAAATGGGTACTAACTTTTGTGCTAGATTCTACTGCCTCAAATGAATGGCATCTCAGCCTGTGGTCTTTATCTTGCAGGTCATGATTACAACATCTTATTGTGCTTAACTAAGAAAGAAACTCTGATCTCCCTCACCCCCGCTTTGTGAAACACCTTGTCTGGTGAAGAGTTCTGGAGAGCTTGCCATACTTGTTTGGCATTCCTGTTGGTTTCAATAAACACATTACCCTACTGTGGATTGTGGAGTTGTTGTTGTTGTTGTTTTCTAATGGGCCAGCATGCCTACTTTTGCTTTTAATTGGGCTTATTTACAATGGATAGAGTACTCTTTATCTCCAAGAGAGAAAGCAGCTTTTTTTTGCTTTTTTTTAGGGATGAGGGACATACAGAATCAGTATAGACTGAGTGCATCTTCTGAAGGCAAGGATATGGTTGGTTTGTTAGCTATTTTATTCATAGATCTCTCGTATCACATCTAATTTGTGCATATGTGACCACCTTTCTGAATTTGAGGTCTGTTTAGGAGAATGCCAGGTTTTCCAAGCATTCTGCTCTACACTGTAGCCAACCATATCACTATGCAATACCAAAAGCAGGACACAGGTCAGGTGAGTACCCTTTTGCCCTGTTCTTTCCCAGCAATTGATATGCCTCTGATAGCATATATCCATAACGATTAGTAGCCACTGATAGTCTTAGCATTCATGAATTTGCCTAATCTCTTGAGAAAGCCATCTAGGTTGGCAGCCATAATCACATCTTGAGTAATTCCAGGGCTGTGCTTACTTACACACACACACACACAGATGTGGACCCAGATCAGCCCTATCCCAACCTAGGTCACACCCAACCCAGATCTGGTCCTATATCAGGGTAGGACTAAAGGGGCAGGGCAGGGTAGGACAAATCCACTAGATTCAGTTTGATCTGCCCAATCTAGCGCCCAGCCCCATTAAATTGCATAGTGCAGTGTTGAGAAATATAGTGAACTGGGCAGGTGAGGTTTTATGATGTGGATTTGTAATATATTCCAAGCCTAAAGCCTATATCTCAGTGAATGGAGTAAATTCAGACTCATGCAGATTATGTAGAGGTACTCAACAGAGATGTCCTCTATCCCCACTGCTGTTCGCACTTTCCACTGACCCATTAGCAGCACCATTTAGATCATAATGATATGCCAGTAATATAGCATTATTTGTGAAAAGCCCTGAGAAAACCATTTGGAGATGTCTTAGGCTTTGCTAGATTTATACTCTTAGGCTCAATTGTTTCAGGGTTTTTGCTGGGCAGCGGGTGGGGAGCATGTTGCAGCTGTTGTTGATTTGGTTGTGTATTAGTAAGTTCAGTGGGACTACTTCTAAATTAGTTGTCCTAAGAGGGTCCAATTTAGAATCTAAAACTAACTGACTTATTTTATTATGACTAAACCTGGCTGAATCAAGGCTGTACGTCACAGAAGGCAAACTGTATTGGACACAATCTAGTTCACAGGCAACCCTCCTATAAAGCTTCATTGAAGGCAGTAGAGCACAAACCTTGGGGGGGGGGGGATTAAAAGCAAGAAAACGAAATAAAGTGTTCACAATATCCCCCCACAAAGTTTTTAATAGATATAAATGCCCATGTTGCAGGCTAAGGCACATACAAGTTAAACTTATATGTCTTTAAAGCTTTGGAGAGCACCTTAACACACTCATGGTAGAAAAATCAATTAAACCTTATATCCCCATCTGAAACTTCTGTGTTTTTAAAAATGGAACTCATTAATGGAAACCAAACTTATTAACACAGAAAAGTGTTACTAAATCTGCTTATAGCAGGATCTACAAATATACTTTTGCATACAAAGAAAATAAAGCAACTTCCCACCACATTTATTGCCACCTACTCTAGCCTCAGATACAGAGACTTAAAAAGGAAAGGAAAGGGAGAGAAAGCCATTGGTACATTAAAATGTGTCTCAGGAATATTCAGCCATTAGTAGACGTGACCTTTTATCTCTAGAACCACATGTACCGCACAACTGACTTTTTTCCATGGGAAAATTAAGCTTGCACACAGGAAAGTGAATGTTTCAGTAAATGGAAAGTTAAAAGAAGACTCCAGACAAGCTATTAAAAGAACAAACTTTATTCAAAACATCCAAGTCATACATTAGAAGGCATTAAAAGAGGGAGCTTGGAAAATATGTACAGGATAGCAAGGAAGGAGTTGGGATGCTAATCTGGAACCTGACTTAAAGAGAAAAACTGAGAGTCCGAAGCACTTCCATCAACATTCTGCATGTGTCCAGGATTTGTAGCTGAATAATTCCCGTTGCAGACCAGGGAGTATAACTGCTTGATGCCATGAAGAAGTTCCCAGCTGATGGTGGAGGCTGCCTCACCATCTCCGCACCGTAATATGGAACTGGGCAGTTGCTCGCCTGGGAAGTCTCAGAAAGCCCAGTTCCACAAAAAGCAGCTTGCTGGTAATAAGCAGGGTTCAATTCCAGGGAGCTCTGCTGTTGCGGGGCAGCAGGTGCTCTCCTGGTTGCGTGTTGTTGAGAGGTGGCTGCCACAACCCTGCTCCTCCATAGCTTTCAGCATAATGCAAGTTGTGTGGCTGGTAATATTGTTCCATATGAATATTTTGGCTGCTTCCTGGACTGCTTCTTGGGCTGCTGTCCAGGCTGCTTCTTGGACAGGTTCTTTCACTCCGGCTATAAGGAGCTGCAGCATGGTTCCCGATCCTTACCCTGGAACCTATCCTCTTTGGTGTTCTGGCCCTTCTGTTTTGAAACCAGACCTGAATAGAAGAAAGGAGAGAACCAGTATAGAAGACATTGTTACCATGAATATGTCTTTTTGATCCAACAGAGAGAATTACATTTAATAAATTATGCTTATTCCTCTGGGGTTTCTCTTTAGTTCTCTGCAGCATTTTTCTACTATCTTTAGCTCCACATTCATATATCCCATGTACATAATCTCCAGTTACTGTTAAATATAAAGCTTCTAAGTTGGAATGACTAAATACTGCTATTTGGCTGTATTTTGTTCTGCAGTATCAGAAAAAGCCACCTTTAAAAACTGCACAAGTGTACAGTCCCACAAGACTTGCTTTATTGAAGTATAACCTGTGGATATGAGCTTCAACTGTAATAAATTGTCAATCGTTTGTTAATGCCAAGTGGATGCCTGCATACAAGACTTAACATCTTTGTGTGCATTTGTGCTGGAAGGCAACACTTTATGCCTGGCAATTGTTTTAAAAATTCAATAAACTTAGCAATAGTAATTTTAAATAGCTCACTCAGAAGACCTACCCATTTGTTGTGCCCTGTTTGGGGTCTTCTGCCTCAGCCTCCCAAGTGTCCTGGGGGTAATGGACTAGGCAGGGAAGTGTTTATATATATATATATATATATGTGTGTGTGTGTGTGTGTGTGTGTGTGTGTGTGTAAATGCCAATTTCTCTGTAGGAGAGAACTAAGTACTTGCTCAACTTTTGCCAGAAAAAGCAATGCAGCTTAACTCGTTTTAGGCTCCCCAGTGCAAGCTGCTTATGGCTGCAGTCCTCTGCACATTACCTTGGGAGTTAGTGTTAACTGGATCAGGCTGCAAAGGCAGCCTATAAAACCAGATTTAATGTACTTTTAGCACTAAGCCCATCCATTGCAGAAATTAGATTTCTAAACTGGGTCTCTGAAGATTTTTTAAAAATGATTTAAACCCAGAACCCACGATACGCCCCCCCCCCAAAAAAGAACCACGAAAGAGGAAGTTAGCTCTTGAACAAGGCGCCTTTCGCGATAAGCTGAGAGGCACCCGGGTGAACTAAGGCCTTCGACTACGCAAGGATTATGCGGAGCGTTTCAAATTCTTCCAGTATGTGCGGTTTAGGGAAGTCTTGGAAGCCCCCACCATCCCGATTCTTACGTGCACACGATCTTCTTCGACTCCGATGCACCTCGCCAGCGCCTCCCTGGTCTCGTATCCGGGGTACTGGTTCTCTGCAAAGGACTTTTTTAGGAGCTCGACGTGAGATGGGCTAAAAACAGTCCTTTTTCGCCTTTCTCCTCCGACTTTGGGGTAGCTTCCTCCTGGGAAAAGACAAAGAGGCAAATCTGAAGGAAGCGCTCGGCATAAACTGAAGAGACGCTTGCAGATCTTCCTCCCTGAATTGGTTTTGCCTTAACAATGGACACTAATTTTAAATAAACCTCCGGTTGCTCTGAACAAGGCTTGCATGAAAACAAACCAAAGAATTTTAAGTAAGAAGTTTACGTTCTTATTTCTATGCCTGCCATCGTTTTCCGTAGCCGATCCTAACCACGATTATTGGGAAATTTAATCCCGTTTATGTGAAAGGGATTTAACAATCAGAAAGTGTGTGTGTAAATGCTTCATGCAGTAAAATGCAGTAAACGCTTCATGCTTATAAGTAAAGATGTGCAAACCAATCTTGCGAAATGTTTCCAACCGAAGACATTTGAGCCCCTGTGTAATCCCTCCCCGGCTACCACAAATGGGTCTTTGAAAGCCTTCCCTACACCCTGATCCTGACCCAGAAACAAAAACACCCTTCATTTATAAAAACCGTTGAATTTATAACCCTTAATTTATATCATTCATTTGAGCAATTTTTTAAAGACAAGTGAACTAAAAATCGTTTTAACAATCCTCTATTCTTACCTTGGCTGTTGGTAGTTTTCATCTTGCAAAAGCGCTGCCTCGCTCTCTTCCAATAAAGCTGCTTTTCGCTTCCAAAATTGCCCTTGCTCCTCAAGGCCCGCTCCAGGTTTCTGGAGTTGGGCGCCTTTATAGCCCCTCCTGGCTGCCAATTGGCCGGCGCGTTTTCCTTGGAGAGAAGCGCTCCAATGGGGATGCGGCTTTTGGGAAGGAGCGAGATTCAAGTTCACTTTTCAAGCGCTGCTTGACCAATCTAGATGGGCTGGAGCGCATCCTTCCCTTAGCATCACCCCTTAGCAAAACTGGAAAATAGCCCCATAGGCGGGGAGAATTACCTCGCACAGTTGAAGAGAAGGGAATTGAGAAGACGGGTCGGGCAGCGAGAGAGCCAGACCGAACTGTGGTTTATTTTTTTAAAATATTGTAATGAGGCTTTCATTTTACAGACAGAGATGCGCCAAGACTTAGGCATGTTGAAAGGCTTTGCCCAAGAAGCCTAGATGCAGCAAGTACACTCTGAAACCCCCTGCCTTTTGAGACGAAGCAGGCGCCTTCACTGCACCCTTTTCGGCGCCTGCTATAAACTTTGTTTCCTTTCCTTTACCTGCAAAAAGTTGCATTGTCTTTTAATCGGTGGTTTTAGCTTAAGTGTAATTGCATTTTGCATGTTTTTCACTTTGACTTTTATCGATCATGTTCATGCTTTCGTAAGCCGCTTAGAGGTTTTCGTTAAGGTTAGGCGGTGCAAAAACTTGAAGGGAAGAATGTGCGTAACACCACTGCAAATAAAGGGAAGGCAAACTCCTCTTGCCAAGAAGTCAGTAGGTATTTCAAGCCCAAGCGGTTGATGTTAGATGCTCAGAGTATTCAGCCCGGGACAGACGTCGCAACCAAATCCTGAATCTACAGTCTCAATGCACTATCGCTTGTAACTGCAAGGGGGTTGCATTCTCTTTCTTTCTTCTTCTTCTTTTATTAAAGATTTTCTTGTTTTACAGACATTATGTGAAATGTCTCTCGTATTTTTTACATGTAACATTTTTACAAATCCGTTTCATTTGTTGAGACATTAGGGCGAGAAAAAAAGGGGTGGAGGGTGGGGATATGCGTGGGGGTGGGGGCGGGGGTGGGTGGCGATGTTTCTATTATGCTTAATTTAGGTAGGGTTTGGTGTCAGCGTTGCTTGTGCTGTTCACTTGTGTTCCTAACCGGGTTGCATTCTGAGTGAAAGCGAGCTTTCCGTTTCCTGGGCTTGCTTCAAACGGTGCTGGTGCTTCCTTTCTTTTTCACTTCAACTATTTCTCTTTCTGTCTTTCTATCCCCACAACTTTCACGTGGCCATATTCCTCTGCCTTTCAGGGACTTGCGGCATCCAAATAGCCTGCCGCTCCACCCTACACCCGAGGCAAGATAGTTGCCTCCGATCCTCAAAGGAACTGAAAACGTTCTGAAACCTTCCAGCTCATGCAATGAATGTTCCCAGTCCCTGGCAGTTTGTTAATCAATAATGTTTCCCCGTTGGTACATTCTTTGTTATTTTTGCATAAGATAATTAACACAAGGGACCCTCCCTAAGTGTACCTATAAACTCTATTCATAGGTATGCTGACTCAGAATCGGCAATGAAACTTTTTTTCGAGTAAGAACTACATTTTTTACTGCTGAAAAAAAGCTTCCGTGAATATTGGGGGCGTTACAGAAAGATGTGGAAACCTCAGCAAACATATCAGTACTGTCTCAGGAAAGATTATCCCTGAACAAAAGAGGGCTCACAATGGGGGTGAGAAGACACGATGAAATGTCTCTAATTTCTGCCATCATCATCGCTTAGAAGCTCGATATATTTCTGCAGAAGGCAATTGATTTAAATATGTATTCCTGTAAGGTACTTACAGTAGGGACTAGCAGAATTTCCTGGAAAACATTTACTTGTATCCTTTGGGATACAATACGTTGCAATCTATGTCAATATATTCTTCATCATAGCGGTGGAACATCTACCTAGAATATAAGGGGTGTCTTATTCGTTCCAGAATATAGACATGTGTCCAAACTAATTTGCTTCAAAATTCTCTTATTTTGGAAGGGAGATTTAGGATGCTGTGCTAGCCTAACTTACTTGGGACTTAGGACCTACTTCTGAGTAGGCATGGTTAAGGTTGCTCTGTTAACAGCATTCCCAATATTGTGTATTTTGTGCTGGTGAAAAGCTGCAAACTGTACCACATGGGTTACTGTTGTGTGATTTTTATAGAGTTAAAAGTATAAGACTTATTTGTCTGCTATATAACTTTCTGTTTGTTTGTTTGTTTGTTTGTTTGTTTGCTTGCTTGATTTAGATTCCACCCTTCATCACAGTATCTCAGGACAGTTCACAAGACTGATAGATAGATAAAACTTTATTCGCATTAGCGGAGTCTATAACCTGAAGCGCCTGTAACATTAAAATCTAGGGATTGCGGCATGTATTAGCTGTGAAGTAGCCTTTTATTTTTGATTCATCAGCCTTGGAATCCAAGTATGTCTGTTTATGATGGTATGTGAAGTGGATTCCAAACCATTTATACTTGATAGTAAATATTTCCAGACAATTTGGCCTCGGCTAGGGACATTAATATTCCATTTTTGAGAATCGTACTTCCATCTCACTTTACAGTCCTGTGAGGCTCCCACAATAAATAAAAAGCTCACAATCAAGCTGATATCCAAGTCACGTCATCCTCAGTATTAGTTTCATATCTCAAAATGGGACAAATATATGGTCTTCCCAAGAGGGTTACCAAAACGGGGACTGGGGGTGCAATGGTGTGATTGAGGACTTCCACTGGCACCCCAAAAACATCTGAGACACACATCTCCCCTGCTCACTGCCCTCTTCCTCAGGAACTGGGAAACTTTATCGGATACAGTAGACCGTCTTTCACGATACCATATGCCACAATAAATTTGGTAGCCTTTGACGTGTCAAAACACTGTTTGCGCTGTTAATTCAACACGTATTTCCGAGCAGAAACTTGACCTCCTGCTCCGTGTGTTTCAGTAGCCATGCAGTTTAACTGTTCATTAAAACAACCACCAGCACAGGGCTAATCTCACATTGACATTGCTGCTGTTCATATTAGGAAGTTACTTTGTGGTACATTGTGCTTGGAAAGTTGCCAAGTTACAAGTTACGTGGTGAAACATTGTGATCTTTGAACCTTGGAGGAGAAAGGGACATAATGTATAAACGAATTACGTAGTAATAGGTTGAAACGCAGCTATGTCTTTGATACCTAAACTTTGTTTGCTGGCTTTCCTTTCCTCGTCCTCTTACAAATAAGCCCAATTCAATGTTCCGGGTTGTTATGTTCTCATGGTTTTTATTTACGGAATTTGTACTCGGAGCCCAGATCGGCAGTACACACTTTGTGTGTGTGTGCAGGGATTGTGTGTCTGTCTGTGTGTGGAGTGATTTGAACTTGCCTGGCCTCAGGCCAACACGCAGATACGCCGCCAAATATATACATGCCTGAGGGAAGATGGCGCCGCCGCGCCCTATGCTGACGCCTGGGAACGGCTACGAGATAACTCTGAAGGGCTTCCCTCTCGACATTGTCTTCCCTTATTACGTTCCCGCCGCATCAGCGCTTTAACGAACGTCTTGCTGGGGCAACGGGAGGGGGCGGGGGTGTCCTTCCCGCTCCTCTTTCTGGTCCCAACGGCCGCCCATCCCCCACTCCCTCTCGCTTCGCCGCGTAGAATCAAGGTTGGCGCCGCGCGCCGTTTCCCGCCCAAATCACCCCCGCGCATGCGCCCCCGCCTGTCCTGCCTTGGCGCCCTTTGGCCACGGCTTCCCCTGCGGCGTCACACCAGCCGCCCTCCTCCTCCCTGGTCTCCCCGCTACTCTCCCCCCCCGTCTCCTCTTCGCTCCCTCTTCACACAATGACCCCCACCCCACCCCACCCCGCAGGGGTGACCCACCCGTGAGGCGAGATAAGCACATTAGCATGTCTGGCCTCTGAGGAAGGCTGCCCCCTCTCGCCTTCCCTTCTGCTCCTTTCATTCCTTCATCCTTCTGCTCCCCTGTGGCTCCTCCAGGCTCAGCGCGGGGGGGGGGGGGGGACGGGACCGGCTGGGCTGCCCTAAATCCACCGCTGCTTGGAAGTTTTTTCTCTCTCTTTTATTTTTGGTTGATCATGTTTTGTAATTATAAATCAAGACAGATCCATTTATTCAGAAATACGTCCCTCTCAATCCCTCCCATTTCATTTACTCATGTACTGCTTTTGAAACGAACCTCACAAAGTGGTTTACATCAATATATCAAAACAATAAGCATCCATTAAAAATGTAAGAAAACAGCAAACGCAAACTGCAAGGGGGAAAAGTTCAATGATTTTAGGATTGTAGCTTTTAAAAGTGTAGTTTAGTGGGGGAGATTTTTCTCTATCCCCTTTCTCCATGTAATGGAGAATTTTATAAATTTCTGTCATGCCACCTCTTATCCAACTTTTCTCTAAACCAAAATGCTCCAAGCTTTCCTCATTGTTCCATCCACTTGATCACTCTGCTTGCCCTTTTCTGAATTATCTGAACTGGAGATCTGTGATAACGCATCACCTGCTTGTATGCATAGGGTGTGATGGGGGGAGCAATTAATCCCTTTCCCTTTCCCCCTCCCCAGTCCTAATTGCTTTCTAAATTGCTGTTTCCTTTGCATGGCAGTGGTGGGAAGAACGCTGGGTGTTTTGCAGTAGATCACAAAGGATTGCTGACCTCACCTCCCCGTGTTTATAAATACATTAACCGCAAAATAATCCCCTCCCCCTCTACATTATACTGCTGAGATGAAGAATACTTGAGTTAACGAGGAACAGATTTACGTGTGGAAAGCCTGTGAGCTCCCATTAATTCTGATTCTCAAAACAAGTTCCTGGGCTCATAATTCTTGTATTCTAAGTGTATGGCTTTTGTACCAAGCTTTTTATTGCTGGATCCTAGGTTCTAGTTAAAGTGAGGGAAGCAAATCTCTTGCTGCATGGTGCCTGTGACTTCCAACCCCCTTACTGGGCAAATATTAGTTCTGATGGGTAAAATAGCATGGTATTTACACCTCTTCCCCAGTGCCACAAATAGTTCTGAATCTCTACTCCCCTCCCCTCGTTTGCTGTTTTCAAACCCAACAGCAGATGACTATTACAGTTCTCCCAACATCAGTCCCAAGCAGTGACAGACCTACATTTTGGGGGTCCTGAACTTGAGCTGTTCTAAGGGCCCCTTCACAACTAAGCAATGAGTTCTGGGTAACCACTGTTGTCGTCTTCAATGGGGTTGTTCCCTGACAGATTACCACATTTTAAAAAAAGAATTTCTGTTCTGGGTTGTCACATGTGTCAAAGTCAGTGGTGTGAATAAAAATGTTTATGCTTGTGAACTAAATTCAGGTCTGGGGCCCCTCTGGGATTTGGCGCCCAGAATCTTAAGATTCATTGGTTTCATAGGAGATCTGCCCCTGATTCCAAGCTGCTCTCTGTATAACATAGGCAAAATGCCAGAATCTAGATGCTAGAACAGCTCTAGAGAGATAGGTAAATGTAATACAATAGATAAAAGGCAAGATTAAAACAACTCCCAATTGAGATAAAAAAAAGCTAAGACTGGAGGATAAAAGCTGCAATAAGAACAAGATCCAAAGCTTAAACTAAATCTAAATGTCTTCACCTGACACATACAAAAACATTAAAGTGAGGCCAGGCAAGGGGGGTACATCCATTATCAGGGGTGCCAGCTTGAATAAAATAGGGGGGGTCCCAGGAAAGCCCCATCCCACATAATTTGTCACATGGAACGGCACATACACACCATTTGAATGGCAATGCACATCAGTTCTCCCAACATCAGTTACAGTTATCCCAACATCAGTCCCAAGCAGTGACAGACCTACATTTTAGGGGCCCTGTAGCTTGAGCTGTTCTGGGGTCCCCTTCACAACTAGCAATGAGTTCTGGGTAACCACTGTTGTCTTCTTCAACAAATCACCACATTTAAAAAATCAGATTTTGATTAGAATTTCTGTTCTGGGTTGTCTCACGTGTCAAAGACACTGCTGTGAATAAAAATGTTTACGCATGTGGACTAAATCCCTCTGAGATTAGGTGCCCAGAATCTTAAGATTCATTGGTTTTGCAGGAGATCTGCCCCTGATTCAAAGCTGCTCTCTGTATAACATAGGCAAAATGCCATAATCTAGATGCTAGAACAGCTCTGGAGAGAGAGATAAATGTAATACAATAGATAAAAGGCAAGATTAAAACAACTCCCAATTGAGATAAAAAAAAGCTAAGGTTGGAGGATAAAACCTGCAATAAGGACAACTAGCTGCAACTAGAACTAAATGTCTTCACCTGACACATACAAAACCATCAAAGTGATGCCAGGCAAGCCTCTCTGGGAGTGGAAGGTGCGGGATTTATTTCCCCACATCCATCTCTCTGAATGAGGGAAAGAGTTGAGTGGTGGAGAGCAGAGGGCATCATTACGCAGGAGAGACTGCTAAATCTTTGTGAAAGGAAAGGTACTAGGTGGTGTGTCATCTGATGTGGATGAGGAAAGACTGCAGCGTTATCGCCTGCCCTGGGTGGAATCTACACATAAAAAAAACTCTGCAAATACTTTTTTAAAAAAAATAAAATTTGAAAAATATATTGAATTTCCCATAGCTCACCACAAAAAATGTAGTTCTTACTCGAAAAAAAGTTTCCTTGCCGATTCTGCGTCAGCATACCTATGATTAGGGTTTATAGGTACACTTAGGGAGGGTCCCTTGTGTTAATTATCTTATGCAGAAATAACAAAGAATGTACCATCAGAGAACCATTATTGATTAACAAACTGCCAGGGACTGGGAACATTCATTGCATGAGCTGGAAGGTTTCAGAACGTTTTCAGTTCCTTTGAGGATCGGAGGCAACTATCTTGCCCCGGGTGTAGGATGGAGCGGCAGGCTATTTGGATGCCGCAAGTCCCTGAAAGGCAGAGGAATATGGCCACGTGAAAGTTGTGGGGATAGAAAGACAGAAAGAGAAATAGTTGAAGTGAAAAAGAAAGGAAGCACCAGCAACCTCTGAAGCAAGCCTAGGAAACGGAAAGCTCGCTTTCACTCAGAATGCAACCCCGTTGCAGTTACAAGCGATAGTGCCTTGAGACTGTGAATACTCCGAGAATCTAACATCAACCGCTTGGGCTTGAAATCCCTACTGACTTCTTGGCAAGAGGAGTTTGCTTCGTGTTACTCACATTCTTCCCTTCAAGTTTTTGCACCGCCTAACCTTAACGAAAACCTCTAAGCGGCTTACGAAAGCATGAACATGATCGATAAAAGTCAAAGTGAAAAACACGCAAAATGCAATTACAGTTAAGCAAAAACCACCGATTAAAAGGCATAGCAACTTTTTGCAGGTAAAGGAAAGGAAACAAAGTTTATAGCAGGCGCCGAAAAGGGTGCAGTGAAGGCGCCTGCTTCGTCTCAAAAGGCAGGGGGTTTCAGAGTGTACTTGCTGCATCTAGGCTTCTTGGGCAAAGCCTTTCATCATGCCTAAGTCTTGGCGCATCTCTGTCTGTATAATGAAAGCCTCATTATAATATTTTTTTTTAAAAAACCACAGTTGTGTCTGGCTCTCTCGCTCCCCAACCCATCCTCTCAATTCCCTTCTCTTCAACTGTGCGCAGTAATCTCAAAGCCTATGGGGCTATTTTCCAGTTTTGCTAAGGGGTGATGCTAAGGGAAGGGTGCGCTCCAGCCCATCTAGATTGGTCAAGCAGCGCTTGAAAAGTGAACTTGAATCTCGCTCCTTCCCAAAAGTCGCATCCCCATTGGAGCGCTTCTCTCCAAGGAAAACTCGCCGGCCAATTGGCAGCCAGGAGGGGCTATAAAGGCGCCGAACTCCAGAAACCTGGAGCGGGCCTTGAGGAGCAAGGGCAATTTTGGAAGCGAAAAGCAGCTTTATTGGAAGAGAGCGAGGCAGCGCTTTTGCAAGATGAAAACTACCAACAGCCAAGGTAAGAATAGAGGATTGTTAAAACGATTTTTAGTTCACTTGTCTTTAAAAAATTGCTCAAATGAATGATATAAATTAAGGGTTATAAACTCAACGGTTTTTATAAATGAAGGGTGTTTCTGGGTCAGGATCAGGGTGTAGGGAAGGCTTTCAAAGACCCATTTGTGGTAGCCGGGGAGGGATTACACAGGGGCTCAAATGTCTTCGGTTGGAAACATTTCGCAAGATAGGTTTGCACATCTTTAGTTGTAAGCATGAAGCATTTAGTGCATTTTACTGCATGAAGCATTTACACACACACTTTATGACTGTTAAATCCCTTTCACATAAACGGGATTAAATTTCCTAATAAACGTGGTTAGGATCAGCTGCGGAAAACGATGGCAGGCATAGAAATAAGAGCGTAAACGTATTACCTAAAATTCTATGGTTTGTTTTCATTCAAGCCTTGTTCAGAGTAACCGGAGGTTTATTTAAAGGCCACAAAGTGCGTGGAAATCAATGTCCTGTAAAAAGCGAAGGCTTTGCCCTTCTGCGCTCGGCCGGGTGGGTGGTCAGCGGGGCGCTTGAAAGAATTGCCACTGAAGCCGGGGGTCGTTTTACGCAGTGTAACCTCAGGCAGCGCCCGTTTCTGGGGGAAAGTGCAGGCGATGCAGCCCCGAGCTTTCCATGTCGGGAGGAACATCGGCAAGCGTCGCTTCTGTTTAAGCCGAGCGCTTCCTTCAGATTTGCCTCTTTGTCTTTTCCCAGGAGGAAGCTACCCCAAAGTGGGAGGAGATAGAAGAAAAAGGACCGTTTTTAGCCCATCTCACGTCGAGCTCCTAAAAAAGTCCTTTGAAGAGAACCAGTACCCCGGATACGGGACTAGGGAGGCGCTGGCGAGGTGCATCGGAGTCGAAGAAGATCGTGTGCACGTAAGAATCGGGATGGTGGGGGCTCCCAAGACTTCCCTAAACCGCACATACTGGAACAATTTGAAGCGCTCCGCATAATCCTTGCGTAGTTGGTTCACCCGGGTGCCTCTCAGCTTATCGCGAAAGGCGCCTTGTTCAAGAGCTAACTTCCTCTTTCTTGGGTTTTTTTGGGGGGGAGGGTGTATCGTGGATGTAAAAGCTTTATAATTAACAGTAACTGGAGATTATGTACATGGGATATATGAATGCGGAGCTGAAGAGAGGAGAAAAATGCTGCAGAGAACTAAAGAGAAACCCCAGAGGAATAAGCATAATTTATTAAATGTAATTCTCTGTTGGATCAAAAAGACATATTCATGGTAACAATGTCTTCTATATTCACAGAACATAATGCATATATGCCTTTCACACAACACAAGACAAATTAATGTAGGTTCTCCCACTGTCATACGCTAATCTTTGCTTGGTTGTTGTACCTGAAAGTGAAATTATGACCTACCTGTTTGGAAATAATGGGCATTTCGTTCTCTCCTTTCTTCTGTTCAGATCTGGTTTCAAAACAGAAGGGCCAGAACACCAAAGAGGATTGGTTCCAGGATAAGGATCGGGAACCATGCTGCAGCTCCTTATAGCCACAGTGAGAGAATCCGTCCAAGAAGCAGCCTGGACAGCAGCCCAAGAAGCAGTCCAGGAAACAGCCAAAATATTCACACGGAACAATACTACCAGCCACAGAACTTGCATTATGCTGAAAGCAATAGAGGAGCAGGGTTGTGGCAGCCACCTCTCAACAGCACGCAACCAGGAGAGCACCTCTCTGCCCCGCAACAGCAGAGCTCCCTGGAATTGAACCCTGCTTATTACCAGCAAGCTGCTTTTTGTGGAACTGGGCTTTATGAGACTTCCCAGGCGAGCAACTGCCCAGTTCCATATTACGGTGCGGAGATGGTGAGGCAGCCTCCACCATCAGCTGGGAACTTCTTCATGGCATCAAGCAGTTATACTCCCTGGTCTGCAACGGGGAATTATTCAGCTACAAATCCTGGACAAATGCAGAATGTTGATGGAAGTGCTTCGGACTCTCAGTTTTTCTCTTTAAGTCAGGTTCCAAATTAGCATCCCAACTCCTTCCTTGCTATCCTGTACATATTTTACAAGCTCCCTCTTTTAATGCCTTTTATTGTATTACTTTGATATTTTGAATAAAGTTTGTTCCTTTACTAGCTTGTCTGCAGTCTTGATTTAATTTTCCATTTACTGAAACATTCACTTTCCTGTGTGCAAGCATATAAACATGGGCTTAATTTTCCATAGAAAAAAGTCAGTTGTGAGGTACATGTGGTTCTAGAGATAAAAGGTCAGGTCTCCCCCCCCCCCCAGGTTAATTCCCCCCACCCCAAGGTTTCTGGTCTACTGCCTTCAATGAAGCTTTATGGGAGGGTTGCCTGTGAACTAGAGGTACCACTGTATATGCCTGAGGGAAGATAGCCGCGCCCTGTGGTGGCGCCTGGAGACCGGCTACGAGATAATTCTTAAGGGCTTCCCTCTCGACACTGTCTTCCCTTATTACGTTCCCGCAGAATCAGCGCTTTAACGAACGTCTTGCCGGGGCAACGGGGGGGGGGGCCTTCCCGCTCCTCTTTCTGGTCCCAACGGCTGCCCATCCCCCACTCCCTCTCGCTTCGCCTCATAGAATCAAGGTTGGCGCCGCGCGCCATTTTTCGCTCAAACCGCCCCCGCGCATGCGCCCCCGCCTGTCCTGCCTTCGCGCCTTTTGGCCACGGCTTCCCCTGCGGCGTCGCCTTGGCCGCCCTCCTCCTCCTCCTCCCTGGTCTCCCCGCTTCTCCCCCCGTCCCCTCGGTCTCCTCTTCGCTCCCTCTTCACACAATGACCCACCCCACCCCGCAGGGGGGACCCACCCGTGAGGCGAGATAAGCGCATTAGCATGTCTGGCCTCTGAGGAAGGCTGCCCCCTCTCGCCTTCCCTTCTGGTCCTTTCATTCCTTCATCCTTCTGCTCCCCTCTGGCCCCTCCAGGCTCAGCGCGGGGGGCGGGCGGGGCGGCTGGGCTGCCCTAAATCCGCCTCTACTTGGAAGTTTTTTCTCTCTCTTTTATTTTTGGTTGATCATGTTTTGTAATTATTATAAATCAAGACAGATCCATTTAGTCAGAAATAAGTCCCTCTCAATCCCGCCTCTGCTTGGGGTCCCCTGCGGCCCCTCCAGGCTGGGGAGGGGGGGGCTGGGCTGCCCTAAATCCGCCTCTGCTTGGGAGCTGGATCTTCCTCACTTCCACTTCTACCCCACTCCAAATCTGCCTCTACAGCAGCTTCGGGGCGAAGAGGAGGCGCCACTGGTCTCTTCCCGCCTTTCTTCGCCATTTGATCTTGATCCCCCAACAATCTCCATTCTCCTTCTTCCTGGGGGCCAGTTTTGGGACTCGTCTCAGGGGACCAAATGTCTTGGGCCGGCCCTGCTGACCCCCCTGCAGGAGTAAGTCTGGCCAAGGTGGCTGGGACGTCAGCTCAGGCAAATGCAACCCAGGGAGGATTTCACCCTGAAGCCTGTGCCCCTTTTCATCTTTGCCTCCTTTCTGAACCTGCCCCTGGGAATTCGGCTGGTGTTTCTCTCCCTCCTCCATAAGGAAAGCCCTGAGCACTAGCATTCCCTGGGCGGTTGCCAGATGCTGAGGGGTGAGCACTCTGCACATGCCTGGGAGTAAACCATCTACCAGCGTCTGTTAGATTCCCTTAGGTGAGAGAAAGGGTTTCTAGAGTGATAGCCCAGTAGGTGCCTCCAGAACTCATTGGAGGAAGACTAAATGGTGACCACCACAGCCCTGTCGAAAACGAGGACACAGATATCATTCAATGGGTCTGTGCTAATGTAGGTAATATTCATCTGTATGTTTTGAAGTATGGTTGATTCCCACCCCCCTCAATTTTATTATTTTATCTGTTAGTAAACCACGTTTTACAATCAAGTGGTGTATACATTTAAAGAAATAAACAAATGGCCAAAGGCAACTTAAAAACAATTACTGTAATTTAAATAGAAATATCATACTTCTCACCGTATTTAGGTGACCTGAATGCCTGCTTAGTCTGCTGTCCAAATGCTGACTGTTGGTGGGCATTTGTTTGAAAACTGCAGCTAGACTATAAAGCCTTTCAAAGAATGGTGTGTCTGCTATGTCTCTGTTCCAGCACTCTTTTGTTTAATCAAATTTCCACTATACTTTTCTTCAACAAGGCTACACTTTCTGAAAAACAACCTACTCACAGTAGGCTTCAGAACCCACAAAGTTGCTGTCTAACAACCTGCAGATTGACACACTCACACATTAATTAATTAATTAATTAATTAATTATAGATCGTTCCAAAGAGCACCCACATTGAAGTATGATTTCCGGTAAAATAACTTATGGTGAAAAGAATCTTTAGGCAATCTTAATGCATGGAAGCGTTATGGGTATTTAAAAGAGCTTAGATGGTTATTTGAAGCTTGCTCTTTTAAAATATACATTGAGCTTTTGAAGGAAATGTCAAGACACAACTCCAGTTTTTCTGATATCTGCAGGCATAACACATTGCCCACAGTCAAATTGGACTTATTTGAGTAATATAATAATTTTAATATTTGAAACGGAAATGAGATGAAGTGGGTGTCGATCCGGGAGAGAGAGCTTTATTGGCAGTAGCACCCCAGCTATGGAACAGCCTCCTCAGTGAGCCTTTCCTGGTGCCTTCTTTATCTTCTCTAAATCATCTAGTGAAGACCTTTTGGTTCACCCACATGGTTTAATTCTTTATTGAAGCTTGGGTGTTTTATACTCTCTGTGATGCCATCCATATAAGTTGCAAAAGATGTTTTTGGTTCTCTTTTATCTTTGGTTGATCATGATTTTTAATTATTATAAATCAAGACAGATCCATATAGTCAGAAATACGTCCCTCTCAATCCCTACCATTTCATTTACTTATGTTCTGGGATTTGGCGCCCAGAATCTTAAAATTCATTAGGAGATCTGCCCCTGATTCCAAGCTACTCTGTGTATAACATAGGCAAAATGACAGAATCTACATGCTAGAACAGCTTTAGAGAGATAGATAAATGTAATACAATAGATAAAAGGCAAGATTAAAACAACTCCCAATTGAGATCAAAAAGCTAAGGTTGGAGGATAAAACCTGCAATAAGAACAAGATACAAAGCTGAAACTAAATCTAAATGTCTTCACCCGACACATACAAAAACATCAAAGTGATGTCTCTGTGAGTGGAAGGTGCGGGATTTATTTCCCCACATCCATCTCTCTGAAAGAGGGAAAGAGTTGAGTGGTGGTGAAGAGAGGGCATCATTCCGCAGCAGAGACTGCTAAATAAGAGGGAGTCACCTTTTCTTTCAGTTGTTTTGCTAAACTGAGTCAATCCCCTCCCTCCCTCCCTGGCCACCCCTTTGGCCGTTGACTCTTCGGCCGACAGTAATAACCAATTGACTTTGACCTACTTTAGTCTGTGATTTCGTCCTTAGCCCTTGGTTTTAAGCAATGGTTCCAACCTTAAACTGCTGTTGATTCCAAGAAACGACAGACTAGCTGAGGTCGTTTATTGCATTTTAAATTGTATTCACTGCATGTGAAAAAGCAATAAAATACATTTTCAAAACCGGCGTTGATATGCTTAATATTTCGCTGTTGGCCCGTTTCGAGCAGTGGTTCCAACCTTAAACTGCCAAGTCAGTGCAAGTAACTACGCCACAACTGAATAAAGTGGCGTGTCCCACACCTGCATCGTACATAAATCACACTTGCGGTCCAACCAAAGAACACGCCCCCCCTTTACAAGGTTGCACACCCTTCGTATCTGAAACGGAATGCAATCCCAATGCAATCCCTTCTCCGTGGGTTTGAGGGACTGACACAACAGCCCTGCAATGCAAGTCTGTCGCAGCTCAAAGGCTGGGGGTTAGGTTGCTCTCGGTTTCCTACCCAAAATCCCTAATAGAAGGTCAGCCTTATTGAAACTGCCCTATTAGGCGTCCTCCCAGTGTTAATTCAACACTTCAACACGTATTTCCGAACAGAAACCTGACCTCCTGGTCCGTGTGTTTCAGTAGCCATGAAGTTTAAATGTTCATTAAAACAACCATCAGCAAAGCGCTAATATCAAATTGGCATTGCTACTGTTCATATTAGGAAGCTACTTTGTGGTACATTCTGCTTTGAAATTTGTCAAATTATAATTTATGCGGTGAAACATTGTGATCTTTGAATCCTGGAGGAGAAAGGGACATAATGTATAAACGAACTAGTAGTAGGTTGAAACGCAGCTATGTATTTGATACCTCAACTATGCTTGCTTGTTTTCCTTTCCTCGTCCTCCTACAAATAAACCCAATTATATGTTCTTATGGTTTTTATTTACTGAATTTATACGCCTTTCGGAGCCCACATCGGCAAACAGAAACAGTACACACTTTAAAAACAAAAACAAAGCAAAAACATTCTAAAACATTTCGAACATTTAAAAAATAACAATTGCAAACACCTAAAAACAATTTCAGTTAGGAAGAATCCTAAAAGTAACTATAGGAGGTTTGTTGGTTTGTTTTTTCAACTATTCTTCTGCCCGCTGATCTCGGGGTTGTCAGGAACATTATTCTGCAGCCACCAAATGCCTGAACAAACGGGAATATTTTCAAATTCCTAATGAAACGCAATAATGATGAAGAGAGAGAGCTTTCCGCAACCGGGGAACCTCTTTAAATGGGCTGGCCGTCCAGATCGAATTAAAGCAAATTAAACCAACTACAACGGCACTGTCGTCTTATTTATTTATTTGGGTTTATAAAAGATTAACATACGAATCCTAACTTGCAGGTACCAGCTTGGAAAAGGCATTCTTGGTGCAAGGAACTCCTCTTCTAAGATGGCGGGTGACCTTGAATATCCAATGCACCGTTTTTAAAAGAACGTAAGCTGTTTCCTAAGTCTTCAAAACTAGCGAAAAATGAATGCAAATTTAATCATATGTTAATAAAATATAGCTTGCTTACATAGCTTAGATTTCTTTCTTCGGTTGCCTCCGCTCTTATGTATACAGTATTATTCGCATTTGATACGATTGCTGGCAGTTGCCAGAGCCTCCATCCAAGGCGATGTACTAATTTATTTAGACGGCAGAGGCTGAAATGAGGGGTATTGGAATTAAGTTGTTCCAAGCTTCTTTGTCGATATGAAAAAAATTATACTTGGTTCTTTTTAGAACAACAACAAAACCTTTTTAAAAAGGAGAGTACCCGTTTAAGATACGAAGTGTGTGCTAAAGTGTGTGTGGGGGGTTCTTTGGTTGGACCTCGCAAGTGTCATTTTTGTACAATGCGGGTGTGGCGTGGCAAGAAACGGGGTAGTAGGCGCCCGAAAGATATATCTCTCCCTCCCTCCCTCCCTCTCTCTCTCTCTCTCTCTCTCTCGCTCTCTCTCTCTCTCTCTCTCTCCCTCCCTCCCTCCCTCTCTCTCTCTCTCTCTCTCTCTTCCATTCAGATGAAGAGTCAATTGCCAAAGGGGGGTCGACGGAGGGAGGGGTTTGAGCCAGTTTGGCAAAGCAACTGATTTTTGAAAGAGAATGTAACTGTTTCTATTGGTTGAGAAGCAAGGGTGAAACGCAAAAATGATGAAGACGGGGCAGCAGACTGGGAGGGCATTCCTCAACCGGGAAACCTCGTATTGGTAGAGAAGTAAGGGTGGGGTGACTCCCTCGTATTGGTTGAGAAGTAAGGGTGGGGTCGCCCAACGGAGATAAATGCCCAGACTGAATCCCCTGCAGAGTGAACGAACCAGAGGGAGTTTTTTTCATGATGGCAACCAACAAGGAAGGTAAGAGAAACTTTTAAAAAAAATGATTATTAAGCCCTGAGCTTTCCATGTCGGGAGGAACATCGGCAAGCGTCGCTTCAGTTTAAGCTTGCCCAGCGCTTCCTTCAGATTTGCCTCTTTGTCTTTTCCCAGGAGGAATCTACCCCAAAGTCGGAGGAGATAGGAGGAAAAGGACCGTTTTCACCCCTGCTCAAATCGAGCTTTTAAAGAAGGAGTTTGAAAAGAACCAGTACCCCGGATACGAGACCAGGGAGGCGCTTGCGAGGTGCATCGGAATCGAAGAAGATCGTGTGCACGTAAGAATCGGGATGGTGGGGGCTCCCAAGACTTCCCTGAACCGCACATACTGGAACAATTTGAAACGCTCAGAATAATCCTTGCGTAGTCGAAGGCCTTAGTTCTCCCGGGTGCCTCTCAGCTTTTTTTGGGGGGGGGGTGTATCGTGGATGCAAAGGTTTTTTGTAAAGGGTGGGTGGGTTGTGCTCCCTCCTTTTCAAATTTAGGAAGAAATTGTGCCCATACTTGTTCAGAAATCATGGTTCCTGATTAAGGCTTCTTTTTCCTTCCCAGTAAATTTATGCATAGCACACATTCATTTAATGCAGATTCTGAGTTTTCTGAGATTCTGACCCCAAACAGGGCAGAACAAATGGGTAGGTCTTCTGAGTGAGGTATTTAAAATTAGTATTACTATATTTATGGAATTTTTAAAACAATTGCCTTCCAGCACAAATGCACACAGAGATGTTAAGTCTTGTATGCAGGCATCCACTTGGCATTAACAAATGCTTGGCAATTTCTTACAGATGAAGCTCACATCCACAGGTTATACTTCACTAAAGAAAGTCTTGTGGAACTGTACACTTGTGCAGCTTTTAAAGGTGGCTTTTTCTGATACTGCAGAACAAAATACAGCCAAATAGCAGTATTTAGTCACTCCAACTTAGAAGCTTTATGATTAACAGTAACTGGAGATTATGAACATGGGATATTTGAATGCGGAGCTGAAGAGAGTAGAAAAATGCTGCAGAGAACTAAAGAGAAACCCCAGAGGAATAAGCATAATTTATTAAATGTAATTCTCTCTGTTGGATCAAAAAGACATATTCATGGTAACAATGTCTTCTATATTCACAGAACATAATGCTTATATGCCTTTCACACAACACAAAACAAATTAATGTAGGTTCTCCCACTGTCATACACTAATCTTTGCTTGGTTGTTGTACCTGAAAGTGAAATTATGACCTACCCGTTTGGAAATAATGGGCATTTGGTTCTCTCCTTTCTTCTGTTTAGATCTGGTTTCAAAATAGACGAGCCAGAACACCAAAGAGGATAGGTTCCACGATAAGGATCGGGAACCATGCTGCAGCTCCTTATAGCCACAGTGAAGGAACCCGTCCAAGAAGCAGCCTGGACAGCAGCCCAAGAAGCAGTCCAGGAAACCTCCAAAATATTCATATGGAACAAGATTACCAGCCACACAACTTGCATTATGCTGAAAGCTATGGAGGAGCAGGGTTGTGGCAGCCATCTCTCAACAACACGCAACCAGGAGAGCACCTCTCTGCCCCGCAACAGCAGAGCTCCCTGGAATTGAACCCTGCTTATTACCAGCAAGCTGCTTTTTGTGGAACTGGGCTTTATGAGACTTCTCAGGCGAGCAACTGCCCAGTTCCATATTACGGTGCGGAGATGGTGAGGCAGCCTCCACCATCAGCTGGGAACTTCTTCATGGCATCAAGCACTTATACTCCCTGGTCTGCAACGGGGAATTATTCAGCTACAAATCCTGTACAAATGCAGAATGTTGATGGAAGTGCTTCGGACTCTCAGTTTTTCTCTTTAAGTCAGGTTCCAGATTAGCATCCCAACTCCTTCCTTGCTATCCTGTACATATTTTCCAAGCTCCCTATTTTAATGCCTTTTAATGTATGACTTCAATGTTTTGAATAAAGTTTGTTCCTTTACTAGCTTGTCTCGAGTATTCATTTAACTTTCCATTTACTGAAACATTCACTTTCCTGTGTGCAAGCATATAAACATGGGCTTAATTTTCCCATAGAAAAAAGTCAGTTGTGAGGTACATGTGGTTCTAGAGATAAAAGGTCAGGTCTTCTAATGGCTGAAATATTCTTGAGACACATTTTAATGCACCAATGGCTTTCCGTCCCTTTCCTTTTCTTTTTAAGTCTCTGTATCTTAGGCTAGAGTAGGTGGCAGTAAATGTGGTGGGAAGTCGCTATATTTTCTTTGTATGCAAAAGTATATTTGTAGATCCTGCTATATGTAGATTTAGTAACACTTTTCTGTGGTAATAAGTTTGGTTTCCATTAATGAGTCTTCCATTTTTTAAAAAACAGAAGTTTGAGATGGGGATATAAGGTTTAATTGATTTTCCTAACATGAGTGTGCTGCTCTCAAAGCTTTAAAGACATATAAGTTTAACTTATAAATGCCCATGTTGCAGGCTAAGGCACATACATCTATTAGAAACTTTGTGGGGGGATATTTTTGAACACTTTATTTCATTTTCTTGCTCTTAATCATTCCCCCCCCCCCCCAGTTTTGTGCTCTACTGCCTTCAATGAAGCTTTATAAGATGGTTGCCTGTGAACTAGAGGTACCACTGTATATGCCTGAGGGAAGATAGCCGCGCCCTGTGGTGGCGCCTGGAGACCGGCTACGAGATAACTCTGAAGGGCTTCCCTCTCGACATTGTCTTCCCTTATTACGTTCCCGCCGCATCAGCGCTATAACGAACGTCTTGGGGGGCAACGGGGGGGGCGGGGGTGTCCTTCCCGCTCCTCTTTCGGGTCCCAACGGCCGCCCATCCCCCACTCCCTCTCGCTTCGCCGCGTAGAATCCAGGTTGGCGCCGCGCGCCGTTTCCCGCCCAAACCGCCCCCGCGCATGCGCCCCCGCCTGTCCTGCCTTGGCGCCCTTTGGCCCCGACTTCTCCTGCGGTGTCGCCTTGGCCGCCCTCCTCCTCCTCCTCCCTGGTCTCCCCGCTTCTCCCCCCCTCCCCTCGGTCTCCTCTTCGCTCCCTCTTCACACAATGACCCCCCCACCCCCACCCCACCCCGCAGGGGGGACCCACCCGTGAGGCGAGATAAGCGCATTAGCGTGTCTGGCCTCTGAGGAAGGCTGCCCCCTCTCGCCTCCCATTCTGGTCCTGTCATTCCTTCATCCTTCTGCTCCCCTGTGGCCCCTCCAGGTTCAGCGGGGGGGGGGGGGCTGTGTTGCCCTAAATCCGCCTCTGCTTGGAAGTTTTTCCCCCCTCTTTTATTTTTGGTTGATCATGTTTTGTAATTATTATAAATCAAGACAGATCCATTTAGTCAGAAATAAGTCCCTCTCAATCCCGCCTCTGCTTGGGGTCCCCTGTGGCCCCTCCAGGCTGGGGAGGGGGGGGGCTGGGCTGCCCTAAATCCGCCTCTGCTTGGGAGTTGGATCTTCCTCACTTCCACTTCTACCCCACTCCAAATCTGCCTCTACAGCAGCTTCGGGGCGAAGAGGAGGCGCCACTCTTCCCGCCTTTCTTCGCCATTTGATCCCCCAACAATCTCCATTCTCCTCTTCTTCCCTGGGGGGGGGGGCAGTTTTGGGACTCGTCTCAGGGGACCAAATGACCCCCCTGCAGGAGTAAGTCTGGCCAAGGTGGCTGGGACGTCAGCTCAGGCAAATGCAACCCAGGGAGGATTTCACCCTGAAGCCTGTGCCCCCTTTTCATCTTTGCCTCCTTTTCTGAACCTGCCCCTGGGAATTCGGCTGGTGTTTCTCTCCCTCCTCCATAAGGAAATCCCTGAGGGCCCTCACACTAGCATTCCCTGGGCGGTTGCCAGATGCTGAGGGGTGAGCACTCTGCACATGCCTGGGAGTAAACCATCTACCAGCGCCTGTTAGATTCCCTTAGGTGAGAGAAAGGGTTTCTAGAGTGATAGCCCAGTAGGTGCCTCCAGAACTCATTGGAGGAAGAGTAAATGGTGACCACCACAGCACTGTCGAAAAGGAGGACACAGATATCATTCAATGGGTCTGTGCTAATTTAAGGTAATATTCATCCTTATGTTTGGAAGTATGGTTGATTCCCTACCCCCCTCAATTTTATTATTTTATCTGTTTGTAAAATAAAAACTGCAAAGTGGTTTACTATCAAGTGGTGTTTACATTTAATGAAATAAATAAACAAATGGCGAAAGGCAACTTAAAAAAAATTACTCTACGTAATTTAAATAGAAATATAATACTTCTCACCGTATTTAGGTGACCTGAATGCCTGCCTAGTCTGCTGTCCAAATGCTGACTGTTGGTGGGAATTTGTTTGAAAACTGCAGCTAGACTATAAAGCCTTTCAAAGAATGGTGTGTCTGCTATGTCTCTGTTCCAGCACTCTTTTGTTTAATCAAATTTCCACTATACTTTTCTTCAACAAGGCTACACTTTCTGAAAAACAACCTACTCACAATGGGCTTCAGAAACCTCAAAGTTACTGTCTAACAACCTGCAGATTATCATACTCATACACATTAATTAATTAATTAATTAATTACAGATCGTTCCAAAGAGCACCCACATTGAAGTATGATTTCTGGTAAAATAACTTAAGGTGAAAAGAATTTTTAGGCAAACTTAATGCATGGAAGAGTTATGGGTATTTAAAGAGCTTTGATGGTTATTTATAGATTGCTCTTTCAAAATATACATTGAGCTTTTGAAGGAAATGTCAAGATACAACTCAGTTTTCTGATATCTGCAGGCATAACACATTGCTCACAGTCAAACTGGACTTATTTGAGTAATATAATAATTTTAATATTTGAAACGGAAATGAGATGAAGTGGGTGTCGATCAGGGAGATAGAGCTTTAGTGGCAGTAGTATTCCAGCTATGGAACAGCCTCCTCAGTGAGTCTTTCCTGGTGCCTTTATCTTCTCTAAATCATCTAGTGAAGACCTTTTGGTTCACCCACATGGTTTAATTCTTTATTGAAGCTTGGGTGTTTTATGCTCTCTATGATGCCATACATATAAGTTGCAAAATAAGTTTTTGTTATCTTTTATTTTTTGTTGATCATGATTTTTAATTATTATAAATCAAGACAGATCCATTTAGTCAGAAATACCTCCCTCTCAATCCCCATTTACTTATGTACTGCTTTCGAAATGAACTTCACAAAGTGGTTTACATCAATATATCAAAACAATAAGCATCCATTTAAAATGTAATAAAACAGCAAAGGCAAACTGCAGGGGGAAAAGTTCAGTGATTTTAGGATTGTAGCTTTTAAAAGTGTAGTTTAGTGGGAGAGAAATTTTTCTCTATCCACTTTCTCCATGCAATGCAAAATTTTATAAATTTCTGTCATGCCACGTCTTATCCAACTTTTCTCTAAACCAAAAAGTCCCCAATGCTCCAACCTTTCCTCATTGTTCCATCCACTTGATCACTTTGCTGGCCCTTTTCTGAATTATCTGAACTGGAGATCTGTGATAACGCATCACATGCTTGTATGCATAGGGTGGGATGGGGGAAGCAATTAATCCCTTTCCTCCTCCAGTCCTAATTGCTTTCTAAATTGCTGTTTCCTTTGCATGGCAGTGGTGGGAAGAAAGTGGGAAGAACGCTGGGTGTTTTGTGGTAGATCACAAAGGATTGCTGACCTCACCTCCCGTGTTTATAAATACAGTAACTGCAAAATAATCCCCCTCCCCCTCTACATTATACTGCTCAGATGAAGAATACTTGAGTTAACCAGGAACGGATTTACGTGTGGAAAGCCTGTGAGCTCCCATTAATTCTGATTCTCCAAACAAGTTCCTGGGCTCATACTTGACAACCTGCAATAAGGACAACTAGTTGCAAGTAGATCTAAATGTCTTCACCTGACACATACAAAAACATCAAAGTGATGTCAGGCAAGCCTCTCTGGGAGTGGAAGGTGCGGGATTTATTTCCCCAAATCCATCTCTCTGAATGAGGGAAAGAGTTGAGTGGTGGACAAGTCTGTCGCAGCTCAGAGGTTGGGGGTTAGGTTGCTATCGGTTTTCTGCCCAAAATCCCTAATAGAAAACACCCCTCGAGTTACAGCAAAGGGCAGTCTATTGAAACTGCCCCCTTAGGCGTCCTCCCAGTGTTAATTCAACACGTATTTCCGAGCAGAAACTTGACCTCCTGGTCTCTGTGTTTCAGTAGACATGAAGTTTAAATGTTCATTAAAACAACCACCATCACAGCGCTAATCTCAAATTGGCATGGCTACTGTTCATATTACGAAGTTACTTTGTGGTACATTCTGCTTTGAAATTTGTCAAATTACAATTTATGCGGTGAAACATTGTGATCTTTGAACCTTGGAGGAGAAAGGGACATAATGTATAAACGAACTAGTAATAGTTTGAAACTGAGCTATGTATTTGATACCTAAACTTTGCTTGCTTGTTTTCCTTTTTTCGTCCTCCTACAAATAAAACCTATTCAATGTTCCGGGTTGCTATGTTCTTATGGTTTTTATTTACTGAATTTATACGCCGCCCTTCGGAGCCCAGATCGGCAAACAGAAACAGTACACACTTTAGAAACAAAAACAAAGCAAAAGCATTTCGAACATTAAAAAAATAACAATTTTAAACACCTAAAAGCAATTTCAGTTAGGAAGAATCCTAAAAGTAATTATAGGAGGTTTGTTGGTTTGTTTTTTCAACTATTCTTCTGTCCGCTGATCTCGGGGTTGTCAGGAACATTATTCTGCAGCCACCAAATGCCTGAGCAAACGGGAATATTTTCAAATTCCTAAGGAAACGCAATAATGATGAAGACGGGCAGCTCACTAGAGAGAGCATTCCGCAACCGGGGAACCTCTTTAAATGGGCTAACTGTCCAGATTGAATTAAAGCAATTTAAACCAACTACAACGGCACCGTCATTTTATTTATTTATTTAGGTTTTTAAAAGATTAACATACGAATCCTAACTTGCAGGTACCAGCTTGGAAAAGGCATTCTTGGTGCAAGGAACTCCTCTTCTAAGATGGCGGGTGACCTTGAATATCCAATGCACCGTTTTTAAAAGAATGTAAGCTGTTTCCTAAGTCTTCAAAACCAGCGAAAAATGAGTGCAAATTTAATCATATGTTAATAAAATATAACTTGCTTACATAGCTTAGATTTCTTTCTTCGGTTGCCTCCGCTCTTATGTATACAGTATTATTCGCATTTGATACGATTGCTGGCAGTTGCCAGAGCCTCCATCCAAAGCGATGTACTAATTTATTTAGACGGCAGATGCTGAAATGAGGGGTATTGGAATTAAGTTGTTCCAAGCTTCTTTGTCGATATGAAAAAAATTATACTTGGTTCTTTTTAGAACAACAACAAAACCTTTTTAAAAAGCAGAGTACCCGTTTAAGATACGAAGTGTGTGCTAAAGTGTGTGTGTGGGGGGGGTTCTTTGGTTGGACCTCGCAAGTGTCATTTTTGTACAATGCGGGTGTGGCTTGGCAAAGAAAAGGTGTAGTAGGCGCCCGAAAGATATATCTCTCCCTCCCTCCCTCTCTCTCTCTCTCTCTCTCTCTCTCTCTCTCCCTCCCTCCCTCCCTCTCTCTCTCTCTCTCTCCTCTTCCATTCAGATGAAGAGTCAATTGCCAAAGGGGGGTCGACGGAGGGAGGGGTTTGAGCCAGTTTGGCAAAGCAACTGATTTTTTGAAAGAGAATGTAACTGTTTCTATTGGTTGAGAAGCAAGGGTGAAACGCAAAAATGATGAAGACGGGGCAGCAGACTGGGAGGGCATTCCTCAACCGGGAAACCTCGTATTGGTAGAGAAGTAAGGGTGGGGTGACTCCCTCGTATTGGTTGAGAAGTAAGGGTGGGGTCGCCCAACGGAGATAAATGCCCAGACTGAATCCCCTGCAGAGTGAACGAACCAGAGGGAGTTTTTTCCATGATGGCAACCAACAAGGAAGGTAAGAGAAACTTTTAAAAAATGATTATTAAGCCCTGAGCTTTCCATGTCGGGAGGAACATCGGCAAGCGTCGCTTCAGTTTAAGCTTGCCCAGCGCTTCCTTCAGATTTGCCTCTTTGTCTTTTCCCAGGAGGAAGCCACCCCAAAGTCGGAGGAGATAGAAGAAAAAGGACCGTTTTCACCCCTGCCCAAATCGAGCTTTTAAAGAAGGAGTTTGAAGAGAACCAGTACCCCGGATACGAGACCAGGGAGGCGCTGGCGAGGTGCATCGGAATTGAAGAAGATCGTGTGCACGTAAGAATCGGGATGGTGGGGGCTCCCAAGACTTCCCTAAACCGCACATACTGGAACAATTTGAAACGCTCAGAATAATCCTTGCGTAGTCGAAGGCCTTAGTTCTCCCGGGTGCCTCTCAGCTTTTGGGGGGGGGTGTATCGTGGATGTAAAGGGTGGGTGAGTTGTGCTCCCTCCTTTTCAAATTTAGGAAGAAATTGTGCCCATACTTGTTCAGAAATCATGGTTCCTGATTAAGGCTTCCTTTTCCTTCCAAGTTAATTTATGCACAGCACGCATTCATTTAATGCAGATTCTGAGTTTTCTGAGATTCTGTCCCCAAACAGAGCAGAACAAATGGGTAGGTCTTCTGAGTGAGGTATTTAAAATTACTATTACTATATTTATGGAATTTTAAAAACAATTGTCTTCCAGCACAAATGCACACAGAGATGTTAAGTCTTGTATGCAGGCATCCACTTGGCATTAACAAATGCTTGACAATTTCTTACAGATGAAGCTCACATCCACAGGTTATACTTCAATAAAGTGAGTCTTGTGGAACTGTACACTTGTGCAGCTTTTAAAGTGGCTTTTTCTGATACTGCAGAACAAAATACTGTACAGCCAAATAGCAGTATTTAGTCATTCCAACTTAGAAGCTTTATGATTAACAGTAACGGGATATTATGAACATGGGATATTTGAATGTGGAGCTGAAGATAGTAGAAAAATGCTGCAGAGAACTAAAGAGAAACCCCAGAGGAATAAGCATAATTTATTAAATGTAATTCTCTCTGTTGGATCAAAAAGACATATTCATGGTAACAATGTCTTCTATACTGGTTCTCTCCTTTCTTCTGTTCAGATCTGGTTTCAAAATAGACGAGCCAGAACACCAAAGAGGATTGGTTCCAGGATAAGGATCGGGAACCATGCTGCACCTCCTTATAGCCACAGTGAAGGAACCCGTCCAAGAAGCAGCCTGGACAGCAGCCCAAGAAGCAGTCCAGGAAACAGCCAAAATATTCACACGGAACAATATTACCAGCCACACAACTTGCATTATGCTGAAAGCTATGGAGGAGCAGGGTTGTGGCAGCCACCTCTCAACAACACGCAACCAGGAGAGCACCTCTGTGCCCCGCAACAGCAGAGCTCCCTGGAATTGAAGCCTGCTTATTCCCAGCAAGCTGCTTTTTGTGGAACTGGGCTTTATGAGACTTCCCAGGCGAGCAACTGCCCAGTTCCATATTACGGTGCGGAGATGGTGAGGCAGCCTCCACCATCAGCTGGGAACTTCTTCATGGCATCAAGCAGTTATACTCCCTGGTCTGCAACGGGGAATTATTCAGCTACAAATCCTGTACAAATGCAGAACGTTGATGGAAGTGTTTCGGACTCTCAGTTTTTCTCTTTAAGTCAGGTTCCAGATTAGCATCCCAACTCCTTCCTTGCTATCCTGTACATATTTTCCAAGCTCCCTCTTTTAATGCCTTTTATTGTATTACTTTGATATTTTGAATAAAGTTTGTTCCTTTACTAGCTTGTCTGGAGTCTTGATTTAATTTTCCATTTACTGAAACATTCACTTTCCTGTGTGCAAGCATATAAACATGGGCTTAATTTTCCCATAGAAAAAAGTCAGTTGTGAGGTACATGTGGTTCTAGAGATAAAAGGTCAGGTCTCCCCCCCCCAGGTTAATTCCCCCCACCCCAAGGTTTGTGGTCTACTGCCTTCAATGAAGCTTTATGGGAGGGTTGCCTGTGAACTAGAGGTACCACTGTATATGCCTGAGGGAAGATAGCCGCGCCCTGTGGTGGCGCCTGGGGAGCGGCTACGAGATAACCCTTAAGGGCTTCCCTCTCGACACTGTCTTCCCTTATTACGTTCCGCCGCATCAGCGCTATAACGAACGTCTTGCTGGGGCAACGGGGGGGGGGGGCGGGGGTGTCCTTCCCGCTCCTCTTTCTGGTCCCAACGGCCGCCCATCCCCCACACCCGCTCCCGTCGCCTCAAAGAATCAGTGTTGACGCCGCGCGCCATTTCCCGCTCAAACCGCCCCGCGCATGCGCCCCCGCCTGTCCTGCCTTGGCGCCTTTTGGCCACGCCTTCCCCTGCGGCGTCGCCTTGGCCGCCCTCCTCCTCCTCCCTGGTCTCCCCGCTTCTCCCCTCCCCCCTCGGTCTCCTCTTCGCTCCCTCTTCACACAATGGCCCCTCACCCCACCCCGCAGGGGTGACCCACCCGTGAGGCGAGATAAGCGCATTAGCATGTCTGGCCTCTGAGGAAGGCTGCCCCCTCTCGCCTTCCCTGCTGCTCCTTTCATTCCTTCATCCTTCTGCTCCCCTGTGGCCCCTCCAGGCTCAGCGCCCCAGGGCAGGGGGACCGGCTGGGCTGCCCTAAATCCGCCTCTGCTTGGGAGCTGGATCTTCCTCACTTCCACTTCTACCCCACTCCAAATCTGCCTCTACAGCAGCTTCGGGGCGAAGAGGAGGCGCCACTGGTCTCTTCCCGCCTTTCTTCGCCATTTGATCTTGATCCCCCAACAATCTCCATTCTCCCCTTCTTCCCGGGGGGGGGGCAGTTTTGGGACTCGTCTCAGGGGACCAAATGTCTAGGCCGGCCCTGCTGACCCCTGCAGGAGTAAGTCTGGCCAAGGTGGCTGGGACGTCAGCTCAGGCAAATGCAACCCAGGGAGGATTTCACCCTGAAGCCTCTGCCCCCTTTTTCATCTTTGCCTCCTTCTGAACCTGCCCCTGGGAATTCGGCTGGTGTTTCTCTCCCTCCTCCATAAGGAAAGCCCTGAGCACTAGCATTCCCTGGGCGGTTGCCAGATGCTGAGGGGTGAGCGCTCTGCACATGCCTAGGAGTAAACCATCTACCAGCTCCTGTTAGATTCCCTTAGGTGAGAGAAAAGGTTTCTAGAGTGATAGCCCAGTAGGTGCCTCCCAGAACTCATTGGAGGAAGAGTAAATGGTGACCACCACAGCCCTGTCGAAAACGAGGACACAGATATCATTCAATGGGTCTGTGCTAATGTAGGTAATATTCATCTGTCTGTTTTGAAGTATGGTTGATTGCCACCCCCCTCAATTTTATTATTTTATCACTTAGTAAACCACGTTGCAGTTTTTTGTTTTACAATCAAGTGGTGTATACATTTAATGAAATAAACAAATGGCCAAAGGCAACTTAAAAACAATTACTGTAATTTTAATACAAATATACTACTTCTCACCGTATTTAGGTGACCTGAATGCCTGCTTGGTCTGCTGTCCAAATGCTGACTGTTGGTGGGCATTTGTTTGAAAACTGCAGCTAGACTATAAAGCCTTTCAAAGAATGGTGTGTCTGCTATGTCTCTGTTCCAGCACTCTTTTGTTTAATCAAATTTCCACTATACTTTTCTTCAACAAGGCTACACTTTGTGAAAAACAACCTACTCACAATGGGCTTCAGAAACCACAAAGTGGCTGTCTAACAACATGCAGATTGTCACACTCACACAAATTAATTAATTAATTAATTAATTACAGATCGTTCCAAAGAGCACCCACATTGAAGTATGATTTCCGGTATGCCTGACCTGGAGTCCTCATTCAGTGCGGTCCAGGCAGATGACTGTATATCCTCGTCCTCTGTCAGTCAACCTCGCTTGGTAGATCCTCTTGTATCCGTAACCTCTTCAAGCCAACATATAAACGTTAAGGAAGCCACTGTGCAAAGAGACAGCTCAGGCTTTATTGAAGACCCTGCTGGCCACATCAATCAAATTACCACCCCTTCGATACCTTCGGCTGTATCACGCCTGGCGCGGTCTCAGACCCTTGGCAATGCTTCTTCCACCAGCAACCAGAGTATCTGACTAGCACATAGTCCCTCCCCAAACTGCTTCAATGTGCTATCCTGGAACGTGGCGGGATGGACGTTCAAACAGGATGGCGGGGATATGATAGAGTTTTTAGCGAAATTCCAGATTATGGGTATACAAGAGACCTGGTGCTTAGAATCGTCACCCCCCCCTTCCCTATTGGGCTATGATGCTTTTGTGATTCCTGCGACCAAAACACATTTGTATGGGCGCCCTAGTGGAGGCCTGGTAACATTTGTTTCGCAGGAGCTTCATCTTAATATCTCTCCTCTCCTTTGGTTAGAGAGTAATTGTATTCAAATTTTGCACATCACTAACAGCCCGGTTGGGGACTTCATATGTGTTAATTTGTACAATCCATCTACCTACTCCTCTTCCCATACAAATCGGTTTTGGGAGGATCTAAGATTTATCCTTGATAAATCTGTGGCTGAATTCCCAAAGTCAGAGATCCTCATAATGGGGGACTTTAATGCCAGAATCGGAGCAGATATAAGCTCATTCACCGATAAGTCGCAACTATTCATACAAGAGGAGTGGTTTCCTACGTGGAATTCACATGACAAGACCATTAATAGGGCTGGCATCATACTGTTGGAGTTTACCATTAACTGCGGGCTGCACAGCTTGCATGGTACACCCAAAGACTGGTCCGGGGATACTATACTTTTCTAGGATCTAGAGGGGCAAGCGTTATAGATTATATCTGGTCCTTTTCGGCACTTAATGATAAGGCATATTGTTTCAATGTGTTCAACAGAACCGAAAGTGACCACCTTCCTATTGCCATCTCCTTCCACCACACACAGCTGGGGCTCCCCAGCTCACTCCCCCACCAGGATTCACTGACCTTAGCCCCGGTCGTAAGAAGTGGGATATCTATTTGGAGCAAGACATAAAAGTCCTCCTAAATTCCCCTGAGATCCTAGCCCTGAAAGCTCAGCTGGTAACAATGAATGTGAATCATTTCTCAAGTTTCCAACAAATTCTAGCCTACTTGCTCCCAACACTTACGAAACCCTCCCGTGCGAGTCTAACCTGGAAGAATCAAACTTGGTTCGACCAAGAATGCAAACAGTGCAGAAGTAGGCTTAGATTTCTTCAGTCTGATATGAAATCAGACAGCACCCAGAGCAAAATCAGGGAGTTAGCCCAATTCCGTTCTTACTACAAGAAGTTGCTCCAACATAAGAAATTGATCTTTGCGAAAGAACGCTGGACGGCATTGTCAGTGGCCATTAAAACCCGTGACGACAAGAAATTCTGGAATTTAATTAATGCAGGTTTAAGACCCCCCTCATTCATCGTTAATAACATCACAGCAGCCAGTTGGCACTCTCACTTTGCTCAGCTGTATTCTGCCCCAGATTCCGACGTAAACGCAGTTTCCACTCTTCCTGCATCTCCCTTGCCCACCTGGGAGCCAGTCTCCCCAGAGAGATGTGTACAACTAATTAGCATGTTATCAGGGGATAAATCCCCGGGGGAGGATATGATTCCACCCGAGGTATTCTTATCGAACCAGATGTGGTGGGCCCCTATTTTTGCATCTCTCTTTACCACTATTAATGCCACTCTTAAGATCCCGCCAAATTGGAAACAGAGCATAGTCATCCCAATACATAAAAAGGGGGACCCACAAGATCCGCGTAACTATCGACCCATCAGCCTGCTAGACATATCATACAAGGTTTACTCTAGATTCTTGCTAGAGAAATTAATCGAGTGGGCAGAAGAAACAAAGCTATTCCACCCGGAACAGGCTGGCTTCCGTAAAGGTCACAGTACATCTGGCCAATGTCTTGTTCTATTTACCCTGATTGATAAATACCTAAACAGGTTTAACTGCAAACTACACGCGGCTTTTGTGGACCTGACCGCCGCTTTTGACTCCATTCCCAGAGATAGGCTATGGCAGAAGCTTAGTTACACCAACATAGATAAGAGACTCCTCCTTCTTCTTATGGAAATTCATAATGACATATCGGCCAGAGTAAAATTCGGCCCCCTGGGAGCTCTTTCTGATTCTTTCCCTCTGAATAAAGGGGTCAAACAGGGCTGCCTCTTGGCCCCTTTTCTATTCAATTTCTATATCAACGACATCGTTACAACTATGCAGGCCCTAAATCAATCTGCCCCTCTCTACAACAGCTCAAGATCCCCATATTACTCTATGCGGACGACATGGTGATACTGTCTTTAACCAAGCAGGGCTTAAACAACATGCTCAGAGGGCTCATGACATATTGTGATACCAATTCCCTCAAAATCAATTTCGCCAAAACCAAAATTCTTACTTTTGGCACGAAAACTCGGAAGTCATTCTGGAACTTTGAGGGCCACTCTATTGAATATTGCTCAGCTTTCAAGTATTTGGGAATCACTTTTCAGCATGGGCTTAGCTGGTCAGCTCACCTAAATATGACCATCCTGGCTGCCCGTAGAACCATCAAAGCCTTGGAGAAATTCTTCTATGCAAAAGGCGGCCAGTTGGTTCCACCAATCAGAAAAGCATTTATTAGCAAAGTCCTCCCGATGTTACTGTATGGGGTTGAAATCTGGGGGTGGAATTTAAAAACACTTCAACGGCTGGAGATTCTACAAAACTCTTTTGTACGAAAGATACTGGGTCTCCCCAAGGGCTCGGTTGCTGCTCAGTTAAGAACAGAACTGGGCCTCCCCTCCATTGTTGCGAGAGCCCATATTAGAATTATTAGTTTTTATTGCAAATTAATCAATGCCCCAGGTTCCCTACTAGCCAGGCAAGCCTTTTTAACTTGTTCTCACTCCAACAAATGGTCCAAGGCCATGGAGACTATTACTGTACGCTACTCCCTCCCAGAATTCGACACGTTGTCATCTTGGGACCAACATAAAATCCGGGACTGGATTCTTATAAGAGATGAGGCCATGGACCGGGCACAGTCCACCTCAGCTCGCCTCTCCATGTGGCTCCCTAAAGTGAAAGTGGTAAGATCACTTGCCAACTACTTGATAGACCTGACGGAGCCCAATTTGAGAAGAGCGTTTACAATGGCCCGTTTTCATTCTATACCCACGGCCTTCTTGCAGGGGACCTACTCTAAGACCCCTATTACTCAGCGTCTATGTCCATGCACAATGAATGAAGTAGAGGACTTCATACATTTCTTTTTCTACTGCCCTATTTATGACCCAATAAGACCTAAGCTCCTCCTCTTGATCCCGTCCTCCATTTCATCTAAGGAAGACTGTCTGAAAGCACTTCTTGTGGACGCAAATCCCCAAATTTCACGTGGGGTGGCAATCTTCATAGTGCAGGCTCTGAAACTCAGGGCTACTCTGACAGGGTAGTGTGCCCTAGTCCTGGACCTGTTTAATTCTTTTATTACCTTCTTAACTCAATGTGCTGAGCCTATTTTGGGGCCATTTTATGCTTTATTTATATCCGCATACTAGTTTTTGGTGCTGGCAACCAAATCTTTGTATTATTGTCTTAGGGTGTTTTAAATGTCATTACGCCAGCAATATCGCTTTGAATTTTGCTTGGTTGCTTGTCCCCAACATTTTTGTATTGTCTTATTTTGCTATGGCTGTATGCTAATGCAATTAAATTAAAATTGAATTGATTTCCGGTAAAATAACTTATGGTGAAAAGAATCTTTAGGCAATCTTAATGCATGGAAGCGTTATGGGTATTTAAAGAGCTTAGATGGTTATTTGAAGCTTGCTCTTTAAAATATACATTGAGCTTTTGAAGGAAATGTCAAGACACAACTCCAGTTTTTCTGATATCTGCAGGCATAACACATTGCCCACAGTCAAATTGGACTTATTTGAGTAATATAATAATTTTAATATTTGAAACGGAAATGAGATGAAGTGGGTGTCGATCAGGGAGAGAGAGCTTTATTGGCAGTAACACCCCAGCTATGGAACAGCCTCCTCAGTGAGTCTTTCCTGGTGCCTTCTTTATCTTCTCTAAATCATCTAGTGAAGACCTTTTGGTTCACCCACATGGTTTAATTCTTTATTGAAGCTTGGGTGTTTTATACTCTCTGTGATGCCATCCATATAAGTTGCAAAAGATGTTTTTGGTTCTCTTTTATCTTTGGTTGATCATCATTTTTAATTATTATAAATCAAGACAGATCCATATAGTCAGAAATACGTCCCTCTCAATCCCTACCATTTCCTTTACTTATGTTCTGGGATTTGGCGCCCAGAATCTTAAAATTCATTAGGAGATCTGCCCCTGATTCCAAGCTACTCTGTGTATAACATAGGCAAAATGACAGAATCTACATGCTAGAACAGCTTTAGAGAGATAGATAAATGTAATACAATAGATAAAAGGCAAGATTAAAACAACTCCCAATTGAGATCAAAAAGCTAAGGTTGGAGGATAAAACCTGCAATAAGAACAAGATACAAAGCTGAAACTAAATCTAAATGTCTTCACCTGACACATACAAAAACATCAAAGTGATGTCTCTGTGAGTGGAAGGTGCAGGATTTATTTCCCACATCCATCTCTCTGAAAGAGGGAAAGAGTTGAGTGGTGGTGAAGAGAGGGCATCATTCCGCAGCAGAGACTGCTAAATAAGAGGGAGTCACCTTTTCTTTCAGTTGTTTTGCTAAACTGAGTCAATCCCCTCCCTCCCTCCCTGGCCACCCCTTTGGCCGTTGACTCTTCGGCCGACAGTAATAACCAATTGACTTTGACCTACTTTAGTCTGTGATTTCGTCCTTAGCCCTTGGTTTTAAGCAATGGCTCCAACCTTAAACTGCTGTTGATTCCAAGAAACGACAGACTAGCTGAGGTCGTTTATTGCATTTTAAATTGTATTCACTGCATGTGAAAAAGCAATAAAATACATTTTAAAAACCGGCGTTGATATGCTTAATATTTCGCTGTTGGCCCGTTTCGAGCAGTGGTTCCAACCTTAAACTGCCAAGTCAGTGCAAGTAACTACGCCACAACTGAATAAAGTGGCGAGTCCCACACCTGCATCGTACATAAATCACACTTGCGGTCCAACCAAAGAACACCTTTACAAGGTTGCACACACTTCGTATCTGAAACGGAATGCAATCCCAATGCAATCCCTTCTCCGTGGGTTTGAGGGACTGACACAACAGCCCTGTAATGCAAGTCTGTCGCAGCTCAAAGGTTGGGGGTTAGGTTGCTCTCGGTTTCCTACCCAAAATCCCTAATAGAAGGTCAGCCTTATTGAAACTGCCCTATTAGGCGTCCTCCCAGTGTTAATTCAACACTCCAACACGTATTTCCGAACAGAAACCTGACCTCCTGGTCCGTGTGTTTCAGTAGCCATGAAGTTTAAATGTTCATTAAAACAACCATCAGCAAAGCGCTAATATCAAATTGGCATTGCTACTGTTCATATTAGGAAGTTACTTTGTGGTACATTCTGCTTTGAAATTTGTCAAATTATAATTTATGCGGTGAAACATTGTGATCTTTGAATCTTGGAGGAGAAAGGGACATAATGTATAAACGAAGTAGTAATAGGTTGAAACGCAGCTATGTATTTGATACCTCAACTATGCTTGCTTGTTTCCCTTTCCTCGTCCTCCTACAAATAAACCCAATTATATGTTCTTATGGTTTTTATTTACTGAATTTATACGCCGCCCTTCGGTGCCCACATCGGCAAACAGAAACAGTACACAATTTAAAAACAAAAACAAAGCAAAACATTCTAAAACATTTCGAACATTAAAAATAACAATTGCAAACACCTAAAAGCAATTTCAGTTAGGAAGAATCCTAAAAGTAATTATAGGAGGTTTGTTGGTTTGTTTTTTCAACTATTCTTCTGTCCGCTGATCTCGGGGTTGTCAGGAACGTTATTCTGCAGCCACCAAATGCCTGAGCAAACAGGAATATTTTCAAATTCCTAATGAAACGCAATAATGATGAAGAGAGAGAGCTTTCCGCAACCGGGGAACCTCTTTAAATGGGCTGGCTGTCCAGATCGAATTAAAGCAAATTAAACCAACTACAACGGCACTGTCGTCTTATTTATTTTTGGGTTTATAAAAGATTAACATACGAATCCTAACTTGCAGGTACCAGCTTGGAAAAGGCATTCTTGGTGCAAGGAACTCCTCTTCTAAGATGGCGGGTGACCTTGAATATCCAATGCACCGTTTTTAAAAGAACGTAAGCTGTTTCCTAAGTCTTCAAAACTAGCGAAAAATGAATGCAAATTTAATCATATGTTAATAAAATATAGCTTGCTTACATAGCTTAGATTTCTTTCTTCGGTTGCCTCCGCTCTTATGCATACCGTATTATTCGCATTTGATACGATTGCTGGCAGTTGCCAGAGCCTCCATCCAAGGCGATGTACTAATTTATTTAGACGGCAGATGCTGAAATGAGGGGTATTGGAATTAAGTTGTTCCAAGCTTCTTTGTCGATATGAAAAAAATTATACTTGGTTCTTTTAGAACAACAACAAAACCTTTTAAAAAGCAGAGTACCCGTTTAAGATACGAAGTGTGTGCTAAAGTGTGTGGGGGGGGGGTTCTTTGGTTGGACCTCGCAAGTGTCATTTTTGTACAATGCGGGTGTGGCTTGGCAAAGAAAAGGTGTAGTAGGCGCCCGAAAGATATATCTCTCCCTCCCTCTCTCTCTCTCTCTCTCTCTCTCTCTCCCTCCCTCCCTCTCTCTCTCTCTCTCTCTCTCTCTCCTCTTCCATTCAGATGAAGAGTCAATTGCCAAAGGGGGGTCGACGGAGGGAGGGGTTTGAGCCAGTTTGGCAAAGCAACTGATTTTTTGAAAGAGAATGTAACTGTTTCTATTGGTTGAGAAGCAAGGGTGAAACGCAAAAATGATGAAGACGGGGCAGCAGACTGGGAGGGCATTCCTCAACCGGGAAACCTCGTATTGGTAGAGAAGTAAGGGTGGGGTGACTCCTCGTATTGGTTGAGAAGTAAGGGTGGGGTCGCCCAACGGAGATAAATGCCCAGACTGAATCCCCTGCAGAGTGAACGAACCAGAGGGAGTTTTTTCCATGATGGCAACCAACAAGGAAGGTAAGAGAAACTTTTTAAAAAATGATTATTAAGCCCTGAGCTTTCCATGTCGGGAGGAACATCGGCAAGCGTTGCTTCAGTTTAAGCTTGCCCAGCGCTTCCTTCAGATTTGCCTCTATGTCTTTTCCCAGGAGGAAGCTACCCCAAAGTCGGAGGAGATAGGAGGAAAAGGACCGTTTTCACCCCTGCTCAAATCGAGCTTTTAAAGAAGGAGTTTGAAAAGGACCAGTACCAAAAAGTTTTGAAGGACTATTTTGAGATAAACATGAACAATTCGGTGGAAAAAAGAATCGTCTGGGACGCAAGCAAAGCTGTAATGAGGGGATTCTTGATACAACAGAATGTAGTAAAGAAAAGAACACAAAATGAGAAACACGATAAGATCTTGGACAAACTAAAAGAATTAGAGAAGAAATTAAGAGCGAATCCAAAGTCACAGCCAACTCTGAGAGAAATTAAACTCTATCAAACACAATATTCTAAATTGATAAATCAGGAAATTGAATGGAAGGTTAAATTAATGAAACAAAAACGTTTGAGTCGGCGAATAAATGTGGAAAACTGCTAGCTTGGCAGTTGAAGAGAAGACAAAGATTAAACACGGTTACAAACTTAGAGGTTGATGGAAAAAACATTCAGAATCCAGTGGATATTAGAAAGTGTTTCCAGAGATATTTTAAAAATTATACACCCAAGGGCCGCAAGACGAAGTTGAGATTAAACAATTTTTGCCAAGAATGGATTATCTAAATTGTCACAAGAAAACAGGACAATCCTGAACTCTAAAATAACACGACAGGAGATTGAACAAGCTATTCAGAACATGCAACTTGGCAAATCTCCAGGGCCAGATGGGCTGACCTCCAAGTATTATAAGATATTAAAAGACTATTTGATACAACCCTTGATGGAGGTCAGCAATGAAATTATGGAGGGGAGAGGGCACCGGATTCGTGGAAGGAAGCGTTCATCACATTAATACCAAAGTCAGAAGCTGAAAAGACACAACTGAAGAACTACCGTCCCATCTCTCTTTTAAATGTGGATTACAAAATATTTGCAGATATTTTGGCAAGTAGATTTAAAAAAGTATTAAATGAAGTAATTCATAAGGACCAGGCCGGTTTTCTCCCAGGTAGACATCTGTTTGCTAACACAAGGAACATTATTGACATCTTGGAACTTCTGCAGACAGATATAAACACAAAAGCAGTTTTAATTTTTATAGATGCGGAGAAGGCCTTTGACAATATTTCCTGGAAATTTATGATGGGAAATTTAAAAGAGATGGGAGTGGGACGGGGTTTTGAGAATGGGATTGAGGCGATATATTCAGAACAGAAAGCTAAACTGATAGTTAATAATGTGGTCACAGAAGAGTTCAAAATTGAAAAGGGACACGACAAGGTTGCCCTATTTCCCCTTTGTTATTTATTTCGGTTCTGGAAGTGCTATTGAACATGATTAGAGGGGATCGGTTGGTGGAAGGAATTCAGGTTGGTCAGAAACAATATAAACTAAAAGCTTTTGCAGATGACCTGGTTTTGACCCTGCAGAAGCCAGAGCCTAGTACGAAAAGAGTATTACAATTGATTAATGACTTTGGTCGGGTGGCGGGATTCAAATTAAACAAACAGAAAACTAAGGTTTTGGGGAAAAATTTGACTGATACAGAGTCAGAACGGTTTCAGAATGAGACGGAACTTAATGTGGTTAAAAAAGTAAAATACCTAGGGGTAAACATAACAGCAAAAAATCTAAGCTTATTTAAGGATAACTATGAAAAATGTTGGACAGAAATTAAGAGAGACTTAGACAGTTGGTCAAAATTGAAACTTTCTTTGTTAGGCCGAATTGCTGCTATTAAGATGAATGTATTGCCAAGGATGTTGTTTTTATTTCAAACACTTCAGGTTTTGGACAAAACGGAGTGCTTTCAGAAGTGGCAGAGAGATATTTTGAAGTTTGTCTGGCAGGGCAAAAGCCCAGAATCAAGTTTAAGATATTAACTGATGCAAAACAAAGAGGGGCTTTGCCCTGCCGGACTTAAAGTTGTATTATGAAGCCGCAGCGTTCTGCTGGCTAAAAGACTGGCTACTTCTTGAAGACACTGATGTGTTGGATTTGGAAGGGTTTAATAATGTTTTGGATGGCATGCATATTTATGGTATGACAAAGTTAAAGCAAATAAGGCCTTCAAGAACCATATTGTCAGAAAATCATTGTTTAATGTCTGGACAAAATATAAAGACTTGCTGGAAAATAAAACACCAAGGTGGCTTTCACCTTTGGAAGCTAAGGCCCGAAAAAGACCCAATATGGAGGCTAAATGGCCAAAATATTGGGAAATATTAGAAAGGATGGAGACAATTGGAAATTGCAGAGTTTGGAGAAAATGAAAGACAAAGTGCGAGATTGGTTACATTACGCTCAGATTAAAGAAGTTTTTAAAAATGATAAGAAACTAGGGTTCCAGGTGGAGAAATCGAAATTAGAAACAGAATTGTTAGAACCAAAGACTAAGGTACTTTCAAGGATGTATAACTTGCTGTTGGAATGGAATACACAAGATGAAATGGTTAAATCGGCTATGATAAGGTGGGCACAGGACATTGGGTATAATATTATGTTTGAGGACTGGGAAAAGTTGTGGAGTAATGGATTGAAATTTACTGCATGTAACGCTCTGAAAGAAAATGTAATGAAAATGATTTATAGATGGTATATGACCCCAGTTAAACTTGCAAAAATTTACCACCTGTCTGATAATAAGTGTTGGAAATGTAAAGAGTGTGAGGGAACGTTCTTCCACCTCTGGTGGACCTGCCCTAAAGTGAAGGCGTTCTGGGAAATGATTTATAATGAATTGAAAAAGGTATTTAAATATACCTTTACCAAGAAACCAGAGGCTTTCCTTCTGGGTATTGTCAGCCAAGGGGTGGCAAAGAAGGACCAGACATTTTTATGTATGCAACAACAGCAGCAAGGATACTTCTTGCAAAACATTGGAAAACTCAAGATTTACCCACACTGGAAGAATGGCAGATGCAACTGATAGACTACATGGAACTGGCTGAAATGACCGGCAGAATCCGTGACCTGGGAGAAGAGAGAATCGAGGAGGATTGGAAGAAATTTAAGAACTATCTACAAAAATACTGTGATTTGAGTGAATGCTAAATAAGATGCTAGACTAAATAACTGAGCACCACTTAACTTAGAAGTTTTTAAGAAAATAAGTAAGACTGTGAAAGTTTAACTCTCCATGAGAACTATAAGTTTATGAAACATTGAAGAGATATAAGAATTTAAATAAGATGATAAATTGCTGACAAAATGTTATAACGATGAAAGTGGGAGCGGGGATGTGAGGAAGTCCAAAGAAAATGTGAAACTATGTTAAGACAAATGTTATATTGTTTATTATGTTTATTCTTATTGTAAAACCCAATAAATTGCTTTAAAAAAAAAAAAAATGAAAAGGACCAGTACCCCGGATACGAGACCAGGGAGGCGCTGGCAAGGTGCATCGGAGTCGAAGAAGATCGTGTGCACGTAAGAATCGGGATGGTGGGGGCTCCCAAGACTTTCCTAAACCGCACATACTGTACTGGAACAATTTGAAACGCTCAGAATAATCCTTGCGTAGTCGAAGGCCTTAGTTCTCCCGGGTGCCTCTCAGCTTTTTTTTGGGGGGTGTATCGTAGATGTAAAGGCTTTTTGTAAAGGGTGCGTGGATTGTGCTCCCTCCTTTTCAAATTTAGGAAGAAATTGTGCCCATACTTGTTCAGAAATCATGGTTCTTGATTAAGGCTTCTTTTTCCTTCCCAGTAAATTTATGCATAGCACACATTCATTTAATGCAGATTCTGAGTTTTCTGAGATTCTGACCCCAAACAGGGCAGAACAAATTGGTAGGTCTTCTGAGTGAGCTATTTAAAATTACTATTACTATATTTATGGAATTTTTAAAACAATTGCCTTCCAGCACAAATGCACACAGAGATGTTAAGTCTTGTATGCAGGCATCCACTTGGCATTAACAAATGCTTGACAATTTCTTACAGATGAAGCTCACATCCACAGGTTATACTTCAATAAAGAAAGTCTTGTGGAACTGTACACTTGTGCAGCTTTTAAAGGTGGTTTTTTCTGATACTGCAGAACAAAATACAGCCAAATAGCAGTATTTAGTCATTCGAACTTAGAATCTTTATGATTAACAGTAACTGGAGATTATGAACATGGGATATTTGAATGCGGAGCTGAAGATAGTAGAAAAATGCTGCAGAGAACTAAAGAGAAACCCCAGAGGAATAAGCATAATTTATTAAATGTAATTCTCTCTGTTGGATCAAAAAGACATATTCATGGTAACAATGTCTTCTATACTGGTTCTCTCCTTTCTTCTGTTCAGGTCTGGTTTCAAAACAGAAGGGCCAGAACACCAAAGAGGATAGGTTCCAGGATAAGGATCGGGAACCATGCTGCAGCTCCTTATAGCCGGAGTGAAAGAACCCGTCCAAGAAGCAGCCTGGACAGCAGCCCAAGAAGCAGTCCAGGAAACCTCCAAAATATTCACATGGAACAATACTACCAGCCACGGAACTTGCATCATGCTGAAAGCTATGGAGGAGCAGGGTTGTGGCAGCCACCTCTCAACAACACGCAACCAGGAGAGCACCTCTCTGCCCCGCAACAGCAGAGCTCCCTGGAATTGAAGCCTGCTTATTCCCAGCAAGCTGCTTTTTGTGGAACTGGGCTTTCTGAGACTTCCCAGGCGAGCAACTGCCCAGTTCCATATTACGGTGCGGAGATGGTGAGGCAGCCTCCACCATCAGCTGGGAACTTCTTCATGGCATCAAGCAGTTATACTCCCTGGTGTGCAACGGGAATTATTCAGCTACAAATCCTGGACAAATGCTGAATGTTGATGGAAGTGTTTCGGACTCTCAGTTTTTCTCTTTAAGTCAGGTTCCAGATTAGCATCCCAACTCCTTCCTTGCTATCCTGTACATATTTTCCAAGCTCCCTCTTTTAATGCCTTTTAATGTATGACTTCGATGTTTTGAATAAAGTTTGTTCCTTTACTAGCTTGTCTGGAGTCTTGATTTAACTTTCCATTTACTGAAACATTCACTTTCCTTTGTGCAAGCATATAAACATGGGCTTAATTTTCCCATAGAAAAAAGTCAGTTGTGAGGTACATGTGGTTCTAGAGATAATAGGTCAGGTCTCCCCCAGGTTAATTCCCCCCACCCCAAGGTTTGTGGTCTACTGCCTTCAAAGAAGCTTTATGGGAGGGTTGCCTGTGAACTAGAGGTACCACTGTATATGCCTGAGGGAAGATAGCCGCGCCCTGTGGTGGCGCCTGGAGACCGGCTACGAGATAACTCTGAAGGGCTTCCCTCTCGACATTGTCTTCCCTTATTACGTTCCCGCCGCATCAGCGCTATAACGAACGTCTTGCTGGGGCAACGGGGGGGGGGGGAGGTGTCCTTCCCGCTCCTCTTTCGGGTCCCAACGGCCGCCCATCCCCCACTCCCTCTCGCTTCGCCTCGTAGAATCCAGGTTGGCGCCGCGCGCCGTTTCCCGCCCAAACCGCCCCCGCGCATGCGCCCCCGCCTGTCCTGCCTTGGCGCCCTTTGGCCACGCCTTCCCCTGAGGCGTCACACCGGCCGCCCTCCTCCTCCTCCTCCCTGGTCTCCCCGCTCCCCCCCCCTCGGTCTCCTCTTCGCTCCCTCTTCACACAATGACCCCCCCACCCCCACCCCACCCCGCAGGGGGGACCCACCCGTGAGGCGAGATAAGCGTATTAGCATGTCTGTCCTCCGAGGAAGGCTGCCTCCTCTCGCCTCCCATTCTGCTCCTTTCATTCCTTCGTCCTTCTGCTCCCCTGTGGCCCCTCCAGGCTCAGCGCGGGGGGGGGGGACCGGCTGCGCTGCCCTAAATCCGCCTCTGCTTGGGAGCTGGATGTTCCTCCGCTTCCACTTCTACCCCACTCCAAATCTGCCTCTACAGCAGCTTCGGGGCAAAGAGGAGGCGCCACTGGTCTCTTCCCGCCTTTCTTCGCCATTTGATCTTGATCCCCCAACAATCTCCATTCTCCCCTTCTTCCCTGGGGGCAGTTTGGGACTCGTCTCAGGGGACCAAATGTGAGCCGCCCTGCTGACCCCTGCAGGAGTAAGTCTGGCCAAGGTGGCTGGGACGTCAGCTCAGGCAAATGCAACCCAGGGAGGATTTCACCCTGAAGCCTCTGCTCCCTTTTTCATCTTTGCCTCCTTCTGAACCTGCCCCTGGAAATTCGGCTGGTGTTTCTCTCCCTCCTCCATAAAGAAAGCCCTGAGCACTAGCATTCCCTGGGCGGTTGCCAAATGATGAGGGGTGAGCACTCTGCACATGCCTAGGAGTAAACCATCTACCAGCGTCTGTTAGATTCCCTTAGGTGAGAGAAAGGGTTTCTAGAGTGATAGCCCAGTAGGTGCCTCCAGAACTCACTGGAGGAAGACTAAATGGTGACCACCACAGCCCTGTCGAAAAGGGGGACACAGATATCATTCAATGGGTCTGTGCTAATGTAGGTAATATTCATCTGTATGTTTTGAAGTATGGTTGATTCCCACCCCCCTCAATTTTATTATTTTATCTGTTAGTAAAACAAAAAACTGCAAAGTGGTTTACTATCAAGTGGGGTATACATTTAATGAAATAAATAAACAAATGGCCAAAGGCAACTTAAAAACAATTACTGTAATTTAAATAGAAATATAATACATCTCACCGTACTTAGGTGACCTGAATGCCTGCTTAGTCTGCTGTCCAAATGCTGACTTTTGGTGGGCATTTGTTTGAAAACTGCAGCTAGATTATAAAGCCCTTGAAAGAATGCTGTGTCTGCTATGTCTCTGTTCCAGCACTCTTTTGTTTAATCAAATTTCCACTATACTTTTCTTCAACAAGGCTACACTTTCTGAAAAACAACCTATTCACAATAGGCTTCAGAAACCGCAAAGTTACTGTCTAACAAACTGCAGATTAACACACTTACACACATTAATTAATTACAGATTGTTCTAAAGAGCACCCACATTGAAGTATGATTTCTGGTAAAATATCTTATGGTGAAAAGAATTTTTAGGTAAACTTAATGCATGGAAGAGTTATGGGTATTTAAAGAGCTTAGATGGTTATTTAAAGATTGCTCTTTCTAAATATACATTGAGCTTTTGAAGGAAATGTCAAGACACAACTCCAGTTTTTCTGATATCTGCAGGCTTAACACATTGCCCGCAGTCAAATGGGACTTATTTGAGTAATATAATAATTTTAATATTTGAAACGGAAATGAGATGAAGTGGGTGTCGATCACGGAGAGAGAGCTTTATTGGCAGTAGTAACCCAGCTATGGAACAGCCGCCTCAGTGAGTCTTTCCTTTCCAGTGAGTCTTTATCTTGTCTAAATCATCTAGTGAAGACCTTTTGGTTCACCCACATGGTTTAATTCTTTATTGAAGCTTGGGTGTTTTATGCTCTCTGTGATGCCATCCATATAAGTTGCAAAAGATGTTTTTGGTTCTCTTTTATTTTTGGCGAAGGCAAAGTGCAAGGGGGAAAAGTTCAATGATTTTAGGACAAGTAGCTTTCAAAAGTGTAGATTAGTGGGAGAGAAATCCAGCTTTTCTCTAAACTAAATAATCCCTAATGCTCCAACCTTTCCTCATTGTTCCTTCCACTTTTTCACTCTGCCGGCCCTTTTCTGAATTATCTGAACTGGAGATCTGTGATAACGCATCACATGCTTGCATGCATAGGGTGGGATGGGGGGCGCAACTAATCCCTTCCCCACTCCCCCCTCCAGTCCTAATTGCTTTCTAAATTGCTGTTTCCTTCGCACGGCAGTGGTGGGAAGAAGATGCGAAGAACGCTGGGTGTTTCGCAGTACATCACAAAGGATTGCTGACCTCCCCTCCCGTATTTATAAACACAATACCCCTCTACTACAAATAGTTCTGAATCTCTACTCCCCTCCCCTCCCCTCGATTGCTATTTTAAAACCCAACAGCAGATGACTACGTATTACAGTGCTCCCAACATCAGTCGCAAGCAGTGACAGACCCACATTTTGGGGGCCCTGAAGTTGAACTGTTCTGGGGGCCCCTTCACAACTACCAATGAGTTCTAGGTAACCACTGTTGTCTTCTTCAATGGGGTTGTTCCCTGACAGATCACCACATTTTAAAAATCTGATTTTGATTAGAATTTCTGTTCTGGGTTGTCACACGTCTCAAAGTCACTGGTGTGAATTAAAATGTTTAAGAATGTGGATTAATTCTGGTCTGCAGCCCCTCTGGGATTTGGCTCCCAGAATCTTAAGATTAAATGGTTTCATAAGAGATCTGCGCTTGCGTATCCAATGCACTGTTTTTAAAATAATGTAAGCTTTTTTCTAGCGTAAAATGAACGCAAATTTAATCGTCCATTAATAAAATATAGTTTGCTTACTCAGCTTAGATTTCTTTCTTCGGTTGCCACTGCTGTTATATTTAGCGTCTTATTCACATTTGATGCGATTCCTGGCCGTTGCCACTGCCTCCATCCATGCGATGTACAAATCTATTTAGACAAGAGGGGATGCTATGAGGGGTATTGGAATTAAGTTGTTCCAAGCTTCTTTGTCGATATGAAATAATTTACACTTGCTTCTTTTTAGAACAACAACATTTTTTTTTTTTTTTAAAAAGGAGAGTATCCGTTTAAGATAGGAAGTGTGTGGTACCTGGTAAAGCGGGGGGGGGGTGTTCTTTGGTTGGACCGCAAGTGTGATTTTTGTACGATGCGGCTGTGGGACACCCCACTTTATTCAGTTCTGGGGTACAGTGGTACCTCGCAAGACGAATGCCTCGCAAGACGGAAAACTCGCAAAACGAAAGGGTTTTTGGTTTTTTTAGTTGCTTCGCAAGACGATTTTCCCTATGGGCTTGCTTCGCAAGATGGAAACGTCTTGCAAGTTTGTTTCCTTTTCTTAAAACCGTTAAGCCAGTTGCGACTTGACTTCGAGGAGCAACTCATAGCACGCGTTGTGGTAGCCTTTTTTGAGGTTTTTGAAGACTTTGGTGATTTTTGAAGCTTTTCCAAAACTTTTCCGACACCATGCTTCGCAAGACGAAAAGAACCGCAAGACGAAAAACTCGCGGAACGAATTAATTTCGTCTTGCGAGGCACCACTGTAGTTACTTGCACTGGCTTGGCAAAGAAAATGTGTAGCAGTCGCCGGAAAGTCCTCTCTCTCTCTCCCCTCACTTCTGAATTCTCTTCTCTTCAGTTGCCTGCATTGGATAATGCTCCAAGTCAAAACGTGCCAACAGCGAACTATTAAGCAGATCAACGCCGGTTTTTAAAATGTATTTTATTGCTTTTTCACATGCAATGAATAAAATTTAAAATGCAATAAATGACGTTACCCAGTCTGTCGTTTCTTGGAATCAACAGCAGTTTAAAGTTGGAACCGCTGCTTAAAACCAAGGGCTAAGGAGGAAATCACAGACTAAAGTAGGTCACAGTCAATTGGTTATTACTGGCGGCCGAAGAGTCAACTGCCAAAGGGGTGGCCAGGGAGGGAGGGGATTGACTCAGTCAATCAATCAATAGACTTTATTTGTGTAGCCAACAGGCCATAGCATCAAAGGACAAACACCGATAAAAATACATTACAAATATAGTTACCACAAAATCTTATGACCTATTAAAACCCTAGGTAGAAGCTGGATTATCATACATCAATGACCCTCTGTCCCATGGGCGGCGGCCTTTTCTCTGGTACATTGTTCCAGGTCGGTTAAGTAAATAGACCAGCCAAATTGAAAGATTATAAATATAAATATAACCTCGGAGGGATGGTCAGGACAGGGAGAAAGATAATAATAACCAGATGCAGATAAATCAATAATCTCAGTACTTAAAACTTGGCAGACGTAATAAAATACTAATAATAAAACATAATGATAATAATAAGATCCTAGGTGAGGAATCCAGGTGACGACACTCATGTCAGTCAGATAGCAGCTCTCAGTCTCATTGCTCTCTCGATAAATTTGGCAACCTTCTCTGTTGTCGAGCTGTTCTGGTCGGCTAGGAGTGAGAACAATTTGGCTTCGCAAGAGCAGCCCGGTATGGCAGATAGGAGCGGCGTGATGGTCTCGTCCCTGAGATCTTTATATAGGGAACAAGACAGGAGAACGTGTGACACAGTCTCTACGTAGCCAGCTCCACAGGGGCAGAGCCGGTTCTCGAATGAAATTTTTGAAATCTACCTTCAAGAACAGCTGAGGGTAACATATTTAGTCTGGCCAGTGTAAAGGCCCGTCTGAGTTTTGGAATGGTTAAGGTAGACAAATAAGGTGCCCGAAAATCAAAGTGGGAGGGGGGCAGATAAGCGTACCAAGCACTAAATTTCTTAATATAGGCCAGATTATTCTGCTGCTCAATAGCCTTCATGCGCTGGTCAATAATGGTTTTTGCCTTGGGGAGACCCATTTTCAGGAGATGCTGTGCTTGGAGGCCACATGTAAGTAGTTTTTGATGCACTACTTTGGACCACCGACTTCTATGAGCATCTCGTGCTACTAGAGGTAGTAGTCCGGATGGGTTTAAATTTAAGCGAAGCCAATAGTTGAATGTTCTTAGCCAGGTTTGGGTTTCGACGGAGAGGAGGCCAGTCTCCAGCCGTAGGGCCGCATTTGGTGCGCATGGTGGAACGGCTAGAATCTGTCTTAAGAATTTAGACTTGACCGTTTCAAGTGTGCGGCAATGATTTCCCGTCCAGATTTGGGCCCCGTAGAGTAATTGCACCAAGGGTTTTGCTTGAAAAACCTCCAGAGCTGCTGGGATGTGTCTGCCCCCCTTCGTAAAGTAAAAGCATGACAGTATTTTGGCGCTTTGAGATGCTTTTTCCCTAGCATATTTATGATGGGCCTCCCAGGTCCCTGTTGACTGGAAAACTACTCCAAGGTATTTGAAAATTTTGACCTGCTCTATTGGCTGATTGTCCATCTCCCATCTGTGATGTCTATGTCTCCTAGCGAAGACCATGACTTTGGTTTTTTGGTGATTAACCACCAGTTGATCTCTCCTACAGTAGGCTGAGAATTCTCTTAGTAGCCTTTTGAGGCCTACTTTAGTTCGTGATAAGAGAACCGCATCGTCCGCATAGAGGAGCGCTGAAATTGATTTTTCGGCAAGTTTGGGGGCATGAAACTCCGGGGATGTTAGGTATTTGACCATGTCATTTATATATAAGTTGAATAAGGCCGGGGCTAAAATACAGCCCTGCTCGACTCCTTTGGTGGCTGGTACAGGGCCAATTAGTTGCCCATTTACTGAGGTTCTTACATATAACTTGGAGTCTTTATATAGGCTTTTTATCAAGAATAGTAATCTTTTGTCAATGTTGGTAGCATTGAGTTTAGCCCAGAGTTTGACTCATGAGATCAAGTCAAAGGCCGCCTTCAGGTCAATAAATGCTGCGTATAGAATCCCACGTGTTTTATTGACGTATTTGTCAATGAGGTGTGCTAATACGAAGCAATGGTCTATTGTTGTTCTGCCCTGTCTGAAGCCGGCTTGCTCCTCTGCCAGAACTGCCTCAGTTTCCATCCAGGATTGATTCAGTTTAGCAAAACAACAGAAGAAAACGTGACTCCCTCTTATCGGCTGAGAAGTAAGGGTGGGGTTCGCCCACCGGAGATAAATGCCAAGACCGAACCGCCAGCAGAATAGCAGAGTGAACCTGAGGGATCTTAGTGTCCATTTTTAAGGCAAAACCAATTGAGGAGAGAGCGAGAAAGAGTTATTTTCATGATGGCAACCAACAACGAAGGTAAAAGAAACTTTTAAAAAAATGATTATTAATTCACTGTCTATAAAAAACAACAACATTGCTGTAATTATTTATAGGGGAATGAGTAGGAAGGAAGATGTTTTCTGTTTCATCTGGGTGGTCAGCAGGGCGGTTGAAAGAATTGCCAGTGAAGCATTCTCTACCGGGGGTCATTTTACGCAGTGTAACCTCAGGCAGCGCCCGATTCTGGGGGACTTGCTCCCGGGCAAGTGCAGGCGATGCAGCCCCGAGCTTTCCATGTCGGGAGGAAGATCTGCAAGCGTCGCTTCAGTTGAAGCCGAGCGCTTCCTTCAGATTTGCCTCTTTGTCGTTTCCCAGGAGGAAGCTACCCCAAAGTCAGAGGAGAAAGGCGAAAAAGGACTGTTTTTAGCCCATCTTACGTCGAGCTTCCAAAAAAGTCGTTTGAAGAGGACCTGTACCCCGGATACGAGACTAGGGAGTCGCTGGCGAGGAGCATCGGAATCGAAGAAGATCGTGTGCACGTAAGAAGAGGGATAGTGGGGGTTCCTAGGACTTCCTTAAACTGCAAATACTGGATAAATTTAAATCGCTCAGAATAATTCTTTCATTGTCATTCAAATGCCTTAGATCTTCCTGATGCCTCCGAGCTTAACGTGAAAGGTGCCTTATTCAAGAGCCAACTTCCTCTTTCCTGGGTTTTTGTGGGGTTTTATTGGGGGCGGCTGTTGTACCGTGGATATAAAGGCTTTTTGTAAGGGGCGGGTGCGTTGTGTCCCCTCCTTTTCAACTGCAGGAAGAAATTGTGCCCATACTTGTTCAGAAATCCTGGTTCCTGATTAAGGTTTCCTTTTCCTTCCCACTCAAATTATTGGAGGCACATACTTTCAAATATCAAAGGTTCTGGGTTTGAACAGTAAAAACTCTTAACAGACCTGGTTTCAACCTAATTTGAGGATAAAACCATCTGGTTTCCTGGGCCGCCTTTATAGCCTGATCCACCTGACCGAACTCCCAAGGGAGTGTGCATAGGATATTCCTATTAGGATTGCAGCATTCAGCACCTTGCATTGAGAGACCAAATGTGCAGCATTCAGTTCGTACCACAGTTAAGCAACATTGCTTTTCTAGCCAATGTCCCGCAAGTCCCTAGTTCTCCCACACTGAAAAAATTACACCACATGAGGCACAAATATTTGGTGGTCCTCTGAGCTAGAAAGTGAAATTATGACCTATCCATTTGGAAATAATGGGCATTTTGTTCTCTCCTTTCTTTTGTTCAGACCTGGTTTCAGAACAGAAGAGCGAGAACAAAGGTTCCAAAATAATGATCAGGAACCGACCTACAGCTCCTTATAGCCGCTGTGACAGAAGAAGAAGTCCATTACACAGCCTGGGGAGCAGCCCAAAAAGCAGCCATGCAGCTTCCATTATCCCGAAAGCTTTTGTTCAGACCTGGTTTCAGAACTGAAGAGCGAGAACAAAGATGACTGGGTCCAAAACAATGATCAGGAACCGAGCTACAACTCCTTATAGCCGCTCTGACAGAAGAAGTCCAAGCACTCTGAGGAGCAGTGCAAGAAGTCTGACGCCGCAACATTACCAGCCACGCAGCTTCCATTATCCCGAAAGCTATGAAGGAGCAGGGTTCTGGCAGCCACCTCTCAGCACCACGCAACCAGGAGAGCCCGTCTATGCCGCACAGCAGCAGAACTCCCAGGCAGCCTCCACCATTGGCTGGTAACTTCTGTACTCCATCAAGCAGTAAAACTCCCTGGTCTGCAATGGGGAACAGTCATGCAATGGGGAACACTTATGCAACGGGGAATTATCCAGCTGCAAATCCTGTGCAAATGTTGCTTGAAGATTACCAAAATGGGCAGCAAAGCAATATCTTCCCTTCCCCCGACGCCTTCTAGGGTTACTCATCCATATGAATACATTTTACAGTTTTTCAGTAAAGTTTGTTATTTTAATGCCTTTGTCTGGGATCATCATCTGGCTTTCCTTTTACTGAAGCATTCTCTTCCCTTTGCCCAAGCAAGCTAAGAGCACTTGTATATAGAAATCAAAAATAAAAGCTGAACAATTGGCCACTTGTTCAAATAAGGGCCACAGTCAAAATCTGGGGTTAGAACAATTGGATAAATGTTTCAAAACGTTCCAATTTTGCTTTTGTTTTTGTTGGGTTGATGTGGGTTAAATGTTTAGTTGGGGTTGGCGGTTACTTTAATTTGGGTATAAGTATAAACTGTTCATTATTGTTATTATTATTATTATAATTATTTATTATTACTATTGGTTTCTTGGTTTGCTATTTATTTGTTTTGTTGTTAAATGTTTGTTGCATTGTGTTGTAAGCATAATGTATTTTTGTACTTTTTGCAGAAAACAATAAAGCATATATGGATATAGATATATACGTGTGTTTTTGTGCATGTGATTCTATGGGGATGGATTTTTCTGAGCCCTGCCTGCCTGCCATGCTACATAATGCACTCCCTTTTTGAAATGTTGCCTGAATACAGAAAGGGGTTGGTTCTGCCGGATCCCCTCTCTGCTTTTGCGTGCAACTTCCACAATGGAAGAGTTCACCCAAACCAAAATCCACAGTACCTTGATGATGTGACTCAGACAGTGGGTTAAATCATGGAATTCAAAGTGTTAAATGAGGATGCTAATTGAGAGTATTGGGAATGCCTTACAAGATTCCAATCTGTTTATAATGCTACACATTATCACTTCATCATTCAGTATTTCCTCTTGTCCCTAATCTTAAACCAAGCTAATCCTTGCTGAGCTTCTGACAACCTGACAGGGGACCAATTTTGCTTATGCGGTTCAGGGTTTGCTTTCCAGCCAAATGGTTCTGAAACCGGGTTTCAACTCCACGAGCTTATTTCTCTATTTATATCCCACCCAGGGGCGCCCACTTGAATAGAAGATTGGGGGTGGGGAGGCCAGGTAAGCTCTGCCCTGCTCGATTTGGGGGTGGGCAAGGGACCTGGGCCCAAGAGTTGGCTCCTAGGACCCCACCTCTTCCCCTGGGAGGCGGTCCACCTCCTTATTCCATCTTAGCCCCAACACTCCCGCGAGGGAGACCAGCCTGAGAGGCGGCGACTTATGCCAAGGCACCTGAGTGAGCTTCGGGGCTGGTAGTAGGGTGTTTGTGTGCAGGGATTGTGGATTGTGTGTGTGTGTGTGTGTGTGTGTGTGTGTGTGCAGGGATTTGCACCCTGCCTGGCTTCAGGCCAACACGCTGATACGCCGCCAAATATATACATGCCTGAGGGAAGATGGGGGATCCCCCACATGACTTGTCTTCCCTCAGGAGTGCTGACTCCTTGGGGCTGGACCCCTTTGAGCCCCTCACAATATTTGTTAGTGAGGTGTTGGGCCCCCTCAATGTTTGGACGCTCCTCGCAGCTCCCAGTCCATAGCATTCCTCAAGTGAGGCAGGTGAAAGACAAGGTAGAGGAGCAAATGGATGGGAACAGTTGCAAATGCCCTGTCTTATACTGTATTGAGAAATGATAACATCTCCTGCCTAGCGGGCAAAGTGAGAGGGAACATTCCTACAGGTGAGTCCCTTCAGCTCACTCATCATCACATAGAAGGCTTTGGGGAGAAATTGGCAGCCCAGGAGATGTGTTCCATGTTCTCCCTCCAGAAAGGATACACGTTCCCCCCAGTTCTCATCCCATCCCTTCCTTCCCTGGGCTGAATAGTACACTGGAAGCTCAGCAGGACTTAGATCTGGCTGTTTTATTAGTAAAGAGGCATGCATGTTAACAGCAGAATGCAGATAATGAATTTATATTTTTTTAAAGGAAGGATGGATGCATACCAGCAAGGAAAGAACAGCCTAGCTCAACCTGGATTTAAACAGCTCATTCTCTCATTCAGGGATGCTTCAGCTGCTCTCCCTCATATATCATTCCCCTCTTACTCCGACTAGACAACTAGTATTTTGCAGGACTGCGTCTTCAATTGCACTTATGTATAAGTATACTTAAAAACAACAATAAACAGTCAAGGAGGAAATGTTTCTCATTTGTGGGTGTTGCATTGCATCAACAGCATGTCCCATTGCATCAACAGCTGAAGACATTTTAATCTTTTCGCTCTGATGAATGTAAAAAAAAAAATTCTCTAAGAATCAGGCCACTGCATGTAGCAACTTGCATGCTCGTGCCAAGTTGTAATCCCTCTCAAAATTACACCTTCATATTCTGATGCAATGATAATCCTATTATCTGATTTCTTCATCCTTTCATTTCCTCTTAGTTAAATGCAGATCTTCTGGGAACAAATTCAGACAGCTCCAGCAGATTGCTCCTCTCTGCAACATGCTGCTCAGGTAACGAAAATGCCCACACAGATGCAACATTGCAACAGGCAGCTCTTGCAAAACTTCAAGACCCACTATTGGTCTCGTCTGCTCAAACAGCTGGAGACTATCTCCACATGCAAGGGAAGTCCCTAACTCACCAAGGGCTTGAGACCCATCAGCTGCCCTCCCCTGGTTTAGCTAGCCAGTCAAAGCCATTCCCAGGGTGTTGCTGCTGTCGCATGCTGACGGCTTCTAGGAGCCACAGGTGAGAGCTGAGTGCAGGGTGGGGACAAAAGGTGAGCAATCTATCCCAGAAGGAGCATGATGTGTCCTCCACCAGAGGTACTACCCTCCTCTAACACTCCACACACGAGTAAATAACTACTTAATATGTTTATTCCAAAATTTCATTGTAGGTCATTAATTCCTGTAGGCAGGTGAAATCGATTTAGTAATCATTAATATTAAGTAAGTAATCAACCAAGTCACATCAGGCTAAAGCACAGAGCCTTATTTATTTTTTTTACAAAAGGCTGCATGTTTCCCTCTGCTACCACTACAGCATAGAATGAAGTTGAGGTTGGTTGGGCTCAGCAACAGCAAGCCTTCTCATAGAAAGTCAAGTAGCAACTAATTACTATGCATGTCCTCCCAGGGAATATGTAATTTACATTCATGTACATACATTCTGAAAATAGAATGAAGTTGAGGTTGGTTGGGCTCAGCAACAGCAAGCCTTCTCATAGAAAGTCAAGTAGCAAGTAATTACTATGCATGTCCTCCCAGGGAATATGTAATTTACATTCATGTACATACGTTCTGAAAATATACGCATGGGGAAACAGTTGTGAGTAATTTATTTAAATTGAAACTTCCCCTGTGCTTTAAATTGCAGTAATAGCAATATACTTAAAATGTGCGAAGCATCACGTAACATTATGAGAAACAAATCCAGATGTCCCAAGCATGCAAGCCCCATCCACCTACATTTCTGGACTGCAGACACACCATACATTTAATGGTCCTTTAAAACAATCCTGGGACCCATAAGGGGGCCAGGAATTGTAGCTCCGTGAGGGGATAAATGGCTGTTTCTAGCATTCTTTGGCAGAGACAATGTGCTTACTCCTGCTTTTCAGAGGGAGGCAGCTGCCAGATCAGCAGAGCTTGGCACTTGTGATATTCTGGCACCAGGTCCCTCCCACTCCTCTCCATCACTGCAGCCCTTTTTCTGGCTTCTCTGGAAAATGTGACATTCAGGAAGCCAGCACTTTTGACTCCTTTCATGTGCTAGAAATGCTGAGGACAAAATGTGACGGACACAACGGCACTTTTCCCTCTCATGCCGTTGGGCCTGCTCTCACTTAGATAAATTGCCCCCACCTCACTGAACAATCCTTTACCTGAAGGTTTCTTTCCCTTTTCCCTTAAAAATTCTAGCCCCAGAGTATCCTGTGTGGAGGACCTTTGTGAAGGGGTAACTAGTAAGTTGGAGTCTCAGATAGGTTTTCTTTAAATAAACAATAAAGATTTATTTAAGGCAAGATAGTATATAACACAAATGGATTCAATTTAGGTTAGTTCAGAAATACAGTGCGATTTCACTTTAAATTTGTCCTCAGTTGTTTTTGCATTATTGGTTTGGTTCAGTTTGGTTCTTTTTTCTGGTGATACTTTATTTCAGTTATCCACCCCCTTTAACAATCCTGCTCCTGAGGTACTTTAAGTAATACAGTGGCACCTCTGGTTACAAATTTAACTCGTTCCGGAGGTCCATTCTAATAAATAATAATAATAATAATAATAATAATAATAATAATAATAATTTATTATTTAAACCCCGCCCATCTGGCTGGGCTTCCCCAGCCACTCTGGGCGGCTTCCCAAAAAATATGAAAATACTGTAATACTTCAAACATTAAAAGCTTCCCTAAACAGGGCTGCCTTCAGATGTAGACCACAGGGCTCTCCACACCCCCTCCCTTCACTGGGTCTGGGAGTTTCATCTGTTTCCTTAGAAGAGTCTATCTCTCCCCTCCAGACTAGGTTTGAGTCCCAAGTAGGCTGTTCCTTTCCAGCTCCTACTTCTCCTGGCTCAACCTCTGCCTCCCAGTAAAATTCCAGTCTATTCCTCCTACAGGACACCACAGTCTGTCCTTCACAATACGCTCAGAGTGGAAGTTGTTTTTTCCAGAGCCAACTCTTTCTCCCATTCGCTCTTTATACCTCAGCCTGTCTCCTAACCTGTCTCCCTACCTGTCTCCCACCCTCTCCAACCACAATTCCAACCCACTTCAACCAACCCTCTCAAACTAACTGTCTCTCCAAAACCTCTCCTTTTAAACTCTCCCTCCTGGAACCATGGCCAATCAGAGGCTGCCATTCATTAACAATTTGCAGGCAGGGAAATAAAAAGAAAAAAAGAAAAAACACTTGTTGATCCAACCTGTCCAGCAAAAGCAACCTTTTTGACACACAAAACCTGGCCCATTTTTTGTTTTATAAAAGAAGAGAAGGAAGGCAAACCAGAAGCAAGTGTTGAATGGTTTCTTTAAATATAAGGATCATTATTGTTTCACAAGATGTGTATGTTTTTAAGGGCCAGAGCAAATAACATGACCTAGTTTTACAGCTGTGAAGCAGTTTAGCAGGTGCTGTTAATGTTTATTAAGCTGTTATGTTAAGCTGTTATGTTAATTAAACACGTAGCTCTCTCAATACCCTGATGGATGGGTCATGCATATTGATATATTGTAATTTAGTGTAAAAGGAGTTTTTATTTTTGTTATTAAAACCTAGCAAAAGTCACTTTTGCATTTCTTGAAATGTGTGGTCTCCCCAGCACGCCTTCTGCAGCGCAATTAATCTGCAGAATAGCCAACAGCAAGAGGGATCAAGCACTGGGCACTGGAAAAGGCAAGAAGAGCAGACAATAAGCACATTAGGGATGGGGACTCAGTGAGTGTGCAAACTCCAGAAAGGCGAATGAGTGGTGGTGATTTTGTGTGAATGAGGTGCGCATGGCACTACTGCACCACCAGGGGCAGGTCAGCTGGTAGCGCATGGGACTCTTAATCTGAGGGTCGTGGGTCCGAGCCCCACGCTGGGCAAAAGATTCCTGCTCTGCCGGGGGGGGGAGGGGGCTAGATGATCATCAGGGTCCCTTCCAATTGTACGATTCTACGATCCCCCCTCTTGTCTCGCTTGTCACTGTGCTGAATTGTGGCACAAATGGATCAGTGCCCTGTTAACCAGAACTCGAGCCCACGCAGGGACGGCTTTCGGCGGGATTCCAGCACTGCAGGCGGGGTTGGACTAGATGACCCTTGGGGACCTCTTCCAACTCTCCAATTGTGCGAATTGCCGCCAGCAGTTTGCCACAAAGACTCGCACTCGCGGTTGCCCGAGAGGAAGAAAGCAGCAGGCAGCGAGTCCCGCGTACCCCTCCTAATCCAACCCTGCTCCTCCCCAAATGCAAATACGGCGCCGTCGCCACGCCCCTCCGGAGCGCTTGCTTGGGGCTGCTCGCAAGAGGCGGCGGGAACAGACCGGATCGCCGAAGAGATGAGGAGGGTGGCGGGCTCGATGGACTCCCAGGCCGAGCACCGCGCCGATTACTTCCGACGCTCCAACCTGTTGGTAATGGTGGCGATCTTCGTCGGCCTGAGCTACCACGGGGTGAGCGCAGCTTCCCTGGAGGCTCCCGGGGCACCTGGTGCGGGGAAGCGCGGGGCGCCACGGCTCCAAAGGGCACCCGGGGGGGGGGGGGACGTGCGGGGATCATAGTCATAGCTGTCAACTTTTCCCTTTTCTTGCGAGGAATCCTATTCGGAATAAGGGAATTTCCCTTTAAAAAAGGGAAACGTTGACAGCTAGGATCATAGTCCAACCCGGAACATCTCGCCCGACGAGACTCGAACGCGCGACCTGGAGGTTAAAGTCTTCGTCCTCCACGGGCTGAGCTATGTCTCTCTTGCCGTGGGAGCCAGAGATGGGAAGGCTTGGAGGGGATCCCTATGTACCGTACTTAGCTTTGAAGATGTTAGGGATGAGCCCGCCCAAATCAAGCGTGGTTTTTTTTAAAGTCACATTTATTTCATGGGGAGAATTTACAGTATTCAGAAGGGCGCCCCATTGAGTTCAGTGGGCATTACTCCACTGCAACTGGGCAAAGGGTAGAAGCCTCAAGCAGGTGTTTAAACTCTTCCACTGAAATGAATGGGTTGGAAAAAAAAAAAAAAACAAACCCCGGAATCTTGAGTTATTTTCTGCTGCTCTGAAATAGAGGCCATTTTTCTTGTTTCTGTCTCTCCCCCCCACTGACGGGGTTTTGGGAGCTGAATCCCTGATTGGAGTCCAGTATAAATATGTTTTCCGCTGTAGTGCACTTTTAGTGCATTTCATGAAGACAGCCGGCTTTAGTGCATAGCACACACTGTACTGGTGAGGTTTATTCTGGAAGTACATTATATGATAATTGTGATTTATTTTTTTAGGGGGATCTAGACCGAGATCTCATCAGCTGTGGGCTTTCTTGCCTAAGTCCAGTGTTTCAGGGTCCTCCACACCCTGCATTGTAAAATGCAAGGGTCAGAACCTTTTTCAGCCGTGGGCCGGTCCACCATTCCTCAGACCATGTGGTGGGCTGGACTATTTTTTTGGGGGGGGGGGAATGAACAAATTATTCCCACAAATAACCCAGAGATGCATTTTAAATAAAAGCACACATTCTACTCATGTAAAAACACACTGATTCCTGGACCGTCTGTGGGTCAGATTGAGAAGGCGATTGGGATGGATCTGGCCCACGGGCCTTAGGTTGCCTACCGCTGGTCAAATGGCTGCTAATTTCTGGATTGTGCCACATTGTATTGATGTCCCCGAATTTCATATATTATGTATGGATACTGGGGGATAAACACAAAAGTTGTGAATTCTGATGTTGCAGGATGATGGGTTATGTTGACACGTATATACAGTGGTACCTCGGGTTACATATGCTTCAGGTTAAATACGTCTCAGGTTACAGACTCCGCTAACCCAGAAATATTACCTCGGGTTAAGAACTTTGTTTCAGGATGAGAACAGAAATTGTGCTCCGGTGGTGCAGCAGCAGCAGCGGGAGGCCCCATTAGCTATAGTGGTGCTTCAGGTTAAGAACGGACCTCCGGAACAAATTAAGTACGTAACCAGAGGTACCACTCTATGCCACTTAGGAATTTGGAATATTAAGTGGTATAGCTGAAGTAAATAAAACAATACCTCCTGTATGCTTACTTAAATGTATCTCTCTTTCTCCCCTCCCCCTTCTCACACCTCAGTGGGCAGTCTTTTCACCCTCAACAATCCCCTATGACCTTCTGGGACCATTAGGCACCGTCACTAAATATTTGGTGGAAAACCATAAAACTCTTCTCAATATCGGGTAAGCTGAATTCTCATCTTCTACCTGTTCACATTCCTTCTGCTCACCCAACAGTGGGGATTTTGGGGGTGGGAGGGAGGGTGAGTAATATAATATGCAGCCATATGTATGTGTTTCTCCTTGCATATTGGGAGGGACAAGTGAAATGTAAGAGGAAGCTACAGTCAAGCAATGTATTTGAGATTATAGAGTCATAGATTATAGAGTCATAGAATTGTAGAGTTTCTAACAATGGACCCAGGGCCTCATTCTTTTTTCTTCCTTCCTTTTTAATTGTAAAAACCAGTCTGACACACGTGTGAAGGGTGGATCGGGACAGGCTGTCTAGCCTTTGTTCCTCTTCCTCTGGTAGTTTTCCAGCCCATAATTATCTCCCCTGAGCACTTTTGTCACCTGGGTTAAAGCATAGCTGTCAACTTACAGATTTGAAAATAAGGGACCAGCAGCCTCGAAAATAAGGGATCAGCAGCCAAAATAAGGGATTTTGGCTTAGCTTATACAGAAATCCCGCACTCATGGACGCATGCTGCTTTGGCTGCGACTAACTGTGTTTTGCAGGGGGTTGGACTAGATGATGCTAATGGTCTACAACTCCCACCAAAGAAGAGTGGCAGACAAAACTGATGAACGACGTTGAGACGGCAAAGCTTACAGGCAGAATTAGAAACCAGGAAGAGGACCTCTTTAATAAAGAATGGGGAAAGTTTATAATTTATTTGAAAAGCTATTGTGAAGAGTTACATACATTGGTAAGATTGACAGAAAACTTGTAGTAAAAATTTGAACTATGGATGGACAAATGATTTATAAAAATAGAGTTATGAAAGGGATGCAGAGGGGGAAATCACTGCACTGGTTGGAGGGTATGCTAAGCAGCACGTTGGGGCTGCCGTTGTCCTGGGGTGAGGAGTTCCATCGGCCCTTCCCTGCCTGAGAGAGAGAGGGAGGGAGAGAGACTCTCGCCCATGCTGCCCGTGAGCCCGGCATCTGGCGGTTGCGGCGCGGCGGCTGAAGTACCGCCCTTCTGTGTCCCTCCCCATCCCCTCCTCTTCCTCCTCCCTCAGGCCGCCTCCTCAGCTGCCGCTGCCGCCTCCGGCGTCCCCTGGCAGCACGGCAGAAGTCTCGCAAGAGGGGCTGCCTGCCCGCCCGCCGCCACCCGTCTCCTCACAATGTGCCCCTGAGGGGGGAAAGGGAGAGACAAAGACACGGCAGCTCGTGCGCTCACTCTCTCGAGGCGGAGGACCCCGAGCCGCTGCTTCCCTCCCGAGCTGGGCAAGCATGAAACCCGGGAAATTTAAGGGACATCATCAATAAGGGACAGCAGCGGGACACAGCGCTGGGATAAGGGAGTTTCCCACCAAATAAGGGACGGTTGGCAGCTATGGGTTAAAGAGCAGCTCCATACATGCCTTACTCCACTCGGACTGTGTAGTGTTTCTGGTCCGGTTTAGGCTATGCATAACTTGTTATTAGAAATATGCACATTAATGTAAAGGGCAGGGCAGAATGATTGCCTGCTTTTTGAAAACCCCATTCCTGCACCTGTTGTGTGTTTCTCTTGCACAAGCTATGCTTACCGAAATGAACAGGCATTGCACAAAGCATATTTGCGTTGCTTCAGTGAACCCCTGTCCATTTCACAACGGCTTGCATGAGAAAAAACAGGGTTGTGTCCCCTGTTAATTAGCTGGCGATTGGGGATGTGTTTGGTTTTCCCCTGGAAATACCTAAATGTTTTGGGCTAACCCTTATCTTGCTTTAATTTACACCAGTTACAAATGGTGTTATTTTCCTTCCTTTCAGATATTTAATTACCTGGTTAATCCACATCGGGGAAGCATTATATGCCCTCAAGCTATGCAAGTAAGCTATTTTTATTTTATTTTGGGTCTCTTCTACCTCCACCTCCCTCTGCCCTCTCCTAAACAGCAGATAGCGTGGCAAAGCTGCGTCTGGGCTTGTGAGCTGGTTTTCTGGGTACGGATATGGGGTGTTGTGCATGAGCACTCCCTCTCACTGCCTAAAGTGGTATGGAAGTGACACACAGGTGTTAATAATCTTCACAACCTATCTGCATGAACCGGGTCTAAATTAAATTCTGTCAAGGACCGACTTTGGAGCTGTCGTTGAATTTGCTTTTTAAAAAGCAACCAGTGCTTTCCAACATTGAACCAATGAGGTGTGCTGTGCATTGGAACCCAACCCAGCTGTGGCAGGTGAACTTACCCTGATCCTTTTGTCAGGTTTCTTAAAAAATAATAATAAAGGCGCTGGTACTAGTTTACAAAGCCTTATACATCTGAGGACCAGGATACCTAAAAGGCTGTCTTGCACCTTATATATACAACTTATGGTTGCATTCTGCAGGAGAGGGCCTCTTGCAGATACCATCTCATCAGGAGATCTGCTCCGTATAATGCGGGAACTGGACCTTAAACTTTGGTGGCACCTACCCCTGAGAACTCTGTCTATTGTCTTTTAGGCACCTCTTATAGACCTTCCTCTTTTAAGAAGCCTTTTAATCAGAATTTTATCCTGGCCCTTATCTGCATTGTGTTTATATATGCCTTTATTGTTGATGATTTCGTATTGTTAATTGCTTCGGGATGTATAAATGAAGTAAGCAAAATAAAAGAACATAAAAGAAGCACAAGAAGGAGCCAGTGACTGTGTAAGTAGGCTGGTCTGTGTGAGTGCCAGCAGAGGAGTAACAATATGATGGTTCTAAATCCCAGATATATGCACTTGGATTCAAAACCCTGTTTGGAGGTTATCTGGAACTAGTGACTGCATTGCTGATATCTTTCCTTCATTGGTGTATCACATGCCACCCTGGAAAGTTCCCTGAAGGCTTCTGGTGAGGGAGCAGGGGTGTGGATGCCAGCCCAACTTCAGTTTCTGCCCATCCTCCAAGCAGCTGAGGGCAAAATAGACATCTATCTACTTAACTTAGATTTTAAGTAATACATGCAGAAATGTCAGGCTTTATCTGTCTGTCTCTTCACTGCAGGATGAAAGGCATCACAGACCCTTCAACTCAGCGGTTGTGGTTGGTTCAAACATTTTTCTTTGGAATGGGATCTCTCTACGTTTTGTTGACCTACAACCCCCGGAAGAAAAGCTGGTGAAGGATTCGGCCAGAAGAGAAGGTTCCAACACATTCTAGCTTTGGGGTATATTTTTCAGCGAGAGGGATAGGTGTATTGCTAAATATTTTTTGTGCGTTCAGAAGTGTGGCAATCTTCTCTTTCACTTGGAAAGAGAAATTTCTTTCAGGTGTCTCCTCTGCAGGTTTTGCAGCTGTCGGCAAAGCGAGGAAACGAGCTTGTGACAATGGGGGATGGAGCCTTTCTTTTTAAATCAAGGAAATAAAACCAGTTCTTAATGGTCAGGACCAAAATGCCAACACTCACAAGATATCTGCATAGGACCAATTTAAAATAGGGGTGACAAACAGAGCAAGCACAGAGCAACCTATAGTCTCTACTTCTCAGGTCTAACAGTAGCCTTATTCATAAACTGAGCTGTATAGAAGTGTGGTGAGGCATCTTCCTTTGGGCCCAACTTGCACCTGTCTGTTGCTCCCCTGGTTTTGCCTGCATCCATGGCTGGATTGTCCTCTTTAAGTGATTGTATGGATAGTCCCCTTCATTTATGAGCCTCTTTCTCCCCTCCCCACCACCCTTTTTACAAGTAAGGATTGCAGATTAAGCAGGTCTGTGAGCACTGATCTCTACATGCAGCCACACTGTGTCCAGAGTGTAGCTGTGACTGGGAGGCAAGGTGGCATTTTCATTCTCTGTCATTTGCACCATAGACCAAGAGGGCTAATGCTACTCCATTAGTACTTTTAGCTGTGCTTAATAATAATAATAATAATAATAATAATAATAATAATAATAATAATTACTATTAAAAAATAATATGCAACAGTACAGATTATCCTTGTTGGTCATCCAGTTTTAGCAGGTGGCTTGGTTAACTTTTCTTCCCCCTTCTTGAGAAATAAACCCCTTCTATTTCTCACCCACCTTCCCACCCAGAGTTTAAAGGGGTTTATCTGCAAGTAGATGTGGTCAGCATTGCATCCCGAACATCTTGCAATCTTTCTCCACAAACTCTGCCACCACCCCTCTGATTTATAATGGCCTACCAGCAGGTTTTGTTCTTATGTTTTCTTGGTGCTCTCTTAACAACCTGCATGCATTGCAAAGCACTTTAGTTAATAACCGTGGCACTAAACTCTTGGGCATGGCACAAGCTTTTCTTGAAGTGCAAAAGGCTGTGAGAGAGAAAGCTGTGACCACATAAGAACTGCAGTCAAGACCAAGAAACCCCACTGGGGCAGTTTTATTTCTCAGAGATCCAACGTGCTGTTAAAAGGTAGTTTTATATTACATGCCTTAAATTCTTTAGGGGAGATGCCCCCCCAAGAAATACGTCAAAGCAGATCTACTAGTTTCAATCTGAGAGAAAGCTTTGATAGAGCTTTCATTAGGCGTTCCTCATCCAAGCTGTGTCATGATAGACAGAGCTGTCTGTGGGGAAGGTTTAGAAACAGCACATTAGTTGGATTTGGAGGAAGTAATTAACAGTGCCTGTCAGATGAGTGGGTGTCTAATTCATAGATGTGTTGGCCAATGTGTTTAGTATCTGTTTAGTATGTACATGTTTAGTACCTACATGTTATGCAATGCCACCACCCAGATCTGAGAAAGGAAAATTACTGGTGCAGTTTTTCCCTGGCATGGTATTGCTTGGCAGGGTGAACTGGTTTACAAGATTTTACCCTCTCTAGAGCTCAGGGGCAGAACGAGGGTGAGAAGCAAAGGGCACCAGCATGGAGCTTGAATAAACCCCTCCACCCCACCAACTTTTTAGCATTTTGTATTCGTGCAGTGCATTTTTACTGTAGTGCATGCCATTATTATGTTGGTGCAGGAGACAGATCCGCTGATTCTGTGCCTGTGCAAATATATAAAGGTTGGGACTCTCTGCCACATTAGACCATAGTTCTTGCCTTTGGTTTGGACTTTTAATTCTCTTGATGATTTCTGCTGAAATGCCCTATAATGTCTTTCAAACTCTGTGTCTCATTTGGATTTATTTTTAGGCAGCTCTTAAGAACACTGCTGCTCATAGTTTTAGCTCAGCATTTTGCCTTTGTGCTTGAACACCCTGCATATTCCATCATGCTTGTTGTATTGAGAATCACCTCTTTAACACATTACGTTTTACCTGGGTATTGTCTGGATGATTAAAGGTAGCTTTTGCTGTTCTTTATACTGTTAATACTCGAAGGGAAACATGGTGAGCTGTTTGACTGTTGCATCTTGTGATAAAAATGTGTCCTAAGACAGGGTGCTTAATTGGTATAATGCTGCATTTTGAGCTGATAATTTCCGAGAGCTGTCTCACTGCTGGCCTTGAATAAAGCTAATAATTCTCTCTAAAATATAACGCATGCCCTGAAATTGTTACAAAGGAGGGGGGGTGGTTTCACATCCTTAAAGCAGGGGTGCCAAAACACAAAGTATAGGGCCCCCTGAGGATTCCTAATGCAGCCTGGGTTTTCCCAACCACCTTCTAGGAAATTTTGAACAATAACCAGGCCTTAATAGGATGAAGGGTTGACTCACCAAGACCTGCTTTTGTGTGTCATCGTATCGGGTTCTTTCCTCAGTTCCCTTTGTTTGAAGCAGGAATGCTAAGGAGTTGGTGAGGAAATGCACTTGGGCATCCCAGGAACACGGCCAGATAATGTGTACAAGTGTGCATGTCTATACATACACAAAAATGTTGTTCTTGCATTCACACTACAGATATGTTAAGAGCAAATGGCTTGCCCTAGCAGGCGCAACCATTTTGGATTACTCTCATTGTAGTGTCTGACTTGAGGCAGAATGTAATCCTTGCCCATTTGCCAAATTGGGAATTAGACATTCTCATCCCTGCCCTATGGAGTGGGTATAGACAGGTCTGCCCTGATCTCTCAAGCAAATCTCTCCCTTCCCCTAAGACTGCATTGATTTTTGACTAGGAAGGGGGGGAAGCTGTTTGTGTGAGTGCATGTGTGACAGTGTAGGGTGGTCGCATCCACTTTTGTCCATACCCACCACTGGCATGTTGCCCCCAGAGGGTTGGCAAAGGGTGATGTGACAAAACTGTGCATTGCCCTTCCTGGAGAATATGCAGGAATCTGTCTTTGCTTGCAACTGGCCTGAGAATATATTGTCCACATCGGAATGCCCAGTCAGTTTATATATGGAGTTTCACAGTAGCCCTGTAAAGGACAATCTCTCCTCAAGCCAACATTAAGCGTAAAAAAGAAAAGGTTAACAATACAACACACCAGGCATTAAAAATAGCAGTAAAGATGTTTGGAAACCAGACTAAAGAAATATTTGAAAATCCTCTGAAAAAATGTGGCTTGACTTGCCTGTGAAAAAGTGGGAGGGAAGAGGTCAAGATAGATAAACTTCTGGGAACAGAATGTCATAGTCTCTCAGCACCAGCACAGGAAAGTTGTCGCCACCTTTTTCAGCTGCCTGCAGGAATTCATTTCATACATTTTGCAATATGCATATTAAAAGGTTTAATGTTATATGCAGGATGATACTTGGGTAGATAGCAGGAACAGCGCAAGCCATTTTGTTAGCTGAGGCAAAGGACATGTTTCCGCATTTCCCCATTATTTGCACGAAATCTGATTAGGCTGGTCACTGAACTTTCATGGAACTCCTCAGCAGCTCCTGGCATGCCAGTTTCTTCCCCCAGGGCCTTCCCCGTGATAATGGGCTGAAGGGACTCGCCTGTGGAGGTTTCCCCTCTCACTTTGCCCACTAGGAAAGAGACCTTGTCATTTCTCAATACTGTAGAAGACAAGGCATTGGCAACTGTTCCCATCCACGTGCTCCTCTATCTTTCACCGTGCCTCACCCCCGGGAACTGCTTGTCACGCCAGTTGAGGAGGAAGGTGACAGGAGAACTTCCTGCTTTACCTGTTCTGATTGGCACAAAATTTCCAAGTAGACATGGATACACATTAAGCCAAAAATTGTAGAGGCCAAGTGCCCGTAGAGCCTTTTCAGTCTCCTCCCTCCAACGGCCTGGCGTTATCACGTGGAAGGCCCTGGGAAAAGAAACTGGCATCCCAGGAGCTGCTGAGGAGTTCCATGTTCTCCCTCCAGAAAGGATGCCCATTATAAAAAACTTATAAATACCGATGTTGCAGGCTAAGGCACATACATCTATTAAAAACTTTGTGGGGGGATATTTTGAACACTTTATTTCATTTTCTTGCTCTTAATCCCCCCCCCCCCGCACGGTTTGTGCTCTACTGCCTTCAATGAAGCTTTATAGGAGGGTTGCCTGTGAACTAGAGGTACCACTGTATATGGCTTAGGGAAGATAGCCGCGCCCTGTGGTGGCGCCTGGGGACCGGCTACCAGATAACCCTTAAGGGCTTCCCTCTCGACATTGTCTTCCCTTATTACGTTCCCGCAGCATCAGCGCTTTAACGAACGTCTTGCTGGGGCAACGGGGGGGGGTGTCCTTCCCGCTCCTCTTTCTGGTCCCAACGGCCGCCCATCCCCCACTCCCTCTCGCTTCGCCGCGTAGAATCCAGGTTGGCGCCGCGCGCCGTTTCCCGCCCAAACCGCCCCCGCGCATGCGCCCCCGCCTCTCCTGCCTTGGCGCCCTTTGGCCACGGCTTCCCCTGTGGCGTCGCCTTGGCCGCCCTCTTCCTCCTTCTCCCTGGGCTCCCCGCTTCTCTCCCCGTCCCCTCGGTCTCCTCTTCGCTCCCTCTTCACACAATGACCCCCCCACCCCACCCCGCAGGGGGGACCCACCCGTGAGGTGAGATAAGCACATTAGCATGTCTGGCCTCTGAGGAAGCCTGCCCCCTCTCGCCTTCCCTGCTGCTCCTTTCATTCCTTCATCCTTCTGCTCCCCTGTGGCCCCTCCAGGCTCAGCGCGGGGGGGGGGGGACCGTCTGGGCTGCCCTAAATCCGCCTCTGCTTGGGAGCTGGATGTTCCTCCGCTTCCACTTCTACCCCACTCCAAATCTGCCTCTACAGCAGCCTCGGGGCGAAGAGGAGGCGCCACTGGTCTCTTCCCGCCTTTCTTCGCCATTTGATCCCCCAACAATCTCCATTCTTCCCGGGGGGGGCAGTTTTGGGACTCGTCTCAGGGGACCAAATGTCTTGGGCCGGCCCTGCTGACCCCCCTGCAGGAGTAAGTCTGGCCAAGGTGGCTGGGACGTCAGCTCAGGCAGATGCAACCCAGGGAGGATTTCACCCTGAAGCCTGTGCCCCCCTTTCATCTTTGCCTCCTTCTGAACCTGCCCCTGGGAATTCGGCTGGTGTTTCTCTCCCTCCTCCATAAGGAAAGCCCTGAGCACTAGCATTCCCTGGGCGGTTGCCAAATGCTGAGGGGTAAGCACTCTGCACATGCCTAGGAGTAAACCATCTACCAGCTCCTGTTAGATTTCCTTAGGTGAGAGAAAGGGTTTCTAGAGTGATAGCCTAGTAGGTGCCTCCCAGAACTCATTGGAGGAAGACTAACTGTCAAAAACGAGGACACAGATATCATTCAATGGCTCTGTGCTAATTTAAGGTAATATAAATTTGTGTTTTTTGAAGTATGGTTGATTCCCCCCCCACACACAATTTTATTATTTTATCTGTTTGTAAAACAAAAAACTGCAAAGTGGTTTACTATCAAGTGGGGTATACATTTAATGAAATAAATAAACAAATGGGCAAAGGCAACTTAAAAAAAAAAATTCTTAAAAAAAAAAAAAAGATATTTATTGAAAATTTTTTAGAATTACAAAAAAAAAAAAGCAGAAAAAGAAAAAAATGGGCTGCTGCTGCACCGTGAGTGTGGGGGAAGGCCGCTCCCTCCTCAGGCTAACTCCACCTGGCCTAGGGGGCGGGACCCAGACTCACCTTCGCCACAGCTTTAAGAGGCCTCATTGAGGCACTGGGACATCGCTGCTGCTGCTGCACCGTGAGTGTGGGGGAAGGCCGCTCCCTCCTCAGGCTAACTCCACCTGGCCTAGGGGGCGGGACCCAGACTCACGTTCGCCACAGCTTTAAGAGGCCTCATTGAGGCACTGGGACATCGCTGCTGCTGCTGCACCGTGAGTGTGGGGGAAGGCCGCTCCCTCCTCAGGCTAACTCCACCTGGCCTAGGGGGCGGGACCCAGACTCACCTTCGCCACAGCTTTAAGAGGCCTCATTGAGGCACTGGGACATCGCTGCTGCTGCTGCACCGTGTGTGTGGGGGAAGGCCGCTCCCTCCTCAGGCTAACTCCACCTGGCCTAGGGGGCGGGACCCAGACTCACGTTCGCCACAGCTTTAAGAGGCCTCATTGAGGCACTGGGACATCGCTGCTGCTGCTGCACCGTGAGTGTGGGGGAAGGCCGCTCCCTCCTCAGGCTAACTCCACCTGGCCTAGGGGGCGGGACCCAGACTCACCTTCGCCACAGCTTTAAGAGGCCTCATTGAGGCACTGGGACATCGCTGCTGCTGCTGCACCGTGAGTGTGGGGGAAGGCCGCTCCCTCCTCAGGCTAACTCCACCTGGCCTAGGGGGCGGGACCCAGACTCACCTTCGCCACAGCTTTAAGAGGCCTCATTGAGGCACTGGGACATCGCTGCTGCTGCTGCACCGTGAGTGTGGGGGAAGGCCGCTCCCTCCTCAGGCTAACTCCACCTGGCCTAGGGGGCGGGACCCAGACTCACCTTCGCCACAGCTTTAAGAGGCCTCATTGAGGCACTGGGACATCGCTGCTGCTGCTGCACCGTGAGTGTGGGGGAAGGCCGCTCCCTCCTCAGGCTAACTCCACCTGGCCTAGGGGGCGGGGCCCAGACTCTCACCTCCGCTACAGCTTTAAGGACACTGGTGCTCCTGCAGCAAATGTTAAAAATGTTTTTATATATTTTAAAGTGTTTTAAAGGTGTTTTTACTTTTTACTTTGTTGTACCACCGTGAACAGTGGTTTTTATCTATGTATTTTTATTTTGTTCCGTTTTATTGTGGTTTGGGGTGGGGATTGGTTTTGTTTAGGTTTAATTGTTTTTGGTTTGTTTTGTTTTTCTATTTTATAAATGGAGGCTTGTATGAGGCTTGGGATTGCTACCGTGGAGGGGCGAGGGAGGTATGGTGGTGGGGGCAGATGTTATAGGCGAAGGGGATTGAGATACGGATATGCTCGTACCCCTTCCAATCTGCGCCCCATCCCGAGGGACGAGGGTAGGGTGAGCAAGGATTACTCACCTCCGTCACTGGTGCTGTGCAATGCCAGGTCTATAGGCAACAAAACCGCCACTCTGCGAGATTTCATTACCTCGCAGGGGGTTGACCTGGCTTGTGTGACAGAGACCTGGGTACGCGAAGGGGCAACAGTTACCTTACGAGAAATGGCGCCCCCGGGTTTCTCCGTCCTCCACCAGTCACGGACTGTGGGCCGGGGGGGAGGGGTGGCATTATTAATCCGGGAAGACTGTTCTTTCAGGGCTCTACCATCGCCATCGATCCCCGGCATTGAATGTGTTGGCCTAGTGTGGGGCTCTGAGGTGAGCTTGGCTGTCTGGCTGGTGTACCGGCCACCTAGCGCACCAGCAGCCACCCTGTCAGGCCTGCTGGAGGCGGTGGCCGGCTGGGCCTTGGAGTTCCCTAACCTATTGGTATTGGGGACTTCAACATCCATGCTGATGCCACTCCCTCCTCACAGGCTCTGGACCTGGTGTCTTCCATGGCGACACTAGGGCTCTCCCAGTTTGTTTCAGGCCCCACACATCAAGCAGGCCACACGCTGGATTTGATCTTTGGCGTAGGTATAGATGTAATCATGTCTCCTTCAATAAAGGTGCCATGGTCTGATCACTACGCGCTGAAAGCCAGGATTGATTTTCCACCCCCACCCTGCTTAGGTGGCGAGCCGATTTGGGCTCGCCCGCAGAGGCTGATGGACCCTGATAGATTCCGTCAAGCCTTGCGGGACCTTGCTCCCCTGGCGACTCATTGACTGAGCTTGTTGAGGGCTGGAATATCCAGCTCCTGGCAGCCATAGATGAGATCGCACCTAAGCGCCCTCTGCGACCCCGCAGAAACCGGGCTCCCTGGTTTACCGAGGAGCCTGGAAAATGAGCGGGACCTCAGACGGCTAGAGCGAGTATGGCGGGGTGCCCGTGACGGAGCCTCAAGAACATCTTACAGGGTTTTTATGAAAACCTATGAGATGGCAGTGAAGGCCGCTAAGAAGTCTTACTTCTCGGCCTCCATTGCATCCGCTAGCTCTCGCCCAGCGCAATTATTTAGTATAATTAGGTCTTTAACGTCCCTTGAAGGACAGCCAAATTTAAATAACAATCTGACACACAGCTGTGAGGCATTTGCGAGCTTTTTGCGGAGAAGGTCCTGTTGCTCCGCCATGACCTCCCTGCCAATTTGGATACAATAAAGGAACTGGAGGCCCCTCGACTGTCCTCAGGTCCAGTATTGGACCACTTTGATCGGATATCCCCAGCCGATGTGGACAGACTCCTCCGAGCTGGAAAGCCCACCACCTGTCCTCTTGACCCGTGCCCGTCTTGGCTGATTAGAGCATGTCCAGACGAGGTGCGGGCCCCCCTGGGGGATATCATCAACTTGTCCCTTGGCACCGGGATATTTCCAGGGGAATTGAAGGAGGCAGTGGTGCGCCCGCTCTTAAAGATCCCTTAGATCCCTTAGATCTATCCAATTACCGCCCGGTTTCGAATCTTCCATTCCTGGGTACGGTGATTGAGAGAGCAGTTGCTGAACAGCTTGGTAGGTTTCTGGATGAAACATCGGCTCTGGATCCATTCCAGTCCGGCTTCCGCGCTGGTCATGGGACCGAGACGGCTCTGGTCGCCCTAACAGACGATCTCCGTAGGCAGCTGGATCGAGGCGGGTCGGGGCTGCTGATTCTTCTAGACCTGTCAGCAGCCTTTGACATGGTCGATCACGAACTCCTGGACCACCGCCTTGCCGACGTGGGGATCCAGGGCACAGTCCTTCAATGGCTGCGCTCGTTTCTCTCTGGTCGGGGACAGAGGGTGGCGCTTGGGGGAGAATTGTCATCGCGCCACTCCTTGGTGTGTGGAGTGCCTCAGGGTGCGATTCTCTCCCCGATGCTTTTTAACATCTTTATGCGCCCCCTCGCCCAGCTTGTCCGGAGTTTTGGGCTGGGTTGCCATCAGTATGCCGATGACACCCAACTCTATCTGTTGATGGATGGCCATCCTGACTCGGACCCAGACACACTGACCAGATGTTTGGAAGCTGTGGCTGGATGGTTACGTGGAAGCCGGTTGAAGTTAAATCCTTCGAAGACAGAGGTCCTCTGGCTGGGACGGGACGATATGGGATTGGGGGGGCAACTCCCATCTCTTGCGGGGGTGCAATTAGTGCCAGCACCTTCCGTTAAGAGTTTGGGTGTAATCTTCGATACCTCCCTCTCTATGGAGGCGCAGATTACAACTATAACAAAGGCGGCATTTTTTCATCTCCGCCAAGCTAAGCAGTTGGCCCCTTATCTCTCTCGCCCTGACCTAGCCACTGTGATCCACGCGACGGTCACCTCCAGACTGGATTATTGTAACTCGCTCTACGTGGGGCTGCCCTTGAGACTGACCCAGAAACTCCAGCGGGTGCAGAATGCCGCGGCGAGACTCCTTATGGGGTCTTCGCTGCGAGATCACATTCATCCGGTACTATACCAGCTGCACTGGCTCCCGGTGGAGTACAGGATCAGGTTTAAGGTGCTGGTTTTAACCTTTAAAGCCCTATACGGCCTAGGACCCTCGTACCTACGGGACCGCCTCTCCTGGTATGCCCCACAGAGGAACCTACGGTCTGCAAATAAAAACATCCTGAAGGTCCCAGGCCTCAGAGAGGTTAGGCTGGCCTCAACTAGAGCCAGGGCTTTCTCGGCTGCGGCTCCAATCTGGTGGAACGCTCTGTCACAAGAGACTAGGGCCCTGCGGGACCTGACATCTTTCCGCAAGGCCTGCAAGACAGAGTTGTTCCACCAGGCCTTTGGTCAGGGCCCAGCCTGACTCCCTCCTCTGGCAACCTGCACAGAACTTTGCTTAACGGTTGCCATTAATTTGATTTTAATTAATTTTTATAATGAAATGTTTTAGAATGTTGGATTATTTGATTGTTTGATTATTTGATTGTTGTTAGCCGCCCTGAGCCCGGCTTTGGCTGGGGAGGGCGGGATATAAATAACATTTATTATTATTATTATTATTATTATTATTAAAAAGAGAAAACAAAGAAAAACACACCACATCAAACAATACAAATTCAAAACAAACAAAAATACACCACAAACAGACAAAAACAAAACCATCATTCTCGAATCCTCAACTTTCATTACCTTCTTTCTTTGACCTCCTCCTCCTCCCTTTTTTTGTATCCTGGTTATTAATTATCGCAGCAAATCCTTTCCATATTTCATAATATTCTGTCATTACATTACCTTAATCTATTTTCATCTTATCTTATAGAAAACCTTAAAACTTAAAGCTTAAATCAGGAGTGTGCCCTGACAGAACAGATGAGGGAAGAGGATGTTGCTGAATCTTGGGCGCCAGAGATGGAGGGAGCTGTGGCCCAACAGGAACATGAGCTTTTGAATTTGACAAATGAACTTGGAAAAAGCCAGATTTGGAAAGATAAAGTTTGGACTGGTTTGGAAATGGGGGGCTGGATAGACCCCCCTATGCAGGGATGTTTGGACTTTTCTAGTCTGGCAATGGGCCGTGAGATGTTTGGGGTTGTGGGGGCTCCTAATTTTGGAGGGATTTTGAAACATGTTCTTAAATACCACATGGAGTTTAGTGTGGATTATGGAAAAGGGGCTGATCTGTCGAGAAGGGTCAAAAACATTGTTAAGCTGGAGTTCCCACGAGTGAAACGAGCAGGAGACAAGGAAAATACAGTTATAAATATGAAGAAGAGCTGCGGAAGGGACATGGAAGAGACTTAAGGGCCTCAGATACAAGGTTACCAGGTTAATGCGCTAGATCGATGGGATAATAAGGACTGACAAAACCCGGGACCAGGAGGAAGGGACGCTGGATGAAGATTGGATTGTTTTTATTTCTTTTCTTACTATTAGGATTGTTTTATAAAATTGATGAATGTTGGAAAAATGTTGAAATAAAATTACTTGGCTTTAGTAAAAATGTTTAAAGAATTATGTAAGAATATTATGGTTATGAGAAGTTGGTAAAAATAAGATTTAAGTTTTAAGTTTCAAGGTTTTTTATAGTAAGATAAGATTAAAATAGTTTAAGGTAATGTGATGACAGAATATTCTGAAATATGGAAAGGATTTGCTGCGACAATTAACAACTAGGATACAAAAAAAGGGAGGAGGAGGAGGTCAAAGAAAGAAGGTAATGACAGTTGAGGATTTGAGAATAATGGATTTGTTTTTAAATGTTTGTGGTGTATTTTTTTTTTTTTGAATTTGTATTGTTTGATGTGGTTTGTTTTTTCTTTGCTCTTTCTTTTTTTCTACTTTGTTCTCTTTTGTAATTTTAAAAAAAAATCCAATAAATATCATTAAAAAAAAAAAAGTAAACGGGAATATTTTCAAATTCCTAAGGAAACACAATAATGACGAAGACGGGGCAGCTCATTAGAGAGAGCATTCCGCAACCGGGGAACATCTTTAAATGGGCTGACCATCCAGATTAAATTAAAGCAATTTAAACCAACTACAACGGCACTGTCATTTTATTTATTTATTTAGGTTTTTAAAAGATTAACATACGAATCCTAACTTGCAGGTACCAGCTTGGAAAAGACATTCTTAGTGCAAGGAATTCCTCTTCTAAGATGGCGGTGCCCTTGCATATCCAATGCACCGTTTTTAAAGGAACGTAAGCTGTTTCCTAAGTCTTCAAAACCAGCGAAAAATGAATGCAAATTTAATCATATGTTAATAAAATATAGCTTGCTTACATAGATTTCTTTCTTCGGTTGCCGCCGCTATATACGGTATTATTCGCATTTGATGTGATTGCTGGCAGTTAACATCCAAGCAATGTACATGTACAATGTACAATGTACCATCCAAGGCAATGTACTAATTTATTTAGACGGCAGAGGCTGGAATGAGGGGTATTGGAATTAAGTTGTTCCAAGCTTCTTTGTCGATATGAAATAATTTACACTTGCTTCTTTTTAGAACAACAAAAACCTTTTAAAAAAGAGAGTACCCGTTTAAGAGACAAAGTGTGGGGGGGGGGGGAGGTGTTGTTTGGTTGGACCTCGCAAGTGTGTTTTTTGTACAATGCGGGTGTGCCTTGACAAAGAAAATGCGCAGCAGGCGCCCGAAATCTCTCTCTCTCTCCCCTCACCTCTCAATTCTCTTCCATTCAGTTGAAGAGTCAATTGCCAAAGGGGTGTCGACGGAGGGAGGGGTTAGACCCAGTTTGGCAAAGCAACCGATTTTTTGAAAGAGAATGTAACTGTTTCTATTGGTTGAGAAGTAAGGGTGAAACGCAAAAATGATGAAGACGGGGCTGCTCACTGGGAGGGCATTCCTCAACCGGGAAACCTCGTATTGGTGGAGAAGTAAGGATGGGATCGCCCACCGGAGATAAATGCCCAGACCAAACCCCCAGCAGAATAGCAGAGTGAACCTGAGGGAGTGAACCTGAGGGATCTTAGTGTCCATTTTTAAGGCAAAACCAATTCAGGAGAGAGCGAGAAAGAGTTTTTTCATGATGGCAACCAACAACGAAGGTAAGAGAAACTTTAAAAAAAAATGATTATTAAGCCCTGAGCTTTCCATGTCGGGAGGAAGATCTGCAAGCGTCGCTTCAGTTTAAGCTAACCAAGCGCTTCCTTCAGATTTGCCTCTTTGTTTTTTCCCAGGAGGAAGCTACCCCAAAGGAGGAGATAGGAGAAAAAGGAAAGTTTTTACCCCAGCCCAAATCGAGCTTTTAAAGAAGGGGTTTGAAAAAAACGTGTACCCCGGATACCAGACCAGGGAGGCACTGGCGAGGAGCATCAGAGTCGAGGAAGATCGTGTGCACGTAAGAAGGGGGAAAGCGGGGGTTCCTAGGACTTCCTTAAATCGCAAATACTGGATAAATTTAAAACATTCAGAATAATTCTTTCGTTGTCATTCGAATGCCTTTGCTCATCCAGGTGCCTCCGAGCTTAATGTGAAAGGTGCCTTATTCAAGAGGCAGCTTCCCTTTTCCTGGGTTTTTGTGGGGTTTTATGGGGGGGGGCTGTTGTAGCGTGGATGTAAAGGCTTTTTGTAAGGGGCGGGTGCGTTGTGTCCCCTCCTTTTCAACTGTAGGAAGAAATTGTGCCCATACTTGTTCAGAAATCCTGGTTCCTGATTAAGGCTTCCTTTTCCTTCCCACTCAAATTATTGGAGGCACATACTTTCAAATATCAAAGGTTCTGGGTTTGAACAGTAAAAGCTCTTAACAGACCTGGTTTCAACCTAATTTGAGGATAAAACCATCTGGTTTCCTGGGCCGCCTTTATAGCCTGATCCACCTGACCGAACTCCCAAGGGAGTGTGCATAGGATATTCCTATTAGGATGGCAGCTTTCAGCACCTTGCATTGAGAGATCAAATGTGCAGCATTCAGTTCGTACCACACTTAAGCAACATTGCTTTTCTAGCCAATTTCCCGCAAGTCCCTAGTTCTCCCACACTGAAAAAATTACACCACACGAGGCACAAATATTTGGCGGTCCTCTGAGCTAGAAAGTGAAATTATGACCTATCCATTTGGAAATAATGGGCATTTTGTTCTCTCCTTTCTTTTGTTCAGACCTGGTTTCAGAACAGAAGAGCGAGAACAAAGGTTCCAAAATAATGATCAGGAACTGAGCTACAGCTCCTTATAGCTGCTGTGACAGAAGAAGAAGTCCATTAAAAGCCTGGGGAGCAGCCCAAAAAGCTGCGCAATAACTCCAACGCAGCAATATTACCAGCCATGCAGCTTCCATTATCCCGAAAGCTTTTGATCAGACCTGGTTTCAGAACTGAAGAGCGAGAACAAAGATGACTAGGTCCAAAACAATGATCAGGAACTGAGCTACAACTCCTTATAGCCGCTGTGACAGAAGAAGTCCAAGCACTCCGAGAAGCAGCGCAAGAAGTCTGACGCAGCAATAATACCAGCCACGCAGCTTCCATTATCCCAAAAGCTATGGAGGAGCAGGGTTCTGGCAGCCGCCTCTCAGCACCACGCAACCAGGAGAGCCCATCTATGCCGCACAGCAGCAGAACTCCCAGGAATTGAACCCGGTTCATTACCAGCCAGCTGCTGTTGGTGGAACTGGGCTTTGTGAGACTTCCCAGGAAAGGAACTGCCCAGTTCCATATTATGGTGCAGAGATGATGAGGCAGCCTCCACTATCGAATGGTAACTTCTGCACTCCATCAAGCAGTAAAACTCCCTGGTCTGCAATGGGGAACAGTCACGCAATGGGGATTTATCCAGCTGCATATCCCGTGCAAATGTTGCCTGAAGATTGGCAGCAAAATTGGCAGCAAAGCAATATTTCCCTTCTCCCGACGCCTTCAAGGGTTACCCATGCATATAAATCCCCCCCTAACTTTTAAATTTTGTATATTTTTAAATTTTTCAATAAAGTTTGTTATTTTAATGCCTTTGTCTGGGATCATCATCTGGCTTTCCTTTTACTGAAGCATTCTCTTCCCTTTGCCCAAGCAAGCTAAAAGCACTTGTATATTGAAATCAAAAATAAAAGCTGAACAATTGGCCACTTGTTCAAATAAGGGCCACAGTCAAAATCTGGGGTTGGAACAATTGGGGAAATGTTTCAAAAGTTTCCAATTTTGCTTTTGTTTTTGTCGGGTTGATATGGGTTAAATGTTTAGTTAGGGTTGGCGGTTATTTTAATTTGGGTATAAGTATAAACTGTTCATTATTGCTATTATTATAATTATTATTTATTATTGCTATTGGTTTCTTGGTTTGCTATTTATTTATTTGTTTTGTTTTTTAATGTTTGATGCATTGTGTTGTAAGCATAATGTATTTTTGTACTTTTTGCAGAAAACAAAGCATATATGGATATAGATATATACGTGTGTTTTTGTGCATGTGATTCTCTGGGGATGGATTTTTCTGAGCCCTGCCTGTCTGCCATGCTACATAATGCACTTCCTTTTTGAAATGTTGCCTGAATACAGAAAGGGGTTGGTTTTGCTGGATCCCCTCTCTGCTTTTACGTGCAACTTCCACGAAGGAAGAGTTCACCCAAACCAAAATCCACAGTAGCTTGATGATGTGACTCAGACATTGGATTAAATCATGGAATTCAAAAGGTTAAATGAGGAGGCTATTGGAGAGGATTGGGAATGCCTTACATGATTCCAATCTGTTTATAATGCTACACATTATCACTTCATCATTCAGTATTTCCTCTTGTCCCTAATCTTAAACCAAGCTAATCCTTGCTGAGCTTCTGACAACCAGACAAGGGACCAATTTTGCTTATGCAGTTCAGGGTTTGCTTTCCCTCTGCTTTCCAGCCAAATGGTTCTGAAACCGGGTTTCAATTCCACGAGCTTATTTCTCTATTTATATCCCACCCAAGGACGCACACTTGGATAGAAAATTGGGGGGGGGGGCAAGGGACCTGGGCCCAAGAGTTGGCTCCTAGGACCCCACCTTTTCCCCCCTGGGACCTTGAGGCGGCCCACCTCCTTCTTCCCTCTCAGCCCCCGACACCCCCGCGAGGGAGACTAGCCTGAGAGGCGGCGACTGGCACAAAGGCACCCGAGTGAGCTTCGGGGCTGGTAGTAGGGTGTGTGTGTGTGTGCAGGGATTGTGGTGTGTGCGTGCGTTTATGCAGGGATTTGAACCCTGCCTGCCTCAGACCAACACGCTAATACGCCGCCAAATACGGTATATACATGCATGAGGGAAGATAGCCGCGCCCTGTGGTGGCGCCTGGGAAGCGGCTACGAGATAACTCTGAAGGGCTTCCCTCTCGGCATTGTCTTCCCTTATTACGTTCCCGCAGCATCAGCGCTATAACGAACGTCTTGCTGGGGCAACGGGGGGGGGGGGTGTCCTTCTCGCTCCTCTTTCTGGTCCCAACAGCCGCCCATCCCCCACTCCCTCTCACTTCGCATCAGAGATTCAAGGTTGGCGCCGCGCGCCGTTTCCCGCCCAAACCGCCCCCGCCTGTCCTGCCTTGGCGCCCTTTGGCCACGCCTTCCCCTGCGGTGTCACACTGGCCACCCTCCTCCTCCCAGCGGCGTAGCGTGGGTTGTCAGCACCCGGGACAAGGCAAGTAATTTGCGCCCCCTAACCCCTAACCTGCCGCCGCTGCCAGCTTCTTCTTGCTGCTGCCTGGGCTGGTCTGCTGTGGTTCTCTCCCGCGCTCAGCGCTGCGCTGGGCAGCCGCTGCACTGTCCCTCCCCCAGATAGTCCCTCGCTCTCTCTCCACACCGCACACCTGGCACCCACCCCCTCCACAGTGGGCGGCAACCCAGCGGTTCGGATCGGATTCGCACAGCCAGCACTGCAATGAGAGAGAGTGAGTGAGCCAGGTAGGGGCAGAGAGCTGCGAGTGCAAGCGCGCCCCCCCCAGATGTTGCGCCTGGTGCGGCCGGCCCCCCCCTGCACCCCCCACACTACGCCACTGCCTCCTCCTCCTCCTCCCTGGTCTCCCCGCTTCTCCCCCCCGTCCCCTCGGTCTCCTCTTCGCTCCCTCTTAACACAATGACCCCCTCACCCCACTACGCAGGGGGGACCCACCCGTGAGGCGAGATAAGCGCATTAGCATGTCTGGCCTCTGAGGAAGGCTGCCCCCTCTCGCCTTCCCTTCTGCTCCTTTCATTCCTCCATCCTTCTGCTCCCCTGTGGCCCCTCCAGGCTCAGTGCCCCAGGGCAGGGGGGGTACCAGCTGGGCTGCCCTAAATCCGCCTCTGCTTTGAAGTTCTTTGTTCTCTTTTGTTTTTGGTTGATCATGATTTTTAATCATTATAAATCAAGACAGATCCATTTAGTCAGAAATACCTCCCTCTCAATCCCTACAATTTCATTTACTCATGTACTGCTTTTGAAACGAACCTCACAAAGTGGTTTACATCAATATATCAAAACAATAAGCATACATTAAAAATGTAATAAAACAGCAAAGGCAAACTGCAAGGGGGAAAACTGTTGGTTTTGCAGAATTGAAAAGATTCGCCTTGCACCAATTTTACGATGATTGCTTACAGATTGAAATGGTGATCTGAAAAAGCCATTGTGAAATGGGTACAAACTTTTGTGCTAGATTCTACTGCCACAAATGAATGGCATCTCAGCCTGTGGTCTTTATCTTGCAGGTCATGATTACAACATCTTTTTGTGCTTACATTTAGAGAATTACATTTAATAAATTATGCTTATTCCTCTGTTTGCGCTGTTAATTCAACACGTATTTCCGAGCAGAAACTTGACCTCCTGCTCCGTGTGTTTCAGTAGCCATGAAGTTTAACTGTTCATTAAAACAACCACCAGCACAGGGCTAATCTCACATTGACATTGCTGCTGTTCATATTAGGAAGTTACTTTGTGGTACATTGTGCTTGGAAAGTTGCCAAGTTACAAGTTACGTGGTGAAACATTGTGATCTTTGAACCTTGGAGGAGAAAGGGACATAATGTATAAACGAACTACGTAGTAATATGTTGCAACGCAGCTATGTCTTTGATACCTAAACTTTGCTTGCTGGTTTTCCTTTCCTCGTCCTCCTACAAATAAACCCAATTCAATGTTCCGTGTTGCTATGTTCTCATGGTTTTTATTTACGGAATTTGTACTCGGAGGCCAGATCGGCAGTACACACTTTGTGTGTGTGTGCAGGGATTGTGGTGTTATTTTGTGTGTGTATGCAGGGATTTGAACTTGCCTGGCCTCAGGCCAACACGCAGATACGCCGCCAAATATATACATGCCTGAGGGAAGATGGCGCCGCCGCGCCCTATGCTGACGCCTGGGAACGGCTACGAGATAACTCTGAAGGGCTTCCCTCTCGACATTGTCTTCCCTTATTACGTTCCCGCCGCATCAGCGCTTTAACGAACGTCTTGCAGGGGCAACGGGGGGGCGGGGGTGTCCTTCCCGCTCCTCTTTCTGGTCCCAACGGCCGCCCCTCCCCCACTCCCTCTCGCTTCGCCGCGTAGAATCAAGGTTGGCGCCGCGCGCCGTTTCCCCCCGCGCACGCGCCCCGCCTGTCCTGCCTTGGCGCCCTTTGGCCACGCCTTCCCCTGCGGCGTCACACCCGCCGCCCTCCTCCTCCTCCTCCTCCCTGGTCTCCCCGCTTCTCCCCCCCGTCCCCTCGGTCTCCTCTTCGCTCCCTCTTCACACAATGACCCCCCCACCCCACCCCGCAGGCGAGATAAGCGCATTAGCATGTCTGGCCTCTGAGGAAGGCTGCCCCCTGTCGCCTTCCATTCTGGTCCTTTCATTCCTTCATCCTTCTGCTCCCCTGTGGCCCCTCCAGGCTCAGCGCGCAGGGGGGCGGGGGACCGGCTGCGCTGCCCTAAATCCACCGCTGCTTGGAAGTTTTTCCCCCCTCTTATTTTTGGTTGATCATGATTTGGTTGATCATGATCAAGACAGATCCATTTAGTCAGAAATACGTCCCTCTCAGTCCCTACCATTTCATTTACTTATGTGCTGCTTTTGAAATGAACCTCAGAAACTGATTTACATCAATATATCAAAACAATAAGCATCCATTTAAAATGTAATAAAACAGCAAAGGCAAACTGCAGGGGGAAAAGTTCAGTGATTTTAGGATTGTAGCTTTTAAAAGTGTAGTTTAGTGGGAGAGAAATTTTTCT